TGTTTTTTCCCTAAAAGAAAAAAAAGGAAACTCAATAAAGACAAGTATAGTATTCACTCTTATAACGACTAGCGGCTAGAGAACTTTATTTTTAGTATAGAAAAGAAAAACTATAAGAACCTATTTTAGAATGACACACCATACTTCTAGGAGTGATTGCACAGCCTCCGGAAAGCAGCCTGCTAGGAACTCCGCGTATGAACAAAGGTAATCCGTAGTTGGGTACTAATGCCGCCTTCTTCTCTCAACCACGAAACTTCGTATGTATAGCACTTGATAGCCCAATAGGATGGAAGTGAAGGAAGCCGCGCGAGATAATCAGTTGATATGGTAAATATAGAGCGGACAAATGATGACTCGTACAGACAGCCACAGTGACATCGCCTACCCGAAAAGGGCAGTACCATGCAGTAGTGCGGTTAGCCGCTGTGTGAGCAAACTTGCAGGAGTAGAAAAGTCCGTTGAATAGGTTGGGGGAGACGTGAGACGCTCACTTTCAGTGAGTGCTCAGAAAAAGACTTGGAATGTCCATAAACGATTCTCTTGGTTGCACCCTCGAAGAACTCCGACAGGAAATATTTATCCAATGATCATACCCCACGCCTAGACATAGAAACCAAAGGCTAAGCCGTGCCAAAGTAATAAGCAGCCACCTACTATGCCAGTTGGACTTGGCTGAGCTTGGACTCGTATCTGCCGGGGTTAGCCTCAGCCTTGCGCGGTTTCCAAGGCAGAGATAAAATAGACAAGCATGGTTTATATGCCCGGCAGTTTGACACCCATCTACCCTGGTCTTGATAATACTTTAAGACAATAGACTAGTATAATATACTATTGTCATTACCTTTTCACTAGAATAATATATAACTGCCCTTAGGTGCTATTCCACTACTCAATATATCTTCAAGATTACACGTGAACCAATTTGGATCAATGGCGCGGCGCCGGTCACGAAGTCCATCAATCGAGATCCAGTACGCAAGACTGGAACTCGAGGACCCAAATCACCGTGAGTAGTGAAGGACTTGAGAGATATATATAGATATATGGTATCACTGACACGCTGGGCATCAAGATACGAGTATTAGCAAATGCGTGGTCCCCAAGTGGCCGACTTTGCTGGACCGGAAATGGTTCAAATGGCCTGTTTTTGTCATTGTGTGACTCAGCATTGTGATTGCAGCGCTCCACATTGTTGCTTTACTTGTAGTTCTGGTCCTGTCGTTAAACACGGACAATATGGGGTATGAGACCGACCGAGCAGAATTTGTTCTCTACAAAAATACCCGATTTCAGGAATGCACGTCAATTGCGCCCGATGCAGATAACTGCAGTGAGATAGAGACCGCCTGGAAGCATAGCACCCGGTACACCAGACTTGGAGCACAAGATCGCTGGCATATATTGTGGGCGTCACTCGGTCCCTACGACTGGTGCCAAATAGCGAGCTGCTTCCACGAGTACAAAGTCATCCCCTCCATGCCACGCTCATCAGCTATGAGCCTGACTACCTTCCAGAGCTGGTGCTATATGGCCATGTCTTCATTGGGCGCTATGTGGGCTTTCAAATCGTGGTGGCCTGGCGTACGGTCCAAAAAGAGTGCCTCTGAACCCTGTAAAGGGCTCCGTGAGCTTGGTGTCCTGAACTGGGGATTCTTGATTTGGGATATTTGTGGCCCAACCATATTTTGGTGGGTTTCGTTCGTGCGAGAGCTTGTTGAGCCGGTCCCTATCACCACTCTTTCAACCATCGCTTGGGCTACATGTTGGAAGTATTCATATCTAGTACGATATCACCCATACTCATGCTTCTTGGCACGGTTCCCCCGAGTTGAACGGGCCCTACCGTGGGTGTTAGGGACCATGGCAACCTTGCAGTGGACAGTCACATTGTATAGTGCACGAGTTGATTGAGATATCGGGATCTCTGTGACCAAGGACAATGTATACCGGAACTATGACTGTCTTGCGACACAGATTCCACAAGCACCAGGAGCCACACACTGTACCCCGGAGCAGCTCTGTGGACAGGACTGGCTATTCAGCGCTCTCGACCTTTGGATGCCGGGGGACGAGTATAAAATGGTTCCCATGTTATTTTGCCTTGTCGGTCCGTGCTTGGTAGTTGTGCCATGGTGCATTGCTGTTGTTTGGGCGCTGAGCACAGAGGGGTTCCCCAGGGGTTTGAAGTCAATCTACAGAGTGCATCAAAAGCAACTACTTATGTGGCCGATTGTGGGACTTGCATGTGTATCGCTTACGCCAATCCTATACATTTGCTCATTACTCGCCTATGATGTCGCCGCCACGTGGAACCTCAGGGAGCGTGATGCGCTTCTAGCCTTTGATAGGGAATGCACGGCCGTGCATGTTGGGTTGAGTTCATGGAGATATTACTTGGATATTAACCAGTATGGGCGGGCCCTGCATGTGGTAAGAACGTGGTTTAGCGCGTAGAAGAACTATTGTTGTGCCAAATCTGCTACCCCTATTAGCCTCTGTCACCACGATGTGTGTTGTAGTCAGAAGAACGCTTCATGAGTCAGAAGGGCCAATAATACATCACTACGTCCTCTTCTTGGAGTTTCAAATTATGTGTTGCGTTAGAGTAATCTAGGATACTTCGAGAGCTCTATATTGTTACTTAGACTATGCTAACTAAGGCACGTAACAAGGGAGCTTCTTCGTACTTGAGATACACTGAAACAACCTTCAATATACTCTCAACCACACGCAACTGATTTGGATGACCTTTGCATATATACATTTACTAAACATTAATCAAATAAAAAGCATTCTATCTCTATCCAGCACAATAGTAAAAACAGTCTCAAATATCCCACCATTAATACAAGCGCACAACAAGCAACTTACACCCCATATTTATCATATGTACTCTGCAACTCATACTCATGTGCCTCCCTCAGCAGATGTGCCAATTCGCTAGGATGAAAAATGTTAAAAATAGCCATAGCCACAAAGATCAATACAGCATCAAAGATATATAGAAAAATCTCGTGGTGCAAAAGAAACCCATCGTTTCCCTGAATATACTCCACCAAGCGGAACACCGACCGTACCATAATCAAGAAGCTAGTCACATACAGCACATTCAGGTGCTTTCTCCACGGGATCGACGGATCGTGACACCGTGGGATCGGGTATTTCTTCAGCTTCAAGTCAAAGCTGCCCGCTGTAACTATAAAGAAGCCGAAAAAGAAGATCTGGACGAAGAGTCCCACCACAATGATCTTTTCGCCCAGTTTCATGTTGTCTAGGCTGCCGCTACTCTGAATGCCACCACCTGGAAGGGCGTTAGTACTTTCGCCGGTGGTTTTGAGGGTAAGTCGAGTTGGATTGGTGGGAAAGCACTCTTAAGGCTGACTTACCGGCGCCTTGTAGGAAGAATGAAAGGACGTCTCCCGTTACGAAGATCTTGGTCAGCCATTTTTTGCTCAGGATTGCATGGGACTCTGCTCGCAGAATCAGGATGATGCGCCCGAGAAGCATATAAACAGAGGCGGCGAGGAGGGCCGGTGCAAGAAGGAGGAACAGAGTCTGGATCAAGTAGGGACCGAGAGTCCAGTTTGGACTCTCATGACTCGATAGGGCGCGTCCGATGTAGCCGATGATTTCAACTGCAGCAATGAGTACACTTCATGCGAGAAAAGGACCGAACCCACAATGATCGTGGAAACAAGTAATCACTGACATATGCCACCGACCACGAATGGGATAAAAAACCAAGTTCGAGTTCGGAACAGCTGCACCGCGTGCCATATCGTCGTTATCGTGAACAGGATAGTGAAGATCACGGCACCAGCCATACTTGGATTATATCGATAGAAGGCGAACATCGACGCCTCGTTTGTTGCTGCATCTGGAACACTATCGCTGCCCCCCATTTTGGGCGTTTTGAGGATTTCTGGTGCAAGGAGGTTAATCGAGGCTGGCGTGTTCTCCTACTTTGTCCTCGGGGGTAGCTGTAGACTTATGTAGCATGTACAGAGGGCCGCAAAACCAGCTTAATAGCTTAGTCGATTGGGCGATCTGAAAAGGAGTACGAGAGTAAATTTGGTTACATTACTAAAAATCTCAATTGATAGTATACTAGGGCACCATGGACACCGTTTCAAAATAGATAGGGCTATTGAATTGTAAAAAGGCTACGGCCCCTACTGATTTGGGATCCACTTCGTATCCTCGTATCTTCGTAACTTCGTATATTGCCACTCGCATATCATCCGCGTTTTTGACAACCATAATCAATCGGATACCGACTGTTCCCCGACTCAGAGCCAAGCTGTAGTTGTCAAGATCATTTTGCACATAAAGTCTCCATATTTGTATAAGGCGGGTAGATAGGCGAGCACCGGTTGAAGAGAGCACTTTATGTATGTTGCTTTAAGGAAGCTCGCCCCGACAGGCTAAGTCAGGCGGCGTTTAATTAATAAATAGGATAGTCCTCTATTGATTACACTCCTTGATCACTTAAGTCTGCTCAATGTATGTTAAGACTACTTTCAGTCCCATTGGATTGTTGTCTAATGTCTATATCCTACTACTATAGCATTTCCTTACCTGATTTACCAGGGCGACTAGATAATCCTAATTCATTCACTTCAATGAAGAAGGAGCCTCCGGTGTAGTAGATATGCCCCTGAACATTCTAGCAGGGGATGATTGACCACGATGTTCTTCTTTTTCTCCTCGCCGATACCAACGACGGCATGTGCAGCTCTGGACTACTTGCCCCCCCGTAGGGACAATCCGGCAGAAAGTCCCGAAGAAATTCCGACATCGTGCAGCTCATCCCCCGTCTCCCAGACTCCGCGAATCAGATTTGATCCAAGGTCAATGGATCGGTCTTCTACTGAGCGAAATATGTCTGATACTCCATCCCCATCAACTACTGCTACTACACAGAGCGGTACGTCGCGTGCACGGCAGGGAAAAAGACACAGGGCGCGCCACCTTAAATCCCGTAATGGCTGCTACACCTGCAAGCAACGAAGAGTGAAGGTCCGTCAGTCATCGCATTGCACCGTATTGAATTTTCTATTGACCTCGTATTGCAGTGTGATGAGGTAAGGCCTGTTTGCGGCGCATGCTCGTTTCGCGGTGAATCATGTTCATATCCTCCAGCGCCATCCATGTATGTATAGTACCACCGACCCAGTTGATAGAGGGCGTATCTGAACCTTTCATTGCAAAGCTCCTGCTCAGGCCAATATACTGACATGAGATCTCATAGCTCGGTAGACTCAGATGGCTCTCAGCGCTTGCGAAAACCTAAGCGGGTGGTTCCTATACCGTCCCCCTTGCAGCCGTTGGAATTCCATCTGCCCAGGTTGTCCGCAACCCCAGTACCAATACTGGATGGACAAACGCTCAACATGGCTGACATGAATCTCCTAACGAAGTTCATGCTGCAGACATCGAAAAAGATGAGTCTCCATCCCAAACGGATGTTAATTTGGCAGCAAGTTATCCCAGACATGGCGGCAAAAAGGGAATACCTGATGCACCTACTCCTGGCGCTCGCTGGGGCACATGCTTTATATGAGTCAGACATAGCAAAATGCGGAAGATTGGGCATGGGCGATAATCAATTAACCTCTTCCTGTATTGATAATCCTACGATCCACGACCTTCATCGCATTATTGAACATCACCAAAGGGGGCTAAAAGGATTCCGAGAGGCTCTATCCGACATGACTGCTGCCACGGCAGAATATGTCTTTTGCGGCTCACTCTTGATCGTTGCCTTTGCCTTTGCCTCTTTATCCATTCGAGATTTAAACAGGATAGAACCGGGACTGATGAACGAAGACAATTACGAAAGTCCGTTTACTGACTGGCTCCATTTGGTTCGAGGGCTGACAAGTGTGGTTCACGAGCACTGGTCTACCCTTAAACTCGGCAGACTGAGAGCTATGTTCTTTTACGATTACGCCAACGACGATTGGAGACATACTCTTTCATCAGCCAGTGTTCCGCGTTTAACTAATGGCTCGCGCATGGTGTTGATGTTTGCACAAGGCGCCGCTCGAGGACTTTCCATGCTACGCACCTACGCAACCACATTATCTTCCAGCCGTACAGTACACGAGGCCGATGCTCCCTCACCCCAGAGTTCGTCAGATACTCATGGAAAAGCGGATGAATTAATCCAGGGACATGATAATGCCATCGATAAACTAGAGGAGATGTATATGCGTATTCTTAATGTGTTTCACTTCACAGAAAGTGGACGTGATTGCTCTGCGTCGCGGGATTTTCAGATCGATCTAGAAGAGGCTGCCGCCACATCCTGGCCTCAAATGGTATCGAACGACTTCATTGCTTCACTCAAACCATGTAATCAAGTTGGGATTGCCGAGGGATTCTCGTACACGATATTGGCCCATTTTTATCTAGTCTTCGTTCTCTTTGAGGATCTGTGGTATCTCAACAAGGGCTTTCACGAGGAGATCAAAAAGATCTTTCGGCTTGTCAGTGATTTGAACAATGATCGACTCCTAGCCCTTATGGAGTGGCCGATGGCTGTCATAGCAGCAGACCAAAAGGAATGAAGTAATGTCCCATATGAACAGTGGGTTCATCGCCGGATATTTTCCATGAAATGTTTTGTCACATCCTATAAAACGAGCTGGACTTACTATACCCACCAAAAAGAGCAACAGCATGATAATGAATGAACCTCCCTTCTTGGGGAGCGTTCCCAGTTTATCCTTCTTGTTCTAAGCGCTCGCACACGATGTTTATCTATTTGATCAATGATACGGGGCTCGTACCTTCGTATCCTCGTAGTATCGTATCGTTTGGTGATGATCTCCGAAGGTGTGGATCTTCCTAGATTTTAGGTTATGGTTCATTCCCGACACTGAGGGATTGGGTGACCCACAGCTTACTACGAATATACGAGTATACGAATATACGAAATAGCCCACGTCAACTTCATACCAACGTCGATGAGGAGGCTTAGCCATGTTTGTTTTATACACACTGCAGACTGTAGGGGCAAATTACCCGAGTAAGCAGACGATATATAACATATAAGTACTTTCTGCGGACTTCAAAGTGACCAGACATAGATTAATGTTCCACCATCCTAGAGATTTCCAAACGTGGGCACACCCTCTCAACCTTTGAAGGCGTAGCAAGAGCCCGCTGTAGCATGTTCTCTATAAGTGCTAATTGTAATTGTATAATGTTAACCTCAATAACGCTGAGGCTCAATTATTTTGGCTTTTGTATGTGCCGGATACCAAGAACCAGAAGACCAAAGTCTGCTTGAGTATGAAAGAGGGCAATAGTGGCATCATGAAAACTTAAATTCGGTTCTCATTATTCTGTTTTTGGTTTAACTACAGTGATCTGCGAAATCAGCCTGCCCCCCTAAAACTCATGGTAGCGTTTTGAAAATTCGCCAAGAACCGCTAGTATATATATAGTTAGACTGTATAATACCTCTACGTATCCTGTAATTGTATTATTAGTATTATTTACAAGGTTTATTTTCGTTATTGTAAAGAGCATACACATGTGACTAGAATCTTCTATGCAAATCGGACAAACGGCTGACACCCAACAGATTGGGCAACTTGTCAACACTCTACTCTTGCATTTCTCATTGAAGAGTTTGGTATTTCGAGAAAATACTCCTACCAGTAGGGACTAACAGTACCTAGAGTACTGGGTGTGCGTCATAAAAACTCATACCCTTGCTTGGCCTGTCAGCTACAGCTTCCCCGCATAATATAATACCTACATTGGGTATCAACACATAGGCTGACATTAACATAGACTAATCCTAGGTTGATCAGCACTGTTTATCATCCCGAGACAATAACATATAGCCCCTCCTATATAGACAATACCTCTCAGTTTCAGCTCCCCGATCCATGGGACAGAGCCTTCGAATATACCCGCACTCCCGGTAACTTCGGTTGCTCACACACGGTGTCTCTCTATAGCCCTTCCCTCAGCCAGATACCCGATGAAGATGCCTTGCAGCAAGTACAAACAAATCAACTTCGGTTTATTTCCCTGGACGTTTGGAAGGAGGAGAGATATATTAAACAGCCACCAATCTGTATTCATTACCTGATTGAGTGGAAAGTAACCCTCAATGGCCGGTCCGTACATAAGGTTACGGAGCACAATATAGTAATAAAACCAAGCGATTTCTGGGGAAAAAGTCTGAAAGAAAAGATTAAGAAGATTAAACTTTATAAATTATTTTATAACCGATAGATTCGGCTAGAGGAAATTACTCTCACAGTATTAGTATTACAATATAGATCACAGCCTACTGTCCACCAGCACTCTGATAGTACTAACATTAATTAAACAGTTATATAGAAACAGCTTCTTGACTGGGATAATCTAATTGAAATGGGCAGATAGCTTAGACTAGACATTTCAATTGGCTATACAGCAGATAATAGTGTCCCAGCCCCCCAAAAAAACAGAGATAAAAAAGACACTAACTCAAGAACCACCCAGATACTCTCTAAAAGAGATACTCATATCAATACTAAGCTTACCTCGGGACAACCTACTGCCTGGCGAGATATCTATAAGAAAATACACTACCCTGGATCATATAAAATCAAGACTAGTACTGCTGACAGGACCCTAATAGAAGAAAGCATTATCCACTCCAATTATACCATCTTAGACGTTTGACCAAGTTGGTAGAAGCCGATTAGCTTCATCTCAACAGCCATAACAATATCCCTAGTAAAATTCGGGAACAACTCTATACAGAAGAGCAGAAACAGCAAGAAAAAGAATAAAAATCCTTAAAGTACCCCTCAACTGAGTCAGATTATTCAATCAATATTAACTTTCTTTCAGTACAATCTCCTCGGCCATACACACTTTCCATACCAGCCAACAGCTCGCCATCAGCACAACACCGAGTCTCCGAGCCTATCAACCCTAGTATTTTTTTTCCCCAATCTTCCGTTGGAAGTAGCGGTGGAGAAGCATAGCAACTAGCAAAAGTCACAAGTAATTTCTCAAAGTTTCAAAGACAATATTGGAAAGATATACAATATAGTATTGACAAACAGTCTTGATCTTGAACAGATTTACAAGAATATCAACCCGGATTTTTTTATTAAACATAGAATAATACTAGGTATTTCTCGCCGTTTTGTTCGCAATATCCGTAAATAGGTCGAGGAAAGATGAATATATAAGCACACAATAACATTCAGAAGAACTACAATTATTCATATATCTAGATTTATACACAATAAAGCGACGCGTTCTTGGATTAGAGTTTTGAGCCGAAAGATCCTCATATATTCGATGGCTAGACACCTCTAGGCACCGCGTATTACGGGCTATTTAACTCCATATTCTTGAACCGATCGGAAACAATAGTTTAGATCTCCTGTCAAACTTCTCCAGATTTCTCGAAAATCGCTGAAATGCATCCCACTGGGCAAATATATCGCTTTCAAAGTTGTGCATATTTCCTTCTTCTCTAAAAAAAGAAAGATTAGTATCCATCAAAAAGATAGGAAAAAAGTCCCGTACCTCAGACATTGGATAGTCAAGAACACTAGACAGTCCTGGCAAACACTATAACTCAAAGTATCCCGCTAAATTGCTTTCACTGTTATTTATACATAGTTTCCAAGGCTCGGATCCGTCATTGCACCAACTCTCGAAGGATTCTCATAGCAATTTTCCGATAATAGGATTTCCGTGGCGGCCTTTAAATGTTTTGAGAAGTAAGGATATATCCGCGCAATTCCATAACAGATTACTGTCAATCAAATACTTTTGATTATAACATCCCGCCCCACTAAGCTTAAAAAAATCCTAGCTGAAGAAGCTCTACTCCAGAGCGGCAAGTATAAGCTTCCCAACACTTCACAGTAGCAATATACCGATCGAGTTTCGGCTCCTCTAACAATTGTTAGTATAACAAACCTAACACAGTAAAACAACACTCCATACTACTTAATTCCCGGGCGACCTTGATACATTGCAAACGTAGATCGACCATCCAACTTTCCTCTTCCCAAACACTTGACAAACGTGAAAATACTTGAACAAATTCTAGAAGTAGGAGACAGCGAAAGCAACTATATATTGGCTAGTAATTAACCGCATAGCTAGGGCGAAATACATTCACTCTTATAATAATACAATTAGCACTGATTTTAAGACTTGGCTCATCAAATAGCTGGCCCACCCTTAGACTGCACAGATTACAAATAAACCCATTGCCCAAATCACCCTAATAACAGCAAAGAACCACATTAGGTTCTTGGGCCTTCATCATCTCAGTAAACATACACTCAGCTTCTTTATTGAGTTCAGCTTTCTCTACACCTTCCAGAGAATACGGCAATATGTCGAACATACTGACTTCGTCAATAATCATTTCCCCCAAGTTGCAATAGCTATCAAATTTGCAATATCATCTGCTGTACGGCAAACAGCTGTATCCGCCGTAAAGCCATTATCCTAAGTTTGATTTCGAAATAGTCGAAGTAGGGAAGCCAATACACCACCTTTTGTGGCTGGCAGCGCAAGGTTTGACCTGTGATTACGTTCTGAGCCGGGGATTTGCTGCCCATCTCGCTTTGCGCCTCGTCCAAACTTTTCGAGAATATGAGTATGTGAACTTGTCTCGTTGTAAGTAGGAACCTCAATTCGCTTGATAAGACTTTCCGGGAAACGGCTTTACCACCTATACTCTTTCATAGTTTCCCAACCCCTCATGCCAAGAATGACTAGTCCACAATAGGGATAAAGCGCGGAATAAACTATATTCCTGTTAATTACAGTCTCGCCAATAAATACACTCAAGCTTTGTATTAGTGGATCATGGTAGCCTAGAAGATCCCATGCAAATTAAAACATAAGGAACGAATGTATTCGGTATACGAGGGGCCACTGCAAGCCAGCGGCCAACTCTGGTATTCCATACAAATCGGCACTTTTTGGCACTCGAATATCTCAGCAACCAGAAATAGTAAGGATATAAAATTAAAAGAGGATAAATAATTATGTATGATATAGAAAATTACATTCTTCAAAAACCAATATTCTGATAAAGGCCAGCATGCGCATAATACGGGATGCAAAATGGAGATGAACAGGGTCTGAGCCTTTATAATACTCGCGCTCCTGCATGGAATTGAATTCCACAATGAAAATATGGGTGTAACCCTACACAGGTTAATTAGCCCATCAAAGGGGGGAAAAAAAAGCCATCGAGGAAGTTTTGACTTACACTTGACGACCCTGCACCACATTCTACTCCTCCCCGTATACTTGTTATATACGGATTATGAGAGGAATCCTTGCATTTCTGTGGGAGAGACAGGAATTCCCGCAAAATCTAACAAATGGAAAGGTAAGCTTTTGTCAAGGGAGAAATGACAGCTGAGATTACATACTTCTTGTTGAGTAGTGATACCGATTTCAGGCTTGAATTTGAAGAGGACCAGATGTAAGAAAGGCATTATGGCAAGTCATGGGTTAGTAACGCAACAAGTATTATTATGACTCTATAATAGCTACATGTTGATTGCCGCAGTGGAGGGCCACTTATATAGAAGAAATGGTGGGTCAGCCTACTAGATAATTTTCCGTTTCGAGCCAGTTAGAGCTGTTTTTATAACTTTGGTCGGGGTGTCATCATTGCTTTGTAACCTCAATATCCGAATTTATTTATTAGTGATTACAAAGTAGCGCGGAAGAGCATTATCCGTACTGTATTTTCCAATCAAAGAAAAGAAGAATGCGGATAATGCCCTTCCGCGCTCGCTGCTTAATCATTAATCAGCAATAACTAACCATTTCAATGGGAGGTTAGAAAGCAATATGACGTCCTGACTAAAAACAATGAAAAATGATGATTCAACGTGTTTGGAAGACTCCGCATGAAGATACATATAAATATACCTATAAGTACCATGCTTCAACTTCACTGACAATCAGAAATTTATCTCTTTCAGCTCAATACTTTGGAGCTTCCTTGCACTGCACGGTATACAAATCTGAACGACCCACAACCTTCATACGTGCGACTCTACGATAAAATGACCGTCAGCGAGAACCGGAATATCGCCATTGTGGGAGTTGGATCCCTCATGTCCAAGTCTCTTGCGGTATGGCTAGCGAGTCTGGGATGGAATATCGCACTTGTGTCCCGTTCCGAAAAGAACCTTTCGGCCATCGCTGATGAGGTGCGCCATGCCCAGAAAGGCAAGAATGGCAAAGTTGTCTACAGGGCTGCCGACGCTAGTGAGCCTGAAACACTGAAGGCAACGCTTGACTGGTGTGTCCAACAACTCGGGGGCAAGTTGGACGTTTTGAGTTACAATGCGGCCCGCGTTGCTTTGTCTAATGTCACTGAATTGACAGTCGACGAGCTGGACCAAGACTTCAAGGTGTCAGTGGTGGGCACCCTGGTTGCTGGTCAATGGTTTTCCAACGGCAATGCCAAAGTTGATCGGATTGCAGAGGGTGAATGGCCACTTTTTCTCGTCACAGGTGGAGTCCTAGATAAGGTGCCAGAACAAACTCTTGCCTCACTATCTTGTGTCAAATCGGCATCTCAAACACTGAGTCGTTTGTTTGCCAAGGATTTGCCCGAGAAGGCCAATATTCTAGTCGGCATGCCGCTGATCTCGGGACGTGTTGTCAGTCCGGGGGATAGTGAGTACAATCCGAAGTTTGATACGGAAAAGATTATATCGGAAGTGTTCAAGCCATTCTTTGAGGATCGCGAGAATCAATGTGATGGAAAGACAGGATGGACCGTTGAAAGGATTCTCTAGGAACTAGAGGGTGCAATGCTACCCTGTGCTACAAGGCGGTTTGTTGGTAATAAGTGCGGAAGAGCATTATCCGGATCTGTGGGGTAATGGACTATGTCATAGTGGAGACTATCAAGCCAATCAACGGGGAGCTTCGGCGCAAACGGAAGTGGCCCAGAGTTTTGTAATCTACTCCGTACTCTCTCTCCCCTGGATTAGAACCATCAATTGTATGATCTAAGACTTTCTCTTCCATCAGTGAATTTCCGCGTATGCTAATATGGGTTCTCGTCAGCGTGTATCTGTAGCATGCCAGGCGTGTCGAAAAAGACGCGTCAAGGTGAGGGTTTACAGTGTGGGTGGAAGTGATGATGCGCGCTGACCAGACGGTCTTTCACCCTCATTTTAGTGCGATGGAGTTAAACCACGTTGTTCAAGATGCGCCACATTTCAAGGAATTTGTGAATATCGACATTCTGAAGAAAAGCGCAAGTAAGTCTGTCATCTGTACTATATCATAGAAAATTTATCAGTTCATTTACTAGCCTATTAGACCGCCAAGTAAGCGTTATATTCAATCCTTGCTCTCTCGCATTGACCACCTCGAGCGGCAAGTAGCAGAGTATGCAGTGCAGGACGATAAGGCTTCATCCAAATCGATATCAACTCATGGCTCCACAGTAGCTAGCCAGCAGATGTGTCACTCGACCAACGCTTCAGGGGGCCTGAATTCAGTCCGAGAGCTAGCTGACCTCTGTGGTAGATTAAGCTTGGGAGAGGGGCAGGAACTGCGGTTTTTTGACTCCCGCAGCATCCTCGCCATGATTGATGACCAAATAGATGAGAGGTGCCATTATCACCTGCTAAAGTTCCCTGCGGACCGAAACCAGCGACTAGGCATTGGTGACGTTGATGTAAGTCAGGCAGTTCAACGGACCCTGTTGAGTGTGTTTTGGACATGGCAGAATTCATGGCAATACCTTGTCCATGAAAGTGCATGGAATCGGAGCTATACAGTGCGAGATAATGATTATTGCACACCAGTTTTGCTATACGCGATGCTAGCAGTGGCTGCTCGTTACTCTAATAAGTCAGATGGGTATGGTACTAATGAACCAAGCCTTGATGGTACACTCTTCTCTTCAAAGGCAAAGCAGTTGATTTTTGAGGAGATTGAAGCGCCCCGACTGCCGACTGTGATTGCTGCTGCATTGATTTCAATTGCGGAGTTATCATTGGATCTTGAACCGGCAGGATGGACGTATATTGGTATGTCAATGTTATAGAACCGGACTTACATCCTACTGATAAAAAGGAGGAATTGCTGTGAGGATGGCCTATACCCTAGGCCTTCACACGGACTCTCACCAGTGGGTCGAATCTGGACGCATCACAGCAGAAGAGGCAGAAATCCGATCAATCGCTTGGTGGGGTTGTTACATGATTGAAAAGTGAGCCACCTGTCCCGAACATTCCTACTTTTCTGCAGTGAGCTAATGGACGGGAGCTAGGTTTTATAGCACTGCGCTAGGCCGTCCAAGCGCATGCAACGATCGCGATATTCATACCCCGTTGCCTACCGTACTACCTGAGGTTGAATATAGAAGCTTTCAGGGGTCATTTGCATTAGATTCTGGACTCAATGTGCCTATCAGCTATTCTATAACCAATTTCCGCTACACCTGCGATATGCTTCGACTGGTGACTAGTCCCATGGACGAAATGTGAGTTGCTTTACCTACACGTATATCCTAGGATTGCTTCCTGGAGAGCGATCACTGACGCCGCCATAGATACTCAGCGGACCCCAAACCCAAGCTTGAAGACAGAATCGCTCCCGCTCTCAAGACAGCTATTGCATTATCTGCCTTCTATGATAAAATTCCAAGTGTAATCCGTCTGCCCTCTTTCGCCTCAGGTATCCCCGTGGCTGTGCATATCTACTACTTTCAGTAAGGGTTGACCACCCCTTACACCTTCATATTAAAACTAAACTGTTAAGTATCCATTATCATAGCCTCAATATTCTCATTCACCGCCCCTTTATCTCTGGGCAAGGCACCCCTGCGATGCCCGGAATTAAACCCGAAATAGCCCACCGGAACTTCTCAGAATGTACTAGGTCCGCCGAGACTCTGACGTTGATATTAAAAGAAATCGAAAAACATTACTCTTTAGTAAGTGGGAGTCCTTACCTTATTACACTCTTTCGTAGAAAATGGATAATTGACTGCCCTTCCACAATAGAGAACTGCTACCATATCCATAATCCATCCAGCCCTGACAGCCGGCATAATTCATCTCGTCAATTTGACTCTGCCATACTCCGCATTGAAAGAGAAGTCAAAGATTTACTTTCGCCACGTTATCCAGGCTCTGAAGCAAATGAGTATTGCTTGGGTATGGGCACTTCGGGCAATCCGTCTCCTAAGAGTGGTTGCCCACCATTGGCTACCTGGAGAATATGCAGAATTAATGGAACATGCGTTGGCAGACGTCTCCATGTCAGCAAATTCAATGCTACAGGCGTCATCAAACACCCCGCCACCACTCGATATGTCGGATCATAATCAATCTTGGGACGAGATTGTACAGCAGACCTTTGATCTATCATGGCCCGAGGGGGATTTGTTCCAGTCAGGTCTGTCGTTGTTCCATCTGGACCAATGGCCCGAGATCTAGTCCCAAAGTTTATTAATGCGACCATTTCCACCCCTCGCCGTTGTGAATCGAGTCTCGGTCAAGTAGACAACATTGATTCGTATACGGAATTTATTCCGTAGGGAATCAGCTTGATTTCCAATCTATCTGATCTTCATCTTGTCTTAACACAAATCGGTATTTTTCATACACACCAAGGTAGTGGCCACAAAACAGATGAATGAAAGTCTGATCATCTAAACTATCTCAAATTTCTAGTCACTTAAGTATTTCCAACTAAATCCTCTAATCATGCCATACTTCATCTAGTTGAAATGACAGTCAGGTGCGATGGCTGACTCATCTGGATCCTCCCAAATCCGGTCATTTTGGTTGACATCTTATAACTAAACCCTCATGTTTTCAGATGTGAATAAAACAATCAACCTTCCTCTGGACCATAACACACGCAAGTCTTTCCTATATGAATGGTATTGATATAATTCTATCGATATATGGCTTAATGTCGATGCTAATGTGCTAGCAATATATATTGTAGGGCCACCGCTATTCACCAGCTCCGGGAGGATCATTTAATCAGTCTTGTGGCAAACGTGATGTTAGAGAATGGTTTATGTAGCTAAAATATATAATGTTACAAAGTTTAGAAACATATGACTTCATCCTATACAATACTCTGGAGTACGCTGAAACTGGCTTTTCGGCCCTATAGCAGCATAAGTGCTTTCTTGCACAGAGTTTGGGCGATAAAAATCTGCAAGGGTGGCACGCCTTTTGCAAACTGTTGTGCTGATGAGCATAGTCTTGTTCTCCCGGAAGTCATATTTTGATGCCTCAGGGGAGTCCACATTTGGAGATCTAGCAGGGCAACGGCTGTTTGAGCTAGAGAGTTTCTTCCTACGGTGCTAGGCTATATTCATATACACTATGGTTTCTATGATGCCTGTAGGTCTTTCTTTTGTATCTAAACTCTTGAAGCTACTGTAGATACTGCAGACACATAAAAGAATCGTTAACCGAGCGAGGTTGGGCGTCATTGGTGATGATCACCGGACCTTCAGTCGGCCGCTTCTGAGTAAGGTAGAGGATACAGGGCCGGGAACTTAGGGTTATGGAGGATAGGTGGCGTAACAGAGAAACATGTAACTTACAGGGCCTGGATCTACATTGATCTCTTTACCATATGTTACTATGCCTTGACCCACAGTTCTTCCGAGTCTTCCAAAAGGAGAATAGCGGACCTTGAAATTAGGGTCTGGGAAACTATGAAGGAGTCTAGGTGAAGCCGTTTTCCGAAAAGTCTGTAATACCCACTAGCCTGTGGTCAAAAGGAACTCCTAAGCAATCCATGATTGAAGATCGAAATAGGTGAAAAGTGCTGAATCACTATGTGGGCTTTGATCATCCCAATTCGTTGGCGGGGTAGTCTGGTGCCCGGGAAAGAGAGTCTAAACCAAGATAAAGGCGAACATTTACACTGGGGAGCGTGATTTATTTTACAACTGTATCAATACATGGTACAAATAACTGACTCCAGCACATTTTCCATTCATATATAACCGCTAGGAACTAGCTGATTATTCACCTACGGTAAAGCTTCTATATATACTAAGTTGTAAAAAAGGTGTCCGGGTGTTATACACTCTTGTTTTAATAATATGGATCTTCTAGTCTATGGATAGATGGAATTGTGCTTATTAACTGATAGTAAGTGATATGATTGGACTAAATTAATATACTTGATCATATATGGATTAGCGGACCCCCAGAACTAGAAAAAGAGTGTGCAACACCCGGACACTGTTTTTGCAACATAGTGTACCAATATGTCAAGGTAACCTTCAGCTTTCATCAATAATCACCCCCACGTGTCTAAAATGCCCTCTCGCGCTATGTCTCCTTGCACCCACATTATCAACACACCGTTCGAGGAATGCACCAAAATCTTGCTCTGGGTAAGCGGTCCACACTCGTTTGATAAAAGCCTTCAGCTCAGTAAAAAACTCTTCAATGGGATTAAAATCAGGAGAATATGGTGGTAAATATTTTACCCTCACTCCTTTCTTGTTACACATTTCCTGTAGTCGTTTAGAGTGATAGAAGGATGTATTATCCATAATAAGCACTGATCTAGGGTCAGGAAATCTTCCGCAGTGGTGAAGAAGTTGTTCAATAAAATCCTCAAAAACGGCAGTATCTGTAGAACCCTTAAATATATAAGAAAGAAGAATTCCGTCTTGAGTATACGCAGGCAATATCTGGTAACGCTGGCCCCAATGAAATCTAGATCTCTGAACCGGTGTTATACCTAGAGGAGACCAGCCTGTTCGTCTGATCCCTGCGCGTGTGTCACACCCAGACTCATCGACGTAGAACTAATTGATATGAGCAATATTCATCGCGTATTTCAGGGTTTCACTCTTTCGCCTTTTGCCGAATTGTTTTTCTCGACTATTTAATTTTCTAAAGAGCCCTGCTAATACTATCGGTTGAGACATTAATATTAAATCCATCCCATAGGAAGCCCGCTATTTCATCAAGATATAAGCCTGGCTTGTCGAGAAAACGCTCACATAGAGCATCTAGCATAGACAGGGTAATACTCGGCCACCGCCCTACACAATTTGGAGGCACCCCAGGAGTACCAAACATGAGCAGATTAGAGCATATATATTTGACAGCTTGCTCACTGCACCCCCGCGGCAAAAGCTGTTTTAGATATCGACATTCCATTCTTCGTCATATCACAGATAAGTTGTTTCTTTGCCGGGGATAGTGGGGGCACCATTTTTAACGGTAATACTGCTGTCGCAGGATGTTGACAATGCAGAGAAAGAGACTGAAAGATCAAGGTCATCAATAAATCAAATAGTACTGGTAATTTACCAAGCTCTTTATCGTTATATATATCATTACAAGACACGTAAAGTTTCATTATAGTGTCAAGCATACATTAACTGTATAAGGAGTAGCGTGTCTTGGCATATGATTTAAAACGCGACACAGTTTTTTTTAGGGGGGGCAGGTTGGTTTCGCAGGTCACTGTATCCACAAGAGACTATCCGGGAGACCGATCGCCCCGAGGGACCCAGAGGAAGGTGGAGATTGAAGTGTACTGTGTGCCGCACAAAGATGCTGAGATCGCTAGCTAATGATTTAGTCAGTCGAAACTTGAACTAGAGGAACCTATAATAAAAGTGAAGACTACCCGGTGTGGGCCTGGAGAGTCTTATTTTACCTCATATCATTTTTGGATGATTGTCAGCAAGCACTATAGTACATTAGTTATATTCCGCGCTGCTGTGATTAACATCACATCAATATTATAGTATAAAACTAAGTCAACCTCAACGGAATCGACTTTACTTCAAAAGTAGATGAATAATGTTATCGAGAGGACTATATAAAAACAGCATTCCGAATTCATGGCCATTTCCGTCGCGATTCGTATTTTCGCATTCTCGTACCCTCGTATACTCGTACGGCCGCGGGCAACCGTTTTTAGAAATATGCCGAGAGCGGGTCACTTTTAATCTGGGTGAAAGATCTTTCAGTCTCGTTGCCACTATGGTCCACTCTTTCTGAACCTTGCCCTTGGTCTATTGACGCAACTATCATTGGCTAAAGATTTGGTCTCGACGAAGTCAGTTTTATGGTTACCTTGGGTGTCCCGCTTACTCCTATCGACTTAGATATAATTGTTAAGTTCAAAGCCCTAACCGGTCATGGATCGGGGTAAAAGACTAGATGGGTTAAAGTGGAGTCATAGCGAAGAATCTATTAGCATGATTAACAGGTTAGAGTATATATTAAGAAACAACGATAACGTCTGAATGTTTCGGTCATTTGTTCCTCTTTCCTCCTCTTCTCAATCCCTTCTCGGTCCATCTGTGCTTTAGCCTTTGATCTCAAACTTCTGAGAGAAAGCAGTCTGGGTAGAACTTGGATTTTTTTTATTACAGCTACTCGATATCTACTATCTTTACAGCGCAACTCTTCACGTTTCGACCGAGATGGACTCCACCGAAGGGACGTTCGACTTCAAATTATACCGCTATACACCCTCGCTTGCGGCGGCAGTCCTCTTCCTTGTTCTATTCGTTTTAATCACACTATATCACCTGTACCAAGTCATACGCTTAAAATCATGGTATTTTCTTGTATTCGTTATTGGAGGAGTTTGTAAGTCCGCCCCTCCCCCCCACCTCCTCCTCTTCCTAACCTAAGCAAAAGGAAGTAGAAAGAAATGAGGGAAATACTAATGTATACGTATAGTTCAGATCATCGGCTATATCTGCCGAGCAATAGCACATAACGATACCAACTCTATACCCATCTATTCTATCCAAACTATCATGATCCTCCTTGCCCCACCTCTCTACGCTGCATCGATATACATGACCCTCGGTCGATTAATCCAGTACCTGGACGCGGAAGCACTCAGCATCGTACCCATAAGATGGTTAACCCTGATATTCGTGATCGGCGACGTAGTCGCATTCGTCATGCAAGCAGCAGGTATGCATCATCCTCCTCCCAGTTTCCATCCAGCCTAAAACTAACAAAACGAAACCTCTAGGCGGTGGTATAATGGCCAGTGGAACTCTCAGCGCCATGAACACCGGCGAGACAATTACGATCATCGGTCTTGCCGTGCAACTCGCATTCTTCAGCGTCTTCATCGTCACCTCCACAATCTTTCACTGGCGAATTCACAAGAACCCCACGGAGAAATCGTTACTCAAAACCCAACCCAAGTGGACGGACACTACCTGGGTAACTATCATGGGCGTACTTTACGTGTCCAGTGTGCTTATCCTCGTGAGATCGATTTTCCGTTTGATCGAGTATGCACAGGGTAACGCTGGATATTTGATCAGCCATGAAGCGTTCATGTATGTCTTTGACTCGATGCTGATGTTCCTTACTATGGTTGTTATGAGCTTCTATCATCCTTCGAAGCTCTTGAACCCGAGTAATATGGAACGGCGGGGTGGGCAATCGGATGATACTACTACGCAATTGCATCGGATTGCGTCGGCTTAGTGTTCGTCGGATCTACCATCGCTTGTATTTCGGTTTTTCAGATACCTATTTGAGTTCGTTGTTGTGGCTATTACCATTTGTCTTTGATAGTGCACTTGCATTTGAGTTTTCCTAGATAGATTAGATCTTATGCGGGGCTGTAACCTATATTTGATGCTATCATGGTTTAGAAGTTTAGCCATTAAACCCTGCGTTATCTTCCCGAAGCAGATAGGAGGTGTGAAATCTGATTCTTGGAATTATTCCTTGTGCAAGCCACGTTTTACGTCATGATAGGTCGACAGATTGCCTAATGAGTGGGTCAGAAGGTCATTACTATATCCAATTTACATGTTCATATCGTCCTCCATATTAAGCATGCACTGTAGGCTTTCCACATTCTAGAACTATTATTTGGGCCCCTAAGGGGCTAGATCTAAAAGTTGCTTGGCGGCTCCTCTGCCGTTAAACTAGTTGACTTTTTGCTCTTCTTTTTACCTTTACTCTTCTTCCCTACTCTGGTTGTTTCCTTGCTCTCGACTGGTGAGAGCCCAGAGTACACATAGCCGACATCTGGTTCAGGGGCAGGGTCCTCTGCGGGAGAAAGAGCAGCCACAAGGGATGTCAGTAACTATTTCATTTCCAACCACAAGATCACGTTTAGGACTCACAGTTAAAGATATGCTCAGGCTCACTCATTAACGGAGTATCCATGCTCAATGATGGGCTTCCATTACCATTGTTTCCACCACCACTAGTACCAGGATTCTCCAGGTGGTTGGCTTGGGGAGTGTCCGTGCTCGGTATGGCTACTCTTGATTAGCTCTATCACTCTTGGATATTAAGGATATAATGGTGTTGGCATACTTATCCCTTGTATGTTGACAAACCTCCTACAAGTCTTCGACCCATTTTCTAGAGTTTCGAGCTTTTTGGAGAGTTGTTCGCGCAAGTCGCGATTCTCCTTCGATTCCCCTGCAATACGGGAGACCAGTGCATCTGGCATGTCGTGTACCCCTATTGGTGAAAGCAGTTGGTTAAGAGACTTCGTAAGAATAGTTTCTACGACGTCAGTGGCGACACCATCGATGAATCGCTTGAGTGCAACCTGGACTATGTCAGCATTTCATGCTCCTAGGGCCAATGACAAAGCTCCAAGGCACATACTTTGTAGTATGCCAGTGTACAATCGAGAGCTTCCCGAGCGGCGTAGCGGATCATGTCCGTTTCGGCGGATTTCAGCAGCGAGTTCAAAAGCATATAGAGGTTAAATTTCCCCCTACTGTCACTGGTATAAGAGTTGCAGTTGCCGCAATTGCCACAGTAGTCTTGGTCTGGTTGTTCTTGTTGGTTGTTGTTCTTGTAGTAGATATCAACTGATGTTGTAATGTTGGGCACGTCGAAGAAATCAGTCAGAACGCCGGAGAATCTGTCCTTCATTATATCGCGGCGGGCCTTCTGTAGATCCTCGGTAAAGGAATGATTATAAGTAATTGTATGTCCACCTTGATGCGGCTCCAGCAATTCAGTCAGCCTTGCCTCCATGTTTTTCAAAAGATCACTGAGGGCTGGTTCAACGACCTCCTTCAACAACGCTCCCAAGGTTGCCATATCGCTCACGTCCGCAACGGCAGCATAAATAAATGTTTTTGTTGCTTCCCAGACTTTAGTGACGTGAGAATTTGCAATCTTTTGCCATGGTTGGGATTGCTCCTTAAACAAATCATTGATGATCATCGGGTTGAACGTTCCCGGAAGCTCCCTCCCTCTGGTTCGCCTCAGTAGCATTTCGATATGCTGGAGATACTCTTCGCGAGTAACACACAATTGTGTGTCTGGTGTTCTTCGCCGGCCCTTAGTGTTGGATATGCGACGGTAGTGCCCATTTTCGTTTATGTGCTGCGCGAAATCTTCATTCAGGTTCTGGATGACTGCACGCATTCGCTTATTATATCCATTTTCTGAGTGGGCACTCTCAAAGAATGAGGTATTATAACTGCCGTCTAGACCAGATCTCACGAGAGTCTGAAAGCATTGGCTGATATGGAGAAGATACGATCGCTGCTCCTTGAGGGTAGCGCGAGGCTCTCCGAGGTTCTCGAGCCTCTTAGCACATTTGTCTATCTCAGACTGGATCTCATGGATCAAGCTGGGTAGCTCTGCGGCGATTTGACCAAGAAGTAACTTACTGAGTCGTTGTCGTAGTGTGTCTATACCGACGTGGGCCCGTGGCAAGTCTTCCCAAATACCCTGGGAAAAGAACTCGGCTTCCTCTTCTCCTCGAACAGAAAGATCAGAAGTCCCTCTCTCCGTGTCCATATTCTTGAGGACATGCCAGCCGAGGCGGAAACTGACTTCCTGGTTCTTAGCAAGCGAGACAAACTGGAGTTCACTTCCTGAGCCCTCAACCAATGTATCGGGTTTCGTGATGACACCAAGTGTTCGTTGGCCGGAGGGATCGGCCTCTCGGGCGAGTCGGAGAACGATCTGGTTTGCAAAATCATTTTTGGCGGATACAACGGCGAGAATGATACTCCTTCGCTGCTTCATATATGATTGAACGACATCTTGAACGAGGGCGACATCGGCGGCGGACTGCAACTTCGTTTCCGAGTGGATCAACCCAGGAAGATCGACGATCGTTAAATGGGGACGGTCGGGCCCCGACACCTCAACTCGAAGGAGGTCATTTGAGAAGGCTTTGCCATTCGTAAATATACCCATAGCAGCCTTTGCGTTTTCGATCAGATTTGGAAGTCCTTCGAAGCTCTGGAGCTCCTCATGAAAGCGCAAGAGGGTGTCCCGTTCCACATGATTACGCGAGTGATGAGGGACAATGGATACTTTCACCCCAATGTCGGGGCTCTTGCGCAGAACAAGCTCTGTGGGGAAGCGTGTGCAAAGGTTGCTTTTCACAGGGAATGAAACACCAGATATCGCCTCCAACACGGAGCTTTTGCCTGAAGACTGATCTCCGCACACAATTATCTGTGGAAGAGAGATATAGTGACTGATGCCCTGGAGACGGAGCGTATCGACTGAATCTAGGAGCTCCAGGTGCTCTTCTGCGCATAATGCGTCCAAGGAACTCGTTGAGAACTGACGCAGGACCATTTTCATCAACAACTATCTGGTATGGGGTCTAGTGAAGTCAAGTAAAAGCAAAGGAGAGGGTGGTTTAGTAAAGACGTAAAGTGTCCAGAATAAACTTGTGAGAAACAAGATCAAAATTCAATCGACCACAAAGCTAAGTGGTTCGCTTGGTTAAAGACGATGTAACAGAAGAAGGAGATGCCGACGGAGCAGATTTTATACCAAATCGATGTGCGAACAAAGGGGGGTTTAATTTACAGAAAAGCGTGTGGCTGCCTGCCATAGATCATTATCTAGTAAGGCAGTCATTGATCGACAGTCTATGCGACTAGCCGAACCTTCCAAGATAGGTTAGTAGGATACCTATCCATGCAAGGCTGAGATTCCATCTTGTCTATTACCATGAGCCAAAACTGCAATGTAGCTGCGCCGGTTCCCAAAAGGGAAGTATCCTGCTCGACGGGGTTTTAAATACTGCAAGCGGCATAGCGCAGCCACTTGGCCGTGAGCGATTGGAGAAATTAATCGAGGAGAAGGGAAATTGGCTTGCATAGAGTATACGGAGTATGTGCTTGACATGAAAAGTGTACATTCTTTGTCAAGGAATAAAATGCCAATGGTGTTTAAAAAAAAAAAATAAACAAGAAGGGAAACAAAACCACAAAGGCCCCAAATATGGAATTTTGCCAGCGTAACCCACTCCTTACCAGACGCTCTTCCTGTCCACCTCCCAGCAGTTGTTCGTAGGACAGGTCAGATACATCAGGGATGGAATACCGCATGACCAAGCCAACCTGGTCTTCTAGTTTCAAGAAGGATGAATCGGGAAGAACTATGTAATAAAGGCCGTTCTCCATCAAAGCCCGGTAATAAGTCAGTATGTGTTTCCTGCCAATCCTCCCAAGTATTCGGCATCAATCGTGTTCCATCATCCACCAGCCATTCCTGACGCGGTGGACACAAGAACACCAAGAACTGCAATATTTGACTACGCAAGCATTGCCATTCTCCTGTGCTTTCCAATATCTCTCGGCCGCCTTGGAGCCCATACCTAGCGGCATACACAAGAGCATCAAGTCCGGACCGGTCAGATAGAATTAGGTTACCGGATTGTTTGCGTTCGGCTTCATATTGTGCGAGAAGAATCAATTTCTGGACTTAAGTGCTTTCCATGGGTTATTCCTAATAGCATCGCGCGTGATACTGTGCTCCCGAAGAAGAGTTCGAGCTACTTCCGAGATTCTGTGCATAACGATGTAGTTCTGATAGCTGTGAAAAGCGTTGCATGTGGGATTCACAAGAGTAGTCTTTCCTGTAAATTGTGCTCCTATACTATAGACAGAAGTATCGGGTCGTATTTTGGAAATAGAAATGGCATTTCTCGTGCAAATGGAAGATTGGCTGCAGATGGGAATAAATCAGTGAGTGGAGGATATCTTTATACGACGGACTAGCAGTGAATAAAAATGCCCGCTCGGTAACGACATATCACTGTGCATATGGAGACATCTCACAAGCAGCTCTCCTCTCCTACCCAACCCGCCCATAGATCGGCTTTATCAATCTTTCTCTCCATGCACGTTAATTATTCCATGAAGCCCACTTGACCAATACCCCACCTTACCATTGCCTTCACAGAGATCCAGCTGTTTTACATATACCCTGCAGACCAAATTTACACAGACCGATGCCACATGGAGTTACAATATTCCAGGCTTGCTGGAGATAATCAAGGCTGAATGCAGCACAGTTGATTTAGCTAGTTGAATCAGGGTCTAACCCGAGAACCAGAAAGTTTGATTGAATTTTCTCAATGTCCACCCCTAACGGGGCCACTTCGTCAGCCCTTTGGACTGGCGAATCCATTTTTTGTGCCCAGATACCTGTCCTGGAACAGTATGAGGGTTGGCAATAAAGATGCTGAAGGGCTCTACATCAGTACAGAGGCGCAGAATCTGTTCAATGGTTTAACCTGGCCTTCGTGATTTAGTGTCGACATGTAATTCGACCTAACGATAGAATAAATAACAAAACCATTCCGCTTGCCCTTCTCTATAAGACAACCTAGTTTTGGTAAAGGCTTAATGCACCACTACGTTGGTTGTTATATGAGATAAGTGCTAAAGTTACAATGAGACGCTGAGCAAAAGAAAAACAGAAAAAGAAACAGAAAAAGAAACAGAAAAAGAAACAGAAAAAGAAAGAAAGAAAGGAAAAAGAAAAAGAAAAATATAAGAAATAAAAATAGAGAAAGAGGTAGAGAAATAGAAGAGCTTTCCGGCTCTCAACTATTACATGGGTGCACGTATACCTGCCTTGAGTGGGCCTCTCTTTTAATAACTGATCCCCAAGCAGCTCATTATGTCGGAATGGATGGTCAACTGAATCGCCAACTTCCTGATAATCTAGACATTATACGTAACCTATTTGATGAGTCACATCGTTATTCATTTAAATGATTTGATTTCCACCCAGCTTCTGTCAAGCCACTGAGTCCAATAGCTGTTATAGCCATCTATGTTCAGAGTTAAGACATTTCATCGGGGTTTGAAGCTGTATCCATTAGACCCCTTTTAGAAAGTCTCATGTTGCCTAGAACCATGACCTTTTCCGTAAATCTGGTTTAGCATGAACAGTGTATTTGAGGGTTAAAGCGCTCATTTATCCTCTGTATATAAATCTGCAGCTTCAGCACCAAATGGAGTGCGTCTAATATCCTAAGAAAAAATATCTTCATCAGCTTTTGTGGAACAGGCCGTGCCTTGTAACAACACCAGCTCAGGTTACTGATATTTTCCAGGTGTAGAGAGAACATGTAGATGGTATCTCATCTCATGAGGCGCATATCACATTTCTCCTGTGTTGTTGTGCTGCACTTAAGAGTGGTGTCAACGATGCTATGGCCCCTGCCTGTCATTGCCAATTATCGATGTTGCCTAAGAGCACTACTACATTTAACCTTCTCCACTCTGCTCTAGGATAGAGTGACAGGGCATGATGACATATTCAGAAAGTCCGATACATGGCTATTCTAAATACATTTCAAACTGGATCGGCTACTGGTGTGGTTTCTTCTCCTGCGGATATGACTCGACCAAGTCCGATAACGGGAGACATGAAGATATCTACTGCGACTAGGCAGATGGCGAAGACTAATGAGAGTTGTTCAAAATCACATTGATGGGTTGACAGTTGGAATAAAGCGATTTGTAATGTATGTCTATATTATAGACCTCATTCAGCATTGTTCTCACTTGAGATGGCCAAGCTTTCTGGCACCAGACAAATCTTCCATCATAATTCCCAGTGCCCTGTGCTTACATTATAAAAAATATTGAATCCAAATGCTTCGTAGTGTCGCTTATGTACAGTACAGGGGAAATCAAAGCGAATTATTCTCTCCTCCAGAATGTTCTTCCACCTGGTAGATATCCATACCTCGCTTAACGAAATTAATGAACGGCCAACAAAAGAAAGCAGCAATTGAGACTTACTCCGGGGTTCCCCCGTAGGTCGAGAACAAGATTCGTTGGCGGTTTTAGGTATACCCACTTCTTACCCACCGGTTCCAAAAATGACCCAACGTAACTATCCCAAGTTAAGTTGTAGCGAACATAATCCAATTGGGTAATCTTTCCACCTTGACTACTATTCTCATCACATGAAAAAATCTTTTAACCTGCAGCAAGTCAAGAAAGGACAAGACGCTAGTGCGGGAGCCAAAGAGTCTGCTAGCCGTGGATCGGAGACTCAATACGAGATCACTGACATCGAATCACATTTAACCATAAAATTAAGTGTCTTTGAAACCCCTGCTGGTGGTGACACCGGGGCCAGACCCGAACTCGAGTCGGCTCAACCGATGTTCCAGTCAGTAACGTTCTTTAGCACGGAGCATCTTAAATAGCCACGGCCGAAAAAAAAAAATATAAATGGTGGAACGGCCCACCACAACTCCCGCGGAACCACAAAATCGCGGCACTAGACATCAATCCCCATCTGCCTAGGTCTAGTGTTTGCTCTAGCCTAGGCCCTAGGGGTTAACCATCCACTCCGGCCGAGGTTTGCATTAGGCCGAGAAAGGAAATCAGTCGTGTGCGGACCAGAAGCTGCTACGAGCTGCCTACCATCTGCCTCGCTGGTGAATATTCACCTATAATACCGTTCTTTCTCTGGTTATTGGTTGATTCTTTCGTGGTTCTACTGGCCATTACCATGCCCAAACTAGACTTATTATGTTGTTGAGAAGGTGCTCGAGGAAAACCATGGGAGACAAGAGGCTAAGCAACAACCCAGGGGCGATTTATCCACTCGCTTAATTCATGGCCGACACGGCCGTAGTCTAATATGCAGCTGATATCCCCATTCGTCGTTAGTCGGAGTCTAGTCATGTTTCGCCCCTTCGTTTAAAATAAGCAAGACATCCCTGCTGATTGTCCTGAATCTATAAAGACCGACTATCACGCCTCGTGTGAGTTTAGCTTACCACTCTTATTTCTTCTTACTTGCACGAGAGAACCGACAATCGCCATGGACAGCCATGACCTCTTTCTCCATGCTGCTGCTACCGGTGACGTAGCATCCATGGAACAGGAATACCTGAAAAACAAGACAGTCCTCTCTAGCAAAGACTCCGCTAACCGGACGGCTCTCCACTTGGCTGCCCTTAACGGTCACTCGAAAGCTGTTGAACGGTTGCTGGACTATGGCATTGCTTGGTGTTCCAAGGATAATAAGGGCCAGACAGCATTGCATCTGGCCGCCCAGCTATCGTCTGCAGCAATAGCCAAAACCCTCCTTGAGAGAGGCGCGAATTGCTGCACCCAAGACCATGACGGGAAAACACCGATATTTTACGCCTACCAAAACTATTCCCCCGATGTCGTGAGTTGTTTTCTAAAATATGTCGAATCATCATGCGGAACGGACAAGAATTGCAGCCTTACGCCACAGATCATTCTCCGAGGCGGCTGCCGGAAATGGACTCCTCTCCACGCTTAGTGAGGCTGCACGGTCCTTGAATAGAGTGCGCCGGTCTGTACGGCGCAAGGCTTGAAAATTCTCTCTCCCTTCGCCACCCAAATCCCATTTCTGGAGAAATTGCGTGTCCGATCTCGTTTATTCCGAGTATATCCACCACGCGCCTTCATCCCATCTCGGAAAGTCAACCCCGAATGGCGCTGGGGAATGTTCTCTTTTATTCGACAATCGAGTAAGATGCCGTACGCGCTGGATTACAAGATCCTCTTCGAACAATGACTGCACCATCATAATATCGGATCGACACAGCGAAGGGAAGACCTCCCCCCACTGTCAGCCGCAGGCCAGCCCTGCGACAGCCCTGCCTCCCGACGAGAATTCCGATCCGCCGTTTTCCGCGCGTCTCCCAGGCGTCGCCCGAGGCGTGGGATGGTGACGGTGACGGTGGGTGTGGATCGAGGGTGGTATACGGATTCTTAATGCACAGCCAATGGGAACCCTCACCCTGAAAGCGTGGACGGCTATGGTGGGGCATTCCAACTGCAACAATATACTAGCCAATACCTGTACTTTAGCCTATGGATTATCTCCTGTTCAATAATATTACCTTTGACGTACCAGATCTTGTACAGTGGGAGTATTTGTCAGAGCTAATTTCGGAAACAACGAACGAAGTAGAGACTATTGGCGTCGCAAGATATCGGGAGCCTTCTCTGTAACCCAAGGGATATAATCATACGTAATGGATCTTCATCACCTCTAAAAAATAAATGTTTAGGTCACAAGATGAATTGACTCTAGCTAGATTAGGATCTAGCTTATTCGCTCTCGAATCGACAGGTCAGCTCTCACCTTCAACAATACTACGTTGTTGGGCTCTGATGATCGTAGAACTTCTTTTTTGGACTCCACTTGGGCCTTGAGGCACGAGAACACGGCACATGCTGAGGCTCGAACCCCTATAATAGCCGGGTTTGGCTTTTCTCGACAGTTCAGAGAAGACGTGGCTTGTTATTGGCCCCAAGCCCGTCCGACCCTCTGCCTCAGCTCCATCGGTCGTTCTTTTGATTGTAATATACCCTTCATCGTCCAGCTCCTGTAGTGCTCGCCAGATACACAGACGATAAGTAATAGGTGGCATAAGGAACACTTCGTCAAATTCACCGTCCAGAGAGTTATGTAGAACAGAAGCTATACCGCAGTTTTCAGCTCAATCAGCAGAGTTACCCAGTTCCAGAGCTTGTCAGCCTTCTTACGACGGTGCCCCCACTTGTAACCTGTTCCGGTCTCGTGCCAAGAGGGGGATATGCCACCGCAGCCAAGGCTCTCTGCGAGTTTGAGGCCGTAACGGAATTAATACTTTGCGCGTACATCACGAATATAGGAAGGAATGATATGGAATTGCGTGACATGGCTTGATTGGAATTGCCCTAGGTAACTTTGAGATTGGGGGCATGCAATGAGTTGGCGAGCCATGCTAGACGGTTCGACTTTATATCGTTCGTTGGCACTGTCTGTAAGTAAATCTACTATAAAAAGGTAGGCAGAAAGAGGGCTGAGACTTGTGAGACAGGGCGGAAGCGGTCAACTGGCTGGTTTAACTGTCGATCATATTTACCCACCTGTCGCCCTCTGCTTCCCTTTCATGAACCCATGAAACCACTGCAGCACCACTGACCAACCCTAATATGAACACCTTCAGGTTGCATTACAGCTATTATAATATTATTAGGATCCACATTGATCGATGATAGCCACCAGCAGCGCGTGTGAAACATCGCCTCAGCCGGGCTCTCGCCCCCAGAACGCCTTGACCACCTTGTCCAACAGAGGAATGGTCATTCCTGCTCTTTGATAATCGAAGATGATCACGGACTAATCTCAGCTGTGGACACCGCATATATCATCCCCTCGTCCATTCTCTATGAAATTGTATGCGCCGAGAAGGTAAACCGTCATAAATAATAGTGGAGTGGAAAGGACAACATGCTCAAAGCTGTAGGATCGTTTATATCGGCTAATGGGGGCATATCTATCGACTCAATATATTGCGCGGCTACAAGAAGTGCTTACGACCGAGGATTGATATATCTTTACCGAATGCGTGGCTTCTACCCTCGAGCTGGCATTCCCAAAGCCTTTCGCAAAGGGGCATGTCGATGTCCTATCAGGGCCGCAATTATTACAGCACCGTGGTATACTGAGTATGGAAAGCAAGCGGAATTTCGAATTTTACAATACTTAGGTGCGTCATTGCCTGTGTACCTTCGGGATGAGGATAAGCCGAAGAATTCGCAGTACTCGCTACGGACTCTATATCCTGAAGAATCTTGTAATCTGACTTTCAGATATGGGACAGAATTACAGAGAGTATTGCACTTTATCAACCTCTTTGCATTTGACACAACGCCGTTAACGTACCCGAATCCTCTCCCTTTTGAGATACACCATCGATTCGCAAACGTGTTGCATCTCTTTTTCATCGAGGATAATGTTGCACGTGGCTGGCAAGAGTCCCATAGGGATGTCTCAGAATTTCCATGGGTGATTCGAAATGCCTTTACAGGATGTGGCTCTTCATACCGGTTTAGGCCCGTCTGTGATTCTGTTTGCTTCTTATATGGCCTGAGAAAAGGCTTTACGGAACATTGTCCGGTCAATGGGATCAATGAGTGCCTTTCAGGTCGGTTGTCAAAGAGTTTGACCCCCTTTCCAAAACAAGGTCATCGCGCTAAGATTGGTTGAGCTATATACCGTATACACCAGCATTGCAGCACCCTGTATAAGTAGATATTATCAAGCAGCAAGGCAAGGTGTATCTAATCATAACTCGTCTACACGGACAGCACAGCTCCTTGCGGATGTCTGGCATCTGATGTCGTATGCCGAGTGGGACTGATTTGCCGACGATCTAAAGGGTTGCATCGCGCAGTGACCAAAGGTTGCAAATCATACCCCATACGTGTTCGGGAACACAATTGGTGGCCCACACCTCGGTCGTCACATCCCTGATGGATCTGGGGGCTCTTCCAACTTCAATGTTCGCCTCACCAGCCATCTCAGTGATATATTAGCTAACATATTTCCTGGTCCCAATATTGGTTTCGATCATCGGTCATATTTTACGCTGGCAGACTTGCATCCCCTGAATTTGCCTGTGGACAGTGGACGGTTGAACGGATATGTCCACTGGGAATGTGTCGGCTATATGCCCGAGTACTGGGAGTTCACGAGAGCGATGTACATGAAAGGGAGGTATTTGAGCATACCTTTTTACCGATAGTATGGACATGAGTATGATGATGAATTCGAAGTAGAACGAAAGCTAGGACGTTATCAGTCTTTAAGAATGAACTACGGTACCCGGAAATATCGTTCGGGAAGGGAAGAGTTACGAAGATGTATCACTACTCTCCATAAGAGTATGCTGAAATAAATTCCGTAAGGGTAGACGACCATAAATCAGTGAAGTGAGGGAGTTTCATACCCAAACCAGTAAAAAAAAAAAAAAGGAAAGAAAAAAAGAAAGAAAGAATCAAGCAAAAGACAAAGATAGATCTGCAGCCTGAGCGCAAGCCAAATACCCCTCTTGGCCTGTTTGATGTGTTGGCATGCCAGCACTATATATGCAGCAAGGGATGCATCACAATTTTGCCCAGCTCACACGGAGACACAACAATATTCTCCAGGAAGTCTGGGAGGCGGACATCATGGGGCTCCAGAATCTCAGCGTTGAAACTGTTGTGACGGTACTAAGGTCACTCGATGTGCTGGACATATTGAATTTAAGATGTGTCTGCCGTAAGCATCACACTGCCTGATCGCTGGTGCTAAATAAGCTCATCAGTGAATGAACTTTATATCTAGGTTATATTGACCAGATTGTCCTGGGCAACATACTCCATATCGGAAAGTATAACCAGACAATGAATGATCGACTCTGGTCGCGACTTCTAAACGAGAAAATCGCGCATGATGTCTTCAATCACGAACACATCTCCCGAATCGTAACTCATTTACGGTCGGAGTCAACGGCACAGTGCTGTGCAGAAGACTGTATGCAAGCTATAAGTGTTGCCCTGGTCTCATACAAGGGCCGCGCTTGGGTTGCAGAGAACCTGAAAAGCGTCATGCATTGGGCGAAGAGTTGCGATGAGCTCGCTATCATGATATTAGGGGCTTGGCTTGGGTTGAGAGATGTTGTGAGGGGACTTCTGGAGGATGGTGTCCCGGCTGATCGGAGTCACAAGTACCTGGGCAGTGCCATGTACGCTGCTGCGTTCAATGATGATGAGCCTTTGGCAGAGATACTCCTGGACCACGGTGAGGGCGCTTGGAAAATGGACGGTGCTTATGGCGATGCCCTTCAGCTCGCCGCGTATAAGGGGTCGAAGAATGTAGCACGACGTCTTTTAGAAGTCCGCATGCACAGAGAGAAATCTCCAAATCCCTTCGGGTATGGACCGTATGGCAGCCCTCTGGGAGCAGCGGCTGCGGCGGGAAATGACGATATTGTTAGACTCTGTGTGCAATGGCAAAGGGATCTGAGACAGCTAGGTCCTCATCTACGGAGTCCATTATTTTACGCAGCAAGAAGTGGAAGGGCTAGGGTTGCTAAGATACTTTTGGACAGTGGGGAGATGAGACCTAACATGGATGATGACTTCAACGATACCCCGCTATGTGTCGCTGTGGAGCACAACCACGAAGACGTTGTTTCCGTACTCCTAAGTAGCGACACGGTTAGAGCCGATTATCAAGGAGTACGACATGACAAGCCAACCCCACTCCAAATCGCGGCCACAAATGGGTACGCTAATATCGTCCGGATGCTCTTATGCCGTCGCGATATTGAAGTCGGGGGACGGGAAGTGGGGAAACGTCCAATCTTCATGGCTGCGCTCAATGGCCATACGGAGATAGCGAATTTGTTGCTTACGAGGGACGAAAGCCACTATGTACGACTCTTTCTTCCATGGGTGGCGTCTCGAGGCCTTGTTGATATGGTCAAAATGGCATTGGACTCACAAATAGTCAATCCAAATGGGCATGATAGGGAGTTCAGGACCGCTCTCCATCATGCAGTAGGCCAGGATCGTGAAGACCTGGTAAGACTACTGCTTCAGTGGAATGAGACGAGCCCAAATCTCGAGGATAGCGTTGGCCGAACCCCACTGATACTCGCAATAGAGAGCAGAAACTTACCCATATTCCGCCTTCTATTAGACGATAAAAGGACTTCTATTGGCAAGAGCAATCTTCACGGCATGACACCATTGCATGTTGCATGTAAACACGGATATTTGACGTTTGTGGAAAGTATACTCGCCCGAGAAGACGTGAACATAAATGCCCTCGACGCGGCCTGCCAAACACCACTCTGCTACGCCATTGACTCCAATAGCGATGGCGTAATACAATTGTTGCTCGAAAATAAGAGCACTGATCATAGTCAGCCCGATAACAACCAAGGGAAGACTCCCCTGTACATGGCCGCCAAGAATGGTCACTCCAAGCTAGCTGTGATGCTTATGCAGAGATACAAAGCAAGCCCCAACTGCTGGTGTGACGAGTTCCTCGCAACGCCGTTGATTATGGCGGCTGCGCGCGGTGATCTTTACCTAATATCCGCCTTGTTAAAAGAAAGCGCAGTGGATATCAACGAGCCGAACAAGCTTGGACACACTGCGCTTGGTGTTGCAGCATCCCACGCTCAAGCAAAAGCTGCCCTCAAGCTTCTTGAGCAACCTGATGTCGACGTACATCTCTGGGCTGAAGATAGGACGACGATTTTCTTGATGGCGGCTCATGGAGGCCACCTGGATATCCTGACACACCTGTTAGCAAAGGGTGCTCATCCAGGTATCTGCAACAACATCGGAGAGACACCTATCTATGTCGCTTCAGAGAAGGGCCACTATGAGGCTGTTTTGATGCTACTAGCGCAGCCAGGTGTAGACCCCAATCAACCCACTCATTTTCGGGAAACACCTTTATCGGTGGCGGCGCGCAGGGGGCACGTAGCTGTGGTGCGTCTATTACTCGAACAAGGAGGCGTGTGTTTTAACCCGCAGCGTCAGTCATCTCAGAAACTGCTTTCGATGGTCACCAACACAGCAATAGAACAAATGTTAATGGACGCTGGTGACAGGTTCGTGGGGGCGCCGTAACGGTGGCGTAGGTATTCAGGGATAATACTTACTGATAGCTCGGTATGATGGCTCGGTTGGCGTTCGAGCTTTTCAGATAGTGAGAAGAACTCTTGGCAGGGTCTTGAACAGTCTCAAGATAGGATCAATGTGAGCGATGGGACATGATAACGTATGGTGATTTGTAATTAGTTGTTCTGGGCTTTTCGATACTTTACTCTCACTCACTAGACAGTCATCCACAAGAGGGCTATTCCAGACGTCTAAATTTGGATCTAGAGTCAAATGCACCACGTGTTATATGCGCAAAGAACGCACCCCAGTTCGTATTTCACTTGCGTAGCTGATAATTCATGATACTTGGAAAAAGAAAGCTACAACATTGAATCCCTCCAAACCACAAAACATCATAATAAACAGCGAGAGATCCACTCCATTCATACCTCATCTACACATAATAAAACCTCCCAGATTGAAATTTGCGTATGAAATCCATCCAACATATCCCCCCTACACAATCCCCAACCAACCCTAGCAACAAAGTCCCCCAAACCCAGAAATGCACATAAGAACCCCAATATCCCCACATAACAAACCAATATATGCATAAATCAACAACCCCACTATACTCAAAACGCCCAAACTAAAATAGCAGGTACCACGCATTCGTGGAAAATTCTCATCCAGGGATCGGCAGTTGCAATATTGAAGGATTTAATGAATTTAACGAAGAGGTTTTGGTATTCCCGAAGGCGATATGTGGGACGCTAGTCCGTATTGGGAAATTGACACCGGGTTCAATAAATTCATAACTTGGGTCCACTTGTCGGCAGCTCTAAAGGGGTTTCAGCTTTGGGGTATGATTGGTTCAGAGGGTAGAATGGTGATGATGGGTCTGGGTAGTTTTCAATGTGAAGAGGTGTTGAGGAAGAGGAATCGGAGTTTTAGTGGAGGAAGAATGTGTTCTCTGTGTTAATCATGGTAGACGTATTGTCCTCTTGTGAGGAGGTTATGGGGATCATGTATGGATTAGAGTAGCTGGGTTTTATGTAGTAGGGTAGATTCATGGGTGAGAATTGGGAGGGGTAGTGCTAGGTTGTTAAAGTTGTGTAGAATTTGAGAAGTTAAATTGGGAAATATTCTGTATATACATAAAACAGATCAAAGGAGTGACAGGAATGGTAACAAACATACTAGTTCAAGGTAAAAGTCAACAGGTACACATGTAGCAGTACATTGTCTGATGGCCTTCGCATGGAAGAACTGGGCATAGGTATCAGGATGACGTATCCCTATAGTACGCTGACCGGCAATTCGACCTACGAAGCCCCATCATCAGGAGTAATTGCCGAAAATCAGTACGGGGTTTGCTGATGGAACCACTCCATGATGAGCTCCACCTGAGCCTTCTTGGCAATGGGGACATTTCCGAACGCATTTCCGAGCTCCATGACAAGCTGGGTGCCATTAGCGCTGTTCGGGCTCCAGCGCGGCAGCGAGCCGCTACCGGTGTAAGATCCACCCTCGTTGGGATCGAGCGTCTTTGCAAAGTTCGCCCAGTAGGCAGACATCTTCTCCTGGATGGCATAATCCTGCTCGGTGAAAGGGTACCTATCGGCATTGGCGTAGAGAGCATTCAGTGCGTACATGATCTCAGACTGGTGGAAGGCGCCCTGGTCTTGGCCTGGTGGGGCATGGGTCCAGTAGTAGGTGTAGAACGAGGCGGAGGCGGACTTGTACCAGTCGGTGGCGTATGCCCAGGAGCCAACAAGGGAGGTATCGCGGGCAGCTGCGTTCCAGGCCCTGTCTGCAGTGCTTGCGTTGCCGTGGTCCGGGTACAGATGGAAATAACGGCTGGATAGGTTGCCGTATTTGAGAGTGGAGTAGTACTCGTATTCTTCGACAGTGTAATCTGTGCTTGTTGAGGCTCCGGACTCGTCTTTGGTGTTGCCTGTTATGACGGGGACGTCGTTGACGGGGCCGTTGATGAGCGTCTCCAGGTATGTGGAGGGAAGAACGTAGTCGTCTAGGACGGGCTTGAAAATGAGAGGATAGCCAGCAGAGAGCGCGGTGATCGGGTCAATCCACGTCTCGTTGACGCGGTCCTGAGAGCCGATCAGGAGCTCCTCCATGGAAAGCGTGCGCAGTTCCTTGACGCTGGAGACATTGTGGAAGGTAGTGTAGTTGACACCGTGCGTGATGGCAGCAGACATGTTAACGTAAGAGGTTGCGAGGCCTGCCAGCATAGGATCGTACGGGTATCTGATACCAGACTCAGAGATACCGCCATGGAAATAACCCTTAAACAAAGGGCTATTGACTGCATGATAGACCTGGGAAGAGCCGAAAGACTGGCCGGCGACGACCACACGGTCTGGATCACCACCGAACTTGGCAATGTTTTTCTGGACCCATTTGAGAACCTCGAGCTGGTCAAGGACACCATAGTTTCCGGATGTGTTGTGACCGGTGAGTTTGAGACCTTCAGCGTTGAGTTCCGGATGAGCGAGGTAACCGAATGCATCGTCGCGACGGTTGAAGGTGATGAGAATGACGTCCTTTAATGCCATTCCACCGCCATACCACCAGGCATCATTACTGGTCTCGTCGGAACCCTGGTTCCAGACCATAACAGGGAGCTTGGCATCTGCAGAGCCGGCATTCGTCCACAGGTTCAGACTGAGGCAGTCTTCACTGATATTGGACGCGTAGTTGCTGGGACAGGCAGGACCAAAGTCCGTCGCGTTCAGGGTTTCATTCCAGGGCTCACGTGGCTGTGGCGGCTTCCAGCGGTTTTGATACCCAGTGTCCGCGGCAAATGGAACACCCAAGAAGGCTGTCACGTTGGACTCGGAGATACCGAAATATTTCTCAAGGGTTGACTCGTTGAAATACTTGAAGCCCTGGATGGGACCGTAATTCGTCTGGATGGTCTGATCCCAGAGTTGAGCTTGGGCAATTGCAGCGCTCACGGCCAGTGAGGCTAGGCTCTTCGACAAATGCGAGGCCATCCTGGAATATAGTGTGAAGGAATTCAGTAAGATAAAGATACGGCGAGGATGATAGCAGGAGGAGAATAGTTCAAGATCCTCACAGAAATATATATACTTAGACACCACGCAACATCTGCTCTACGTATTTAGATGCCTAGCAGACAATCTAATCGGAAAATCAAGGTCCACGCCAGGACGCGTCAGGGACTCACAATACGCCATGTCCATGTCCACATTCCCAGGCGGTTTTCGACCATTATGTCCGACCTTAGACACTCAGACTGGGTGAATCTCCGAAGGGACAACGTCAACTTGATATGAATTCGGGCAAGCCCACCTAGTCCTCGGGGAAAGGACATGGTCTATACCCGAATAGTAACATCAGATAACTTTCTCGTCGTTTCTTTCCTGAAGAAGAAAGAGGAGTGAGAGCTTATTGTTACGCAACTTGAATGGGGATCATCGTGTCTCGGCCCCTGACGATCTTGCTGTGAAGTACAGCAGTTATATCTTGCCCTGCCGGTCAAGGTTGTGTTTGTGGCATGTGGCTCATTACAGGGCTCAGATCACCTGAATGCTTACCAGTCGGTTGAACTACATGGACTTCAGAATCGTTTGCAAGATACCTTGGCACACCAGGAGTTGTCGCGGACGCCAATTCTCAAATATGGGCCAGTGTGCGCAACCGAGACGAACTTACGACGGCGTCTTCGGCGATATCGATAGTCAAGGTGGGTCTGCATTACTTTGTCGGGAAATTAAGGCCGATGCCAAGTAGAAAAGAAACCGTTCCTAAGGATACGTTGTTGACCTCTGTATTTGACTGTATTTCACTGTATGCAGGGACCTGGTTCTTTCTGTTTATTCTCTTACTGTGTAGTATGCCCTGTTTTGCTTCTGTGTTTCTATCTTATAGGGCTGCATGGTAGACAAGGAAGCAGAGAGATCTGTCGCTGGAAAGGCTGTCTCATGCACCAGTGACCACATAATAAGATTGTACCAGGCTTCTTCGGCAATTACCATGTTACAATCTATATCTTTTTATATTCGGAATTCATGATCTTCTGTATGAACTTATGCTGGTTATTTTGAGTGTGTATTTTGTTACTGTCCCGTGTTTTTTTTTATACGGAATCGGAATAAGCCGACCTTTTGACCGGGAGGCGATGGAAGAACATCAACCAATCATGTCTCAGTCCCACTCCGTCTTCAATCAACTGCTGGACCTTAATTCTTCCTTTTGTCCACCCCAACACGAGAGAAGAAAAATAACCATGACTTTTCGGCGATACGGCTGCTCTATGGTCTCATCAAACGCTCTTCATCAGACTCTCGATCAGGACGATGGTAATCACGACCGCGACAAATCATCCCCGTAGACTTAAGAGGAAGAGAGTCGGCGTCGCGTGTAATACCTGTCGATCGCTGAAGATACGCTGTGATGGAGTTCGACCCCATTGCGGTACCTGCCAACGCCGCCGGGATCGCTGTGTCTTTGAAGATGACGATCTGCGTCCTCTCAGGTGCGTCTATTTTGCCTTCAACAAGGGCTGACGGGCCACTGACACTGCGAAAGAGATCGTGGGAGCCCTGTTATGCGAGAGGATACCCTAGTGATCTCTCCATCTCAACTGAATCATGGTTTACTCCGTCATGAGTCCGCTTCCTCCGCTTCCTCCGTCATGACCCGAGACACGACACATGAACGGGATGATTCTGGCGTAACAGCCATGGGTTTAACTGTCGGTCCACTGGACAGGGATCAGAACTCAAGTAGAGAATTCTTCGGCGACTCGTCGACAGTGGCTTTTATCCAACAGTTGCAGAACTCCCTTCCACCAACTATCAATGCACCAGGTTCCGGCCGCGAGGTGGTTTATCACTTGATCGACCTGCACGGTCATGGTAGGCAGCCCAAGCTCTCAACTGAACCTAAATTATCAATGGGACTGCTTCCCCCACGCCCATTGGCTGACCATCTGGTCGACTGCTATTTTTCTAAGATACATACGCTATACCCTTTTGTGCATAAGGATGCGTTTTTTAATGCATACAGGTCATTGTGGGAGCCTTCGGAGTCTAGTCGAAACACAAACACAGCTCATGGTCTGGGTATAGGGGACATAACTGTTAATCGCACCACTTTCCACTGTGCATTGAACGCCATATTTGCTCTAGGATGTCAGTTCTCCAACGCAGTGCAGACACAGCGGGAAACTACTTCAGAAGCCTTTTATCGTCGTTGCAAGCCAGTGCTGGATGTGGAATATCTTGAAGGGGGAGATTTAGCTTTGTGCCAAACTCTCTTGCTCATCACGCATTACTTACAATGCTCACGAACACCCAATCGTTGCTGGCACGTTATAGGCATGGCATGCCGGTTAGCTCAAGCACTAGGGCTGCACTCAGATCTCGGCAATGAACGTCGATCGTTTGCCGAGATCCAACTTAGGCGGAGGGTATGGCATGGTTGTGTAATGCTTGACCTGTACGGTGCCTTCTCTTTGGTTCTATCAGATGCATTGCTTGCTAACTTGTAACCTGGTCCTCTATATAGAGCCATTAGCACAATACTTGGACGCCCGGCAATGATTGCCCAAAAGCCACTTACGCCTCTCCCTGAGGCCATTGACGATTGTTATCTATCAGCAGATGCGCCAACTTGTAAACAACCGCCCCGCTTGCTATCACGTGTTGTATGGTTCATTGAGACATTGAAGCTGTACGATACTCTGCGCAAGATTCTGAAAGCATTGTATGATAATGCAGGGCCAACGGAAGCGGAGCGTGTGGGCAACCATCTGCCAACCGGAAACACTTGGCAAATTCAGAGCATTATAGAGATTGATGCAGACCTCGAGGAATTTAAGGCTAAACTACCAGAAGCACTCATGTGGGATCATGAAGTCTTACGTGATGGTCCAGACAATTTCCAAAGAGAGAAGTGTTTACTTCGAGCAAGGTATGCAAAAACGACACCCTGCAACTTGAGTGTATTTCTAATGTACGATGCCAGATATTCATACTTGAAGATTCTCCTATACCGGCCCATTCTCTCTCAGACCCTTCGCAACAGTGGCGAGACGTTATGTAGTGAAAGCAATGACTCCAGGCGTCATGCTTCGCTACAGTCCAGAATCAACCTTGACTGTTCCTTATCCTGTATCCATGCGGCCATTGATCTTATCTCCTTAGTACATCAGACTTGCAACACCGACCTATCCAGCGTCTGGTGCTACAACGTCTTTTGTAAGTATTCTCCTGCAATACTAGGCCTTCTTTATACATTATTACTGACAAACCCCTCCACAGATGCATTTACTGCAGGATCTGTAATTCTCCTTGCGGGGCTCTCTCAGCCGCTCGTGAATACTGTAACCTGGGAAGTTTTAGAACTATCTTGGCAGAAGTGTCAGTCTTCGTTGGACAAGTTGAGATTATATAGCAGCACGGCGGAACGCTGTGCTGAGAGCTTACGCATGATCAAAGAGAGATGCTCTATCACCTTTGCGCACTCTCCGATGTCGAGTACCAAAATAATATCGCAGGAACAGCCATCTCCCAATCGGTCTCCCATCTTCGAACACCTAAATCCTAGCGGATACGATGATCTACCATCAGAGGGGACGGACTATCTACCATTTACAGACGACCTCTTTCGCGATCTCGATTTCAATGAGGATACATTCTTCGACCCGTTCTGGTTCAGTCTTCAATTCTAATGCTATCATCGAATATTCCTATCTTCAATACCCCGAGAGATTGCGAATATAACATGCGTCTCTACTCATAGCCCCCGCCCTAACAAGAAGTGAAATAAAGAAGGGAGTCAGGAACCATTGGTGCATACTAGGACCCCGTATCCGTCGGTGAATCTGTGGATTTCCATTCCTAATTGCACGAAACGAAGCTGTTAAAGAAAGCTTCAGTGGTCTCAATATCTTCCAGGGTTGTGGCGTATCCAAGAATGCCGTCCGGTCTAAGAATCGCCACCCCACCACTATTGGTGGAAATGGTATATGCAGCGTGGACAGATCGGTCGGAATCATAATATGTATGACCAACCCTGGGGATTCCAAAGACCTGGTCACCTTCTGTGACGCTATGTGCAATCAATGTAAAGCACCGGGCCATGCCCTTAGGGAGTTTGTCAAGTGCTACAGCCAGCTTCTTCATCGATGAAGCCAGTGTCTCCCGGGTGAGGGTAGGCTGTCCAGCGAATATGAGAACAGACCACATTCCAGTATTTCTGGTAAGTTGGAAAAGCCGAATCGGGATACGGGAGCCGGGAGCATAGACCAGAGCATCTGGTGCTCTCCAGCCAGCTGAAACCATTCCGGTAGATGGAGCTTTGTTAATAATACTCTCATTGTAGTGAATTCCCAGTCCGATGTTGAATTGGATCGACTCATCGAAGAGCTTCGTAAATAGCTCGTTTGCATCGGCATACAAACTCTTGTGGGTATCTGGAATTTGCCCAGAAATGGTTGCCGAAAATGCCTTGTCTAGCTCAATGAGATGTTGCGCTGCCGGACGTCGCTCGTTGTCATATGTTCGGAGGATGTCGGTGCTATACCAGCCTTTTACTACACCTCCCAATTTCCAGGCCAGATTGACTGCATCGTGGACGCCAGTATTCATACCTTGTGCGGCACCAGAGGAATGTGTATGACATGCGTCGCCTGTCAGCAAGATACGGTCGTTGGCGAAAAAGGTATCAGCGACTCGTTGGTTGATGCTGTCATCAAACTTTCAATGAGAACTAGGAAGGTATTAGAGACAAGGGCTTGTGACCTACCTGTATAGCGTCCACCAGTCGACCTTCTCAATTTCCAATGAGAACGGCTCCATCGACTTGACAGCTTCTTCCTTAGCTTGCTCTTCTGTAAGCGAATTACCATATTTCGCTAGCATTTCGTCAGTCATTGCAAAGCCTATGCGTTTCACGCCATGGTCTAATTGGACCCAAAGAACGTTCCCGTGGCTCTTGGACTCAATGGACGCAAAACCAAGATCCGCATCTGGCATGTTGGTCTTGAACTGTCCATCAATGCGAACCCATTTAAAGTCTGTGCGATCGCCCTCAAATGGGATACCCGATAAACGTCTAACAAGTGAGTGTCCACCGTCCGCCCCAACAATAAACTTGCTATAAGACGTCAGACGGCATCCAGGCGAACATTATTAACAGGCCCTACTCACCTGCAAATGGTCAAACCTTCACCTGTATCAGCCTGGCGAATTTGTGAGGTTACTTTATAGTCGCCCTTGGTCTGGTGATCCACCGTGAAGTCTTCTAGTGCCCAACCGATATACGCCCGGCCTCCCATCTCCAGATAAGCATCCCGAATCACATTCTCAGAATACTTCTGCCGGATATTCAGGCAATAGTCCAAGAATGTGCCAGTCATCCGCTGGAACATCACATGCCAGCCTCGTGAGGTTACCCGCTTGCCATCTTTGTATGTGACGCTATTACGGCCGATATATCCGATTTGGTTCAGCTCATCCAGGAGCTCGAGCTGGTCAAGCATTTCCAGCGTTCGGGGATATAGGGTTGTCGCTCTGCCGTACATAGCTTGCTGATTCTTGTCATGTTTCTCTACATCAATGCGTTAGTAACTGTATAGTAACAAGGAACACCATCACTTACCGACAAGCACGGTATCCACGCCCTGCCTGGCAAGACCGTGAGCTACAAGAAGGCCCACAGGTCCACCACCAACAATCAGAACGTCCGTTTTGATGTTTGTAGTCATTGTTGTCAAACGCAGAATTGAACAAGAGGAAGTGTATGTGTATGAAGCAATATATATTCCCTTTAATTTCAAATATTTGGTTCTTCCCCCTTCCCAACGCACATATGGGTTTTATATACATTCGGCATCCCGGTTAACCGGCACAATAACTGTATGTAAGATGCCGATTTCCGTCAGCAAGGCTCATATCCGTACTACCTGGAAGATCGGGTGGGCTTGTTGTTCACTGGGCCACGTTCCTATATTTCCTATTCGGGATGATTACGTATGTATCGCTTCGTAACGGAAGCAAACCTATGCTGTGCTCTGAAGTCGTGAATATGGGTAAGTAATGTATCGGAAAGTAACGGTATGTGGGTCCATACCGGATGAGACTGGTGTTTTTCTAGAACCATATCCCCTACCCTGATTCTGCTAGCCAAAAATTGTTGGTCGGCATTAAGCCATGAGAAACACGTCAGATGAAATTGATGTCATGTCCACCTTGCACATCCGCAGATGCATTTTGGTGGCTTACTCATACTCGAGGTCGGCAGAGCTTTTACCTTTTGCGTTTCTAGCCGCGGCCGGACATTATTTATCTCAGCAGGCTCAGCTACTCTCGACAAGAAATGTTTATATTAGACTTAGCTAAGAATTATAGAAAAGTGAGAAATACTTTTTTAAAAAAGTAAATGGGACTTTTCGCACGAATCACTTACCATCACACCAACAGACCACATATCAACCTGAAAAGTCCAGGGAATCTGCAGAAGTACCTCTGGAGCTCGATATGAATCGGGGGTGATCCAGTCCTGATTTATGCGGCCGTCATCCTCTCGCAACTGGCCAAAATCTGTAAGCATCGGGATGCCGCCAAGTTCTAGAAAGGGTTCTCGAGACGACTAGACAGGGACGTCTGAATCACCGATGACAGGAATGCTGGGATCTTGCCATTCTTGATCCTCAATGTCCTTGAGACTATTATCATCCCCAATCTCAGTTAGAACGTTTCGGGGTGAAATATCTATGGATATATGACTATGCACATCGACTTTCTGGATTCTGACCAGGCCTGTGTGGATGAGATTGCAGGTTGCATGCAGCCAATTTATAGCGAAGAACAGCCGATGCATCAAAGATCTTACTAAAAGTTTCGGCAACATTGCATTAGGGGAAAGCTATTTGTAGCGTGCGCAGGCTGTGGCCCTGGGGCTTAGATACGATACAACAATGCCGTCCAAAAGAGGTGTGAAGTTCAAAGATGTCACTAGCAAGGCGGGTAAAACACAAACCAGGGTGACTAGCAGCTTCAGCAAATTTCTTCATGCGTTGGAGCATGTTGACTTCGTTCAGCACAGGCAATAGTATGTCATCATTCTGCCCGATGCACACCTTAAGCGTAGCATACTGCTTTGTTCTAAATATCTAAATCAATCAATGGATTCATCAGTGGGTTTATGCTCATACCTCTCATCCCGGGCAAGCCACACAGTGGAATAACCGCCAGAACCAAGCTTGGCAATAATCCGATATCGATCCCTGAGTTGTCACCAATACGAACTGGATAATACCGTTTCTCGTGGTAGAATGGTACTGTTTGCTCTTCGATTTGTGGATCGTCACTCATATTGCTGGAATGTCGGGAAGATAATAGGCGAGCAGCAGGCATGCAGAGCCGTAAATGCACCGAAGGTCGTAAATACATGAATTTCAACCACATATTGGGGTATTTTCCAATTGGCGGTAGTATTGTCCGTTGTGTGGATCGAGACAGGTCTCGAGAGGAGGTTGTGGCGGGCATCAATAAACTCCTTGCAGATCTTAGGCTGGACGCCTTAAGGCCAACCACATGATAACAAATAGCACTTCCAGGACAAAATTTCTTTAACATTCTATGGATTATATCTAAGTCTAGGGACTTAGTCTCTCGATCTTAAGTATGTATCTTTCTAAACTGGAATAAAGATCGGCTCAAGTAGATCCTATACAGTGGTGTTATATGCAATATCTGAAGACTGAGTGAGTTGTCTATGCCGCGTGGGACTTGGGCCTTGCCGATCAACAACTCACGAAAAGTTAGTTATGAGAACCGACTCGAAATTCGTGTCAACTTACACAGCTACAACAGTTACTGAGTCGCATTGACAGTCTGAATTCCATATAAGCTCCCGTAGGCTCCCGCGCATCTTGCATCTGTCTGTGCCTGCCTCTTCCCATGCGTGCAATTGACAGTCACCCCATCTTCACTTCCTAGTAAAGTATCATGGTTCGCCTCACGTCGCTGCTGGCGGCTCTGGTTGGCGCGACCGCCGCGTCGTGCCAGAATGACGGCCAGAACCACGACTCCTCCACCGGCTACACCCAGATGATCAGCTACGTCAAGCGCCACCCGGACTGGACTCGCGAGGACTTCTGGACGCACTGGCAGACAGTGCATGCGCCCAAGGTTGCTCCCCTGGCAGCCTATTTTAACATCACCCGCTACCAACAGGTATGTAAAGCGAACTCATGGATAATGACATCAATTGACGCGCCAGTCATTCTTCAGATCCAAGTTGGAGGCATGATCCCCCCTACCGCATCCGGAGCAGACAAGCCTGCCAACACCACCCTTGTTAGCTTTGACGGCATCGCCATGTTCTTGTACCCGGATCCCTCGGCGTTGACCGCGATGCTCGCTCACCCTTACTACATCGACGTTGTGGAGAAGGATGAGGAAACTTTTATCGATAAGTCGGCCTATGGTGCCGGAATGGTCGCGACCTATGTCGGGAACAATATCGAGGTGGTTAACGAAGGTGTCGATGTCTGGGTCGGGAACGCCGCCACGGCTGAGAAGTACCAGAAGCTTTTTGAGACGTACCTTTAGAGGATGTCTGTAGTTAGCTGCACGCATATCTCAATGGACTAATTGGTAATGTGCTGCACCCCATCGGGGGCAGATATGGCTTCATCCAAAGCTGAGATATGTGTCAGATATGTGGTCGCGTCTCATTAGCTTCGAGCTGGGTCTTGTGCTATATTAGAAACGCTAAATTAATTCATACCGATTTATGATCGTACTACAGTCACCATTCACTACTGAATGCACAGATGGCCCCTGTGGCAGCCTCAGAGACACTAGAACGCAGAGCTTAAACCCGCTCTAGAATGCGTCAAGACAGACGAATAGCTTTAATTTTTTATCGAGGCAGACTACGAATACTGTATTGACCGACTGCTACTCCTGTTTTATGCTATTGTCAGCGACGCCAAGGCCAGGGTCAAAGTCATGGGTAATAAATTATGGAACGAACATACCCGGGATTTTGAAGCAATGCACACAAACAAGCTGGTAGAGTCTGCCGTTCTCCCACCCTCCTTGCTCGAGAGTGGTAAGAAGTATTGTCGCAAGCCCTAAGTCATAGAAAATGCGCAAAGCAATCCACTATTATGTGCATATACAATAAAAATAAACAATAGACTGTGTTGTTGTACATGGTGCAAATGAGTTGAAATAGAACGAGATTCCCAATCACAGAAAGAGCAATCATGTATGGAGCAGTTGAGGTCTAAGGGATAGTGAGGCAGATACAGTTTTGGGTCATGCAAGACAATCAGGGTTTGCCAAGTTGCATTGCTCCGTTAGCAAAAACCAGTGGTGGGCAACGAAGTGTCGAAATAGGCATACGCATTTCATGCATTTGAACAGACATCCAAGACTCGAAGGATTTATGTCCAATGGCTGGCCTATTAACATGCTTTGATTAATCAGCCAGAGTGATTTTAAGGTCGCATATAAGGCAAAGGCATCGCCATTAATATTTTAATCTAACCTCCTCGTGCCCAAGCACGGCAAGGGATGACCTGGTCTATGTCCTCTATTATGGATATACCTGTAGAAAGTACAACGCACTACCACCATCTCTATCCACTTGGTATTTTCATGGACTAATGCCGATTCTTCACATATCTAGAGCAGAAACAATTGCGATAGATTACTAGTCAACAGCAACCACTTAAACACCCATAATGATATCGCTCAAGGCTAAATTATACAAAGACTCATTCTTTTCACCAGTAACAATAAGGAGGAATAAACCAGAAAAAAAGCGCCTAAGCGATAAACGACATAACCCTAGACAATTCAGCTATGGTCCACAACGATAGGAGAGGCATACATACAGCTCGTAGAAAAGCGCAGGAACGTCCTTCCAGAGGGGGAGACCAGCTCGATAAATAGATACGACGGCCCCCGTAGCGACAACTATCACTAATGGACGTAATAGTACAAGCCAAATAAATCTTAGTGTTGCAGAAACGATTCGCCTGTCTGGTCAGTGGGTAATGCCTCGGGTAAAGCACTGGGTCATAGTCTTACAAAATCGTGGTAACCATGTTGATTAACAATCGAGTCTTAAGAATCGAGCAACTTGGTTCTAGGACTATAAAAGATAGAGTTGCATATTAGAAGATAGCTAGAAGCAAGAAGACTGAGGATAAAGAGAGTGTGAAGCCAGTGCGGATGTTGTTATAGAGCGCTTTCTACGCAAATAGACGGCCTAACTGTCCTCCAGCTGTCATCTAGCGCGCCCTTGGCAGATTATAATCGGTGGAAATCGTATTGGCTGGAAGGACAAACGTATTGATTTTGATGATGCTCGAGTCATGCAAGGTAGGGTAAACATTTGTTGAGCAATTGAATAATTAGGCCGAGGGACAAATTGTGGTTGCCTAGTTGGCTACGCTGAAGTCGCCCTTTTTATTCCGAGGTTCCGCGAAACCACGTCAGTGCATCCACGGTAAACTACAAATTACTTGGCCTCCTGTTTTTGAAAACTTGATTAGCTATTTATGGTGCACATTAGCCGGTTTTGCAATGGAGGGCTCTCATCCGTCAGCCCTACAAGGCGGAACCCTAGTAACATAGTAGAACGAGTACACCAGTTTTTCTAAAATCACCACTTTTTGCAAGTGTACCCAACTGTATAATAAAGTAGAAGTGTTGCATGGATACCTTTATTCTTTGAGCCTCTATGTTTTCATGCGTTCGTCTTGGAAAATTCAACATCATATGCAGGCTTCGACCCCGGTCGCAAGAGAGAATCAGGCAACAGGATAAAGCTAGAAAAAAACAAGCAAAAGACAAGACGCGGGATGGCCCACTATTTGAGTACCTTGTAGGTGGCCTAATGCGTATTCAGCATCTAATATCCGGTTCACGTATCGGAAGATGCCGATGCCGTCTGCCTGTTCTAGAATCTATTTGGAAAGTTTCGTGAAAGAGATTCATAGATCTCGTTTGTCCAAGAGTTATTGCCGGCTGTTCTTTCAAATAATAACCGAACTGATGTATCCAGCTTCTTTCTTCCTCTTTTGTCAGGAAACAGGCGGGCATAGACTGATGTTTAATCCGAAACCAATATTGGGAGGTCAAGTTCAGCCCTATGAGGCTGCATAGCGCCATCAGAGTGGGTCTCGGCAATGGCCGACAGGGATGAACCGTTGAAGTATCTTACGAAAACCGAGCTGTCTGTGGTGGCGCGAGAATATTATCCGAGGTGCTAGAGTCGAATAGGCTATCACAAGGTAATGCGTGATACCAGAGACAGCGATAATAGTACAGTCAGTTCTGCTCATATACGGAGTGTACGAGAAGTATATCCGAGAACAGGCCCACTTGTCCACGGAGTAGACGTTCGAAATGAGTCCTTGCTCGCCTATCCACATAGCGAGCCACGCAAATGTAATTAGAGGGAATGTATTGGGTGATGAGAGTTGATGTAGCTCCACCGTTTAAGTGGGTTGGCCATTCGAAGGAACGCTAAAGCTTAGCGACTTTTGTAATATATTGAACAATCCGGATAATATGCTTAGTCCAGCGACCAGGGTGCCGGGTATCCTTCTCATCCCAGCAAGCAGTAGTAATCAGAGATTTAACACTATCGCACACTACCCCCAAGGTACTCGATCACAATACTATATCACAAAAGCCTTTTGCCTACAATGCCTCTATCCCGATACAGCAGTCCTCCTACCATCGAAACTTTCGTATTGTCTTCCTTTCACGGTAGTGCGCCATGTCTGCTTTTAACGCATCTCAGGTTGACCTGAACACGGCGAGCAAGGAAGATGTTCTGTGCTTCCTTGCTCTGTCAGACAATGATTATAACGGACACCTGGGTGCACGAATTTCTTCAATCTTTGTGATCTTATTTGTCTCCTCGGCGTTTACCTTCTTTCCTGTCGTCGCCAAAAGCTTACCGTCATGGAAGATCCCCTACAGCGTCTACCTGTTCGCCCGTTATTTCGGTACGGGTGTTATTGTCGCAACGGCTTTCGTCCATCTTCTAGACCCAGCATATAAGCGGATCGGACCAAAGACTTGCGTCGGAGAATCTGGCTACTGGGGCGAATATTCATGGTGTGCGGCAATCGTCCTAGGCTCGGTCATGATAATTTTCCTCATGGACCTGGCAGCGGAAGTCTATGTCGAGCGCAAGTACGGTGTACACAGGGACGAAGATGCTACAGGGGCCTTTATCCAAGGTGGACACCAAGATGTGGCCGCAGTTCACAACTCATATGATCAGGAGAAGTCCGTCCCGCCAGTGCGGACAGTCCCCATCTCAGACAGTGAATCAGCAACGGCAGAGCGATCTTTCCGGCAGCAGATTGCGGCATTCCTTATCCTCGAATTTGGTATTATATTCCACTCCGTCATCATCGGATTGAACCTTGGCGTCACAGGCTCTGAATTCGCAACCCTTTACCCAGTCCTTGTGTTTCACCAATCCTTCGAGGGTCTTGGTATCGGTGCAAGAATGTCGGCTATCCCCTTCGGCAAGCATACCTGGCTGCCCTGGATCCTATGCGCGATGTATGGACTCACTACACCAATCTCAATCGCCATTGGTCTCGGCGTCCGTACCACATATAACCCTGGATCTAAAGTAGCATTGATTGTACAGGGCGTGTTGAACGCTATCTCTGCAGGTGTTCTCATCTACAGTGGGCTTGTGGAACTGTTGGCTCGTGACTTTTTGTTTGATCCGGATCGCACTAAGCGACGAAGCCAATTGTTGTTTATGGTCTTTTGTACCCTGTTGGGAGCTGGTATCATGGCTCTCATCGGGAAGTGGGCTTAAGGGCTGCGCGATGCCAACTTTCTGATAATGACCTTGTTTTCTTATGTTCCCTATATGTTTGTCTTTGTATACACACTGTAATGTCGTGGACCGTCATGTGTGGTTGTATATAATGGTGGAGCCCTGAATACTATTGGCAAATGACCGTGGAATGTCCCGTAGATGGTCTCACGACGCAGCTATACTTGACCTCGTTATAAGCATTTAGCTCTAAGTGGACTTGATGTACAGTCGCCTCTTTGAATGTAGGGACATGTGAGACATAAGACCTAGCAGCTTAGGATATTCTTGATATTATAGGTAGTCATATCAGGATTTCTAGTATTAATGGAAGCGTTTTTGCCAACTTCGAGCCATGAGCTACACAATGCCGTCAGCATTCAATACGCAACGAACCCATCATAAAATACTCCATACTGTTCCCCATCACAACCCTGAGTAAAGCAGCTATAATGTTTGAAGCGTCACTTGACGCTGCGTGTCTCTTAGGTAGCGGCCGTGTCGTTTATTTTTGGGCGGCATGCGTTTTTCAGTTCTGCTTCCTGCTCCTGATTTGAGTATGGCTTAGTAATGTACTGTGCTCTCATACTCATCGTTTGAATTGAATGTCTATGAATTATAGAAGGTTCTCAATGTTATTAGTCGGCTTATCTACGCAAAGCTTGGAGAGAGCTTGAAGTGAGAGAAGGAGGAAATTTTCATAAGTTACACTAGGACGTAAGTATATATGTGCAAAAGGTTCACAAATTCAAGAAGGAAAACATGAAAAAAAAATCGAAGAGAAAGTGTGAATTCTAGAATCCCAGTATCTTGTTTGATTTTTCCAAGACAAGTCGTTGTCCTTGAGTCAGGGATTGCTCGTTCAGATCCCACTTGTTAAGCCCCAAGGCACGCAAGCCAAGCTGGCTCGTGGACTTGCGCACACCAGCCTCTGTGGCGCGTCCAACATGCTCGCTTTCTCCCTTGCCTCCCGGGAAGTCTGGTGGGGGGACACCCTCGAGAAAGTCATTCCTCTGACGTTTGACATAGTTGGCGTTGGCCTCAGTCACAGGACATGCTGGGATGTACATAACGCTTGAATCGCCGGTGCCGTTATGTACCCGGTCAACAGCATGGATGGCTACTCTAGTTAGATTGTTTCTTATGTGAGATATTCAGGCTGGGTACTCACTATCACAGTGCCAAGCAACATAGTCACCAGGAGAGATTCTAGGAACATGGACCATCGTTTTGTCAAGCTCCAAATGAGGATGAAGCGTCGTAGTAAGTTCCTGCGCGAATCCTGGAGTTGCACCCTGCAGGTTGCTTGATATCTCTCTCTCCAAGCGCCAGTTACTTGGATGCAGGAAGGTCTCTGTCGCCATGCGAGAGCAATCCTTAGGAGGGGTATAAATTGGCTCGAAAAAGGGACGCAGTAAGAAATAAGCCGTAGCCAAGGAGAGCAGAGGATTGACCAGCAGCGTTCCCTCATTAGGGCCTGTATGGGACATGCCCAACCATGCTTGAAACATGCGAAACATCGAACACGCCCCAGCGCCGTTGTACAAGTCTGCCTCTGCTAGAACTCGGCAACTGGCTTCCCAGGGATCGTATGTTTCCCATTCTCCCTGCCAGATTCTCTGGTAGACATTGCCGCGACCGTAGCCATTATCTTCCCACCTTTCAGGGCCTCCTCCATCTACATGAGGGCCTAGTGCAAATCCGGCATCGCCTGGCTGGCGGATGCGAAGTCTGTCTGCGTAGCTGAGAGGGTGAGTAGGGGATATCATGGCGTCTGGTGAATTGGAGTGCCAGAAGCTCATAAGAAAACGTTGTGCTTCTAGCATGTTTGGATGTGTACGTGCGCGCATCTGGGGCTGTGACCAGTACAGCTCATAAACTTGCGGGTCATGCGGCGGAAATGCTAGAGAGGTGTCAGAATAGCATTGGTTGGAGAGTAGGAGAAGAAAATACCTTTCGTGCCTGGGTTAGCCTTGACATAGTTTTCGATTTCTTCCTTATAAGCTCTGGCTTCATGCTCAGGAACCACGCCCCTGATGACGGCAACTCCTCGTTTTTGAAGCTCGTCTCGAAACGTCTTTGGTGCGGCATGAATGTCCTTGAAATCAATGGAAGGAATAATATCAGAGCCGCGCTGTTCAATCAAGCGAACTTCATCCTTCAGTGTATGCAGAAGACGGTGCCAGCTTCTTTCGATTTGCTCTTCTCGGCCGACAATTAGTCTTCTCTTTTGATCTGCGAACCTTGGAGGCAGAGGTGCTTCCTCTTTTCCTGACAAGGACACGAAAACAGATGAGATGTCGCCTTCTTTGCGAGACTCCGCGCTGGATGTGGCTTGGCGTATGAAGGTCTTATGGGCTCGTATGGGCTTCAATGCATGACGAGCAATAGACAATCGTGAGGAGCTATGAAAATGCATGTTTAAATGTATAAAAGACGACTAGGTTTGGAAGTGTAAGAGTAGTTGATTGTAAGGATACCCATATACCCAGTAGATCTGAGTGATTGTTATGAGGGATGTTAGCTTTGCTCCAGGGGTATTTATAATATTAGACACGAAACTACTTCGGCTGTATCGGAACACAGGTTTCTTAAGGCAAAAATGCTTTCAATGGTTGTGCGTCACTTTTTGGAGTATACAATGGCGGGTATGTTACCGGATTAGGAAGGTTTCCGCCATGCTCCCATTCGCCACCCCGAACCAATTTCATATAAGTTGTGCTAGGTTGGAGAATCAATGAGCATGCTAGTCAGTGCCTCGAGATAATTCGAGATATTTTCTCTACTCTACTACAAGAATCACAGACCCAATTCCATATAAGCGACTATGAACATGCCGAGCGTTACAGCCATGTCAACGACTCATGAATTCGCCGGTGTCCTATTCGATATCGACGGAACAATAATTGACTCCACTGAAGGTATGTCCCTACATTAGGCTCTTTGTCCGTATGTATGCTAAAACTTGTCCACTAGCTATTGTTGAGAATTGGAGAAGGTTTGCCGCCTCGGAGCACCTTCAGCCTGGTCCTGGGTTATACTGACGCGTAAAGCAGAATCGGCGAAGAAATAGGCATTGACCACGAGGTGATCCTACAAACATCACATGGTAGACGAAGTATCGATGTTCTGAAGGACCTTGATCCTAGCAGAGCCAATTGGGAATGTGAGATTCTTTCTATGCATATCTCCGCTCCTGTCTTTGCAGCGAGTCCCTAACAAGTATTCAATCTAGACATAAGCGCCATGGAAAGCAAAATACCTTCCCTATGCAAGAATCCTGCCATTGAAATCCTGGGTGCACGGGCTCTTCTTGAGACACTTAACAGTCTTCACACACCTTGGGCAATCGTAACATCAGGCACCAATGCTCTCTTGAATGGATGGCTCAATGTACTGCGTTTACCTCGGCCTCAAGAGGTCACCGTCGCAGAGGATGTCAGAATCGGCAAGCCCGATCCAGAAGGCTACTATAAAGCTCACACTCGGCTGCTGCAACAAAGCGGAGGAGGCGAGGTAAAGGACGTTCTAGTCGTCGAGGATGCTCCAGCCGGTGTAAAAGCAGGGAAATTGGCTGGATGTTATGTTTTAGCTGTGACAACCACGCACACTGTTGATCAGCTGAAGGCGGCTGGTGCTGACTGGGTGATACCTGATCATCGATTTGTAGAAGTACGGAGGAAGGATGAGTCGCAGGGCACTTTTACTTTTACTTTCAACAACGTTTACTAAAAAATAAGCATATTGTAAATATACTGGCGGTACGACTATATATATTGCATCCAATTGCTATATTTCACATATAACAAATCCTCATAAAGCCCATCATCCCATCTGGCCACTACTAAGTCACAGTTCATCCAAATATCTCTAGTTGAATGTCAAACTGTAGCTAGCTTTTTTACATACATCTGCGTTCTGTAGATTGTTGTCAGAAGATTAGGGTTCTCCCAGGTCGTGACTAATCCAACCGAATCGGGCCGTGAATCTCGTAGGTATCCCGATCGGCAACCATTCGCAACAACACCTCACCTCAACTGACCACCACTCCCCAACTCCCTACGCAAAACAACATGACGACACTCCTCTATACCCCATGGAACAATTACCTGGCACCCAAACAGCATGTCTCAGCAGGATGATACAGTCACTTCTCCCAAAGCACCAACTAAGCCATTCCCGCAATTCATGAACCTCCCACCCGAACTGCACATCCTCATCGCCAACTTCCTCATCTTCCCCGACGTGATCCATCTCAAACTGACCTGCGCCTACTTCAATGACCTAATCCCATCACTCTCACACCAGGACCTCCTCGAAGCCGAACTTACAGACTTCGCCTTTGCACACGATATCTACGCCTGTCGGTATTGTCTCCGTCTCCGTCCAGCGGCCAAATTCGCAGATCGGATGCTTCGACGTGGACGTGGTAGATACGGTCGTGATGCAGAGAGGCGCTTCTGTGTGGAATGCGGGCTGATGCCACGTTCTGGAACGGCGAGGTATGGTCCTGGGGCACAGATTGTGATTCAGGGTGTTATGTTCGTGATTTGTATGGTTTGCAGAGACTTTGCGGTTGGGGTGAAGGATTGCAAGGGGATTGCGATCTGTCAGAGTTGCTGGGAAGATAGGTCGACGCGCGAGAGGGATTTTCGTGATGGGGTTAAGTGTGACTTGCCTCATCTGCATGTTTCTTCCTCGTTGGGTTGAGTCTGGACGTGTAGGACGGTGGATTTGATACGCCGTTGTTTTTGGCTCGCAGGATCCACGCATATGGCCGTATATTCATGTGGTAAATATTTGTATCAAAGTGTCTCCATGTGGGATATGCTTTCTTTCCTGGGTATATCGGAAGGTTTAGGTTCTCGCCTAAGGAAGAAAATTTGACATGCTGGGACCTCCGCCGATTGCCGGGCGTATAAAAGAAATCGTAGATTATTATAGGGGTCATGTAACTGTATATTTCCTTACAAGGAGATATACCGAGAAGGAATGTTTTCAGGATATGTACAAAATACTTAGATACATATACCTATTTCGCCCTCCTGATCCATACGACTCATGGCCTTACGGTCGTAGCAGCTCTGTTGCGCTGCGTACTTTGTCTATGACAATCTGGGTCGATTTCTAGGGGAGAAATCAATCGTCAGCATTCATCTCCGTTTTTTAGAGGGGAAGAGACAAAGATTACCTCTGCGTCGCACCAGTTGCCGCTTTTCACGTTATTCCTGATACCAGGAAAAGTAGGCACAACAACCTTGAACGAGGTTCGCAAATACACAACATGCTGTGATCGTGCCTCTGGACTATCTGGGGGAACCACGAATTGCTTCTCAAATGTTCTGTACTTTTGGTTAATTTCCTGGATCATCTTCTCTTTCTGGTAGGTTGAAGCTGTTATGGTCGTATTTTTTCCGGCCAGCTTCGCTGCAAGGTCGGCTGCGTTCGTGTCAAACTGAACAGCCACCTGGTGCAGCTCTGCAATTGCATCTCCCAATGGTTGCAGATTGACAGTACAGGAATCTTGCCCTTGCTGGGAGGCTTCGTCTGATATTGCTTTTCTCAAGGTGTCCTTCAGCTCGTCTAAATAACCATCCAGTGACACTGGATATGCCGTGGCATTGAAGGAAAGGACTGGCTCATCCGCCAAGTGGGTTGCAGCCAGCGCCCACAGTTTAGCACTTGCAGTATGATACTCATAGTTTGGATCCCCAAAGGTGTCCATCCATTGTACAGTATCAAAGTCCGAGTGCCAGTGGAAGACAGGATCCGTTGGACCAGGAGCAAAACCAATGTTGAGGGAGGAAATGCCATTGCCGACGAATATATTACTGTCTCCTGCACCTTCTGGATCTATATGACCACCCCATACATCCATGACGCTCTGTCCTGGTTTACTCTGGTCGGGGCTAAGAACCTTCGCAGCGGCAGAGTAGATGACGTCACGCAGAAGTGGACTAGCTTTGACGAAAAGCTCTGTGCCAGTTGCAGCAGTCTCGATCTCAAGATAAGCGACGGCCACTTCAGACAACCAAGGCAGATTATCCTTTACCCAGAGGGAGGATCCCCAACTGCTTGGCTCATGGCCATCCCAACTGGCAAACACTATCGTTCTTAATGGTCTCCAGCCTTTCTTCATAGCCATACCAAGGGTTCGGATCACTTCGTTTAGTGCCGCAGAACCACTATTTGGGTCACCGGCACCAGCAGCCCACGCGTCACGATGGTTTCCTAGGAAAATCACTTCGTCCTCAATCTCGCCCTTGATCGTCCCGATCACGTCGTATGCAGAGATGTTCGAACCCTGCATGGTGTTCACTAGGTTAATCATCAAGCCATCCGGTGAAGGTCCAACGTTGTAATCGACCCCGAGATATCCTAGCTGCCCTCCCTGCCAAGCGGTACTGATATCGCTCGCCCGGGGACCATGGCCATTAAGAGCCTTGAGAAATGGGAGGGCCTCGGAGTACGAGATTGGTAGGGTAGGAATCTTCAGTAATGGATCCGGAACATCGAGACCTCGGCGCACAACGCTACCTGGTGCCCTAGCCGGGCCTTCAGGAAATGGCCGGTAGCCATGTGCTTCGGTGACATTTGCGTCAAACTCCGGGTCGAGGTAAAATATCAAGCCCACCATTCCTCTGTCGTGTGCATTATATAGGGCGCGCTGGACGGCCAATGAACGTTGTTTCATAATCCCAATTTTACCACTCACGTCGATATTTGATTGTTTGAGGTCATCGTAGTCTGATTCCTCACCAAAATTCACAAATACAAAGGGTGCCGTAACATTTCCACTTGGCGAACTGGAGAAGAACTGAGGAGTGCTGACGATTTTTCCACTGATGGGGTTCACGAAAGTCGAACCTTCGTTCAGGCTAGCGTTGAATAACTCTGTGTCATCTTGGCCAGGCTTCCGCTCAAGTAACGCGAGCCTTTGATACACCGGCTTGGTGGGCGGAGTGGGGACTGGATATGCCTTGATGGAGGTGTTCTCAACCCCAAATTCGCGCCATTTGTCTTGAGTCCACACAGCGAGAGATTCTCCTTGGCCCAGGAAATGTGGCTCGGACGTATAGTGGAGATTCCACTCGCGGGCCTTTTGCTCATCGGGGCCATTCAGAATGATCTCTTCAAGATCACGGGGTAGAACGTTGTTTTGGGCTGGGATGTCGATCGAATGACCAATGGGTTGATTTTCTATCGGAGACGGAGATGAAACAGAGGATGGGCCAGAGCTGGCATAAATACCAACAGAGAAGTGAGCGAGAAAGAGTGCTATCGCTATGCATATGAAATAGCCCGGCATTGTGACGAACGGCGACTGCAACCTCGCAGCCTCGTTAGTGGGCTTTACTTGCAGATATACAATGTCGTAATTTGTAGGGCCTTCTTCTTCTTCTTCTTTTTTTTCTTTTTTTTTTTTTTTTTTCCAGTCACTGCTTGCAATTGAGTGACGCAAGGTATCTCAGAGTAAAGAATTGTTGCATGCAGTCCATGATTTTTCCAATGAATGGTATAAGCATCAATTTAAACCAAGCTAAAGCAATCATTTTGTTGGCGTATACCAGCTTTAATTCGATTCAGACTTTCCCTCCCCTTACATCTTTCAACCACCTCCTTGCAGCTGGCCCTAAAGGCTGGCACTCCGGAGCCTTAAAGGATATTGCCAATTTAGCCGCTGATATTTAGATGCGTTATGTGCCCGAAGGGGGCTCACATATTTCCCGTAGAGCTCAGTCAAAATACCTCTATTGGAATGTAAATCGCTTTAAGCCTAGAGGTCCGGATGTATTCTCCGACAAATATACAGAAATATGTTAATACTTCTAACTTTACACGATACAATTTAGTCCCATTTTAGAAATGCTAGTGCAGGGAGGAAGTCTAAAATGATCGGCGAAATGAATGCTTCAGCCAGCCATTTAATTCGACTGGTCCTACGCCCAGAATAGGAAGAGGGAACAAAGCCCTTCCAGTCGGAGGACCAGAGCCAAGTCTGACAATCCTGGTTCAAGCTGCTCCTGATATAACAATTTTTTCCAGGGAAAATGATCAAACCCACACCATCATGGCTTTAATTAAATCGAACGATAGTGCCACCTCATGAAGATAGTTTCTTGGGCAGTGGACTCCAGGCTTGGTCTCATGGTTAAGCTGCTACGTGCTGAGTAGCAAGACCATGTAGGGAGTCTTCAAATACTGTAAGTCGCAACTACCTAGACTTGACTTCTAGACAGAAGTTGACGATTTCTTTTTCATGCAGTCTCATACCAAACATTTACAGTACAGACCCTCGCAGTGTTCCTTAGCTTGGGAAATCAAAGATACCCAGGTGCTACTGTCGTAAGAACAGCGATATACCCGTCTATTTGAAAGGATAATGCTAAAGCGATCGAGACAACTGTGTGTCGCATGCGTCCTCGGTTAATTCTTGGGCTACCGCAAGCCATTATAAGTGACTCTAGGAAGACTTCGCCAGATCCTTTTCGCCTCAGGATGAAGGGAAAGGCTCAGACAGAGTCATGTTTCTTGCACAATGTGCATATAGGGAGGGTGCTAGCAACTGCATTACTTAACCGCGACGTGGGTAAACTCGATCGCGTTATTGCCCTTCGCCCGAAGCTACATGGCTAATATGCAACTTCGCTAGGCTTTGCGACATTCCGAATAGCGCAAATACGAAATGGCCCCTCTAATACTAAATTTAGCGAGGAGTGAGTTGTCAAACATGAACCAGAGCGCGGTTTCTCTCTTGCGGAAAGCTGACTGGACATGTGTTAGTGATATAGTCCCCGCTCTGAGCACGTGGCCTGGTGTTGCGTTCTTCGTCTTTAGGGTTCTCGTACCGGTTACCTTGAGATTGGTATATTTTTTGCCCAAGGATGTGCGGCCACAGGAGAGACCGGATGCTTCACTTCGCCAGGTGGGCATAATATCTTCTACTACGACGGACATCCACCCTTGTATTGGGGGTCCAGTCGTATCGAAAACGATATGCGAGGCCCTTGGACGTAACGTTAATACTATCGCGAATGTGAACATGGGCACCTCAGTCCGCAGCAATGCCACTAGCAATTACTACGGCTACGGAGCCGCAAATCCATTGGCACACGGAGAGAAAACAGATTCAACAAGAATAGCATACCTGACCACTTGGATCAGAGCTTTAGCTCCGGATGAACTCCGCGCAACTACGCTAATCGATATCTAGATAATAAAGGTCATAGCCCGTATCAAGACAGTGTGGTGGTATGCGCAAAGCTATCTGCGACACGGTCGGCAAGGTTGTATATTCTCGGCTTCGTCGGGCAGACGATTTACCTAATCGGTAACGTGCTAGACCGGTTGAGCAACCCAGAGATAACGCCAGATCCAGCATGTCTCAGTATCGTCTGCTCAATGAACCAAAAGACTGGTTTGCTTCCTAGACGCCAAGACAACTGTACCATGGGTGGGCGATAATATGTATGGAAGAACTTTTAAAAAAAGTTCATCCTCAAGGAACTAAGTTCGCATGGACTACTTTCTCACTGCTTGCTTTCACCGCAGTTGGGTATACTTGTGATTTCTATATTAGGACTGAAACCACACAGCCTTCCGTACAAACCCGGTCGCCGAAATTGACAGCCCCACAGTTATCGTCGACATAGGATGATACCTTGACCACAGAAACCACGCTATCTTGGATCATCTTCTGTGTTGCCCTGTAGCAACTGTCCCTTTGAGCCAGCAGAGAGTCTTTAGAGGTTCCAGTGCGTTTTCCTTACTGAAATTTTGCGGCAGCAGTAGTCGATATTGACGACAAACCATGGTGCCTGCATCTACCGGCTTACTGTCTCCGGGAGCTTCGGCAACAAGCGGCAGGGCGTGTGAAGCTCCACTTTAATTCCATCGGTTTCTTGTTACCAGGGTTCCATCTCTTCTTGCTACACACAATGTGCCCAGGAATATTTCTAGTCGCAGTATTTTTCCCTACAGTAGAGCATCTCGCGTTACGACTAGCGATAGTTTGCGCAACTCAGAATCCCACGTCGCATAGAAGGCGATTCGAGTCTAAACTCAATATGCAGCTCAGAGTAATCGCTGTAAAACAATGTATGGAAGCGCTTGGCAGTCGATGAGTCGCAGGATTGGCAACGCAAGGTATAAATTTATTATGTATGTACCTACATTAGTATTTAAAGCCTACCTGAACGAATAGATTGCGGGATTTGAGGCCACCTTATGCTGACCTGAGCACTTAGTATCAATGCCTAGCTGTTAGGAAGTAGATCTAGACAAATCCATAGTCATCCAGAGAACCCTATCGCGCCGACAATGATAGAATACACGTCAACAGGCTTAGTTGACTTCCTATCGATGTACTGCCCAAAGTGGCTTCAGAGTTGTCATAAAAATCGAGCTCTCATTGTGCGCTGCTGCAGTTCACGAACTGTTGATTGGATATATCACAAATATGACAGGTTGAGTGTGAGCTATGGAAAACCACATTTAAAGTCACATTCAGACCTTTCACCCCGTACATGAACTATTGAAGTATCCTGCTACGTGCATACAATAAAGCTAAAGATATCGGTCAAAGCACTTCGACGTCAAATACAACGAACGTATGTTGAGAAATATTTCTTTCCCACCGCCCTGCTATAGGTTGTTAGCTATTGGCCTAGTTCTAAAACTAGGGCAAGGGACTAACCGATAATAGCAGGTGAGACCCTGAACCCTGAAGCTAATGGTAACTCCAGTTCAGCTGGATAACTAGTGGTATTGATCCAGTAAAAATCTGGCCAGACACGGTAGTGATCATCTCAATATGAGCCCTCATCCTGTTGCGTATACAAACACCACTTCGGAATCTCGTGATATTTAATACTGTCTTTGCGCCATATTGTTATGAGAAAGTCACGGCCCCTTTGCTCGCTTCGGTCAAAGTTCCCTCCAGCCACCATGCAGCGGCTTTACGCTCTTGCTTTCCTGTCATGGTGCAGCGCCCAAGCCCAGGCAAAGGCAGTCTTTGCCCACTTCATGGTACTCAAAAAGTCCCTTAACCCCGCCTAGGATACAGTCAAATAACACGTTTGATCTTCTACTAGGTGGGCAATAGTGCCGAGTTCTCAGATAAAGAGTGGAAGAATGACATTCAACTGGCCCAAAACGCCCACATAGATGGGTTTGCGCTGAACATGGCCCACAACGAGATGCTCCCCGCGACCCTTGATAAAGCATTCGACCAAGCCGACGAACTCGACTTCAAACTCTTCTTCTCGTTCGATTATGCGGGCAACGGATCCTGGCCGAAGCAAGACACAATCGATCTCATGAACAAGTATAAAGACCGCCCAGCCTACTACAAGTACGACACCAAGCCATTCATGTCCACCTTTGAGGGCGCAACATCCAAGGACTGGCCCGATATCAAGAAACAAACCGACTCCTTCTTCATCCCTGACTTCTCGTCAATCGGTCCCGAAACGGCCGCCAACAAAAGCTATGTGGATGGACTGTTCAGCTGGGCCGCCTGGCCAAATGGGCCTACCCGCATGAACACCTCGGCCGATGATGCATACAGACATGCGTTGGATGGTCGCCCATACATGATGCCTGTCTCGCCCTGGTTCTACACCAACATGCCCGGCTTTGGAAAGAATTGGGTGTGGGCTGGTGATAATTTGTGGTATGATCGCTGGGAGGAGGTTATTTCCTTCCAACCGGAATTCGTTCAGATCATATCTTGGAATGACTACGGCGAGTCTCATTATATTGGTCCTCTGCATGATGATAGCTATGAGGCCTTTAATCGCGGGGAGGCCCCCTTCAACTATGCAAAGAATATGCCCCACGATGGCTGGCGCACATTCTTACCATACGTTGTTGATCAATATAAGAATCCGAACTCGACAATTCCTATCAAGGAAGAGAATGTCGTGACCTGGTATCGCCTTCATCCTGCATCGGCATGCACCACCGGAGGTACTACCGGAAACTCCGAGACTCAAGGCCAGGCTGAGTACAAGCCGTCAGAGATTGTTCACGATCGCATTATGTACTCGGCGCTTCTCAACTCCACGGCCGATGTTACGATCAGTATCGGAAAAACCAAAGTGACAGGGAGCTGGGATAACACACCCAAGGACGGAAAGGGTATCTACCATGGCAGTGTGCCATTTACCCAGTCCGGGGAAGTGAAGGTGAGCATATCGCGAGGCGATAAGGAGATAGCCAGTATCTCTGGAGAGCATATCACGTCTGAGTGTCCTAGCGAGGAGAAGGGATTCCAGAATTATAATGCGTGGGTTGGCACTTCCGGGGCAGATGGTACCATGGCACCGTCCACTGCCATGCGTCTATTCCCGCTTGGAATGGTCATCTATATTTTGGCTAGAGAGATGTTTATGTTGTAATGCGCTTTAAATATTAATCATGACTATAGCTCAAGGATGATGGAACATGGTGAATAGACTGCATCTGATGACAATTACTGTACATACATGGCTGCCGGGGAAACACTTAGCCGGACAACATACAGACAATGTACTTCGTACGTATATAATGATCTCTGCAGCGACGAAATAAAGATTACATCACCGCCTGTAGATCGTCTTCAGCAAGTCCCACACCCTCTCTCTTCCCCTTTTCTCGAAGCGAGAACACGTCAATAATCTGTCGTGGTCTTATACAATCGTAGTAACTTAGTAACTGCCGTCGGGGAGATTAAGGCCAAAAGAGGCTAGACGATGGAATCAATTGCACCACGGAAACCTATAAGCACACCATCGTTTAAACGACAAGACGAGCCCTCCGAGAATTTCACCGACACCAGCCAATGATCGCCTGCGATTCTTCCATCTCGAACGCGAATAAATGCGGGGGTGCCAAACGACTCGTGGCCAAGCTTCTTTTCACACCAATGGAATATCTGCATGAACAGCCTAAAGGAGGGGCACAGCCGTGGCTTTTGGTGGCTGATCGCTATGTGGAACAATCGGATTCAAGGACAGTGAAACGTACACACGAGACGATGTGGGGATAAAGCTATCGCTTGCAATATTTTGTCACAGATGGGAAGATATATAGAAATGGTCTGATTCCCTGTCGGCAGGGGGTGGTGGTACATACCGTCTCCATTGCTTGCAATTTAAATCCAACATCGAAACTTCACGAGCGGTGGATTTTTCTTTTGGGATATCTATTCTTTATATAAATCGGAGAGAAGCTTCATTACATCATGCCTACCGCTGTCGATAATGCGACTCCCGCTACGATCCGGGGAGGCAATGAGCAATCTCGTCCTCGTATCGCCCAGCCGTTGGAATATACCGGCACCTTAGACACATACACCCATAATGACCTCACGCCCGTTATCGGGAGAGAGTATTATGGTGTGCAAGTTGCCGAGATCCTGAAGTCAGAAGAATGCGACCGGATAATCAAAGACCTTGCTGCTACGAGTTAGTGGACATATATAATCTCACGACCATGTTGATTCACTATTCTAACAATTCCCAGTCTCCAGACGAGGCGTAGTCTTCCTCCGCAATCAAGAGTTAACCCCACAAGAAATGCGCCAATTCGGTGAAAAACTATCAGTCCTTGCAGGATGCGTGAGCTTACCCCCAACCAAACACCCCGACTCATACTCTCCACAGAGACTCACTAACGAAACAAAACAGCCCGAATCATCAACCTTACACGTCCACCCACTGACAGAAGAAGGAAGCGAACTGGGCGATCAAATCAGCGTCATCAGCAGCGAGAAGCAGAAGAAAGGAGGTGGCCTGACACATCAGCTCAGCGACACGAGCCGCTTCGCTTCAGTAGGATGGCACACCGACATCAGTTTCGAGCGAGTACCATCCGACTATGCGATGCTGAAGATTCACACTCTCCCTAAGACAGGTGGCGACACGCTCTGGGCCTCGGGCTATGAGATCTACGATCGTCTCTCGCCGCAAATGGCGGAGTTTCTGGAAGGGCTAACGGCGACGCATGATGCTACGTTCTTCCACGATGAGGCGCGGAGATTGGGTAACCCTTTACGAAAGGGTATCCGGGGTTCGCCTCTTAATCATGGCGAGGAGCTTACGGCTGTACATCCGGTTGTGCGGACTAATCGTATGTTTTTTTTTTTTTCTTTTTTTCTTCCCGCTCTCCCTTCCCTCGGTTTGGGATCTAGTATGACTGACATTGCGATAGCGGTTACCGGATGGAAGTCGGTGTATGTGAACAAGGGATTTACTCGTCGTATCAACGGGGTAACCAAAGATGAGTCTGATATGCTATTGCAATATCTATTCAACGTGAGTGGATAGAAGGAACATTTAGAGCCTTGAATATATGTACTGAGGACATTTAGCTTGTCACGCAAAACCATGACGCCCAGATTCGGTTCAAGTGGAACAAGAACGACATGGCAATTTGGGATAACAGGTCAACTTGGCACTGTGCGACATATGACTATGAGGAAGCTCGGGCTGGTGACCGAGTCTGCAGTTTGGGCGAGGCCCCTTATTTTGATCCTCAGTCTAAGTCGCGGAGAGAAGCTCTTGCTGAGAATTAACGGTAATGAATATCTTATCATATATCTGGCGTCGGTTGTTGTTTCTGAAATCTAGGGGTGCATTAATAATGTTCACAAATGCACAGAGACAAGTCTTGGTATTCATTGCATGATTAAATAAAACATGTAAATCTCAGAGAGCCACAGCGCCAATAGCTTGTAAGTCATTTTACCCCTTTGAGTTAAACAGACTTATATAGTGAAAAAAAAAAAAGCAAAGGAAAAAGAGAGAAACATGAAAAGGGAATCAAAGATGATAATCGCCTATCCAACTCCAAATTCCAGCTCAGGAATGGATAGGCGAACCTAAAATAGACGTAGAAAGAAGTACTGTTTAAACTCTCAAATCACGCCTGGCAAGGCTCGGACATCTTCATATAGTTCCAACAAACTATGCTAATGTTAGTCATTGTCCATGTCAAATCAACGACAGTTCGGTCTCTTATGGAGTTAACTTACTACTGTAACCCATATCCTCTCCAAACAAAGTCCCGAGGAGCTCCTTGCCATGCTTAGTCCCCTCGTCAGGGGTATACGACACGGCTGTATGTCCCAAGGCCAACCCTATCACGGGTGGGTACTTGATGAGGTTCATGAACTCAGGCTTGGTCTTAGTGGCCTCTGCTAACATAAGCTGATGGACGTTGGTTCCTGCATAGTGGCCCATATGTATGGCACCTCCACAACGCTTGATGCCAGCCCACTGAACAATATCACCAACGGCGAAGTGGTGCTCTGCGTTAGGCACTGGGTTGGCGAATTGCAGACTGTGGCGAGGTTAGCTTTCATAAACCATCCGAATCCAGGAACGGGGGTACGAAGCAACATACTTTGGAAGGATCTTGACGTAGCCGTCTTCGGTCAAGGCATCCTTGGGCAGATACGATGAGGTAGGCGAGCTTTTCGAAACTGCATTCATAACATGACCGGCTTTGAGTATCGTTCCACTGGCCAAGGTCAGATTCCATGTACGCTTCCCTTGCTCTTCCTCTACTGCTGCGGTATCAATAACCCGTTGACCCAGAATGACCTCAACACCCTGTTCCTTGAGCTCAGAGACGACGCGCTCCGCAAAGTCATCGGGCAAGGGCTCTGCGGAAAGTAGACGATCCCGGGAATGAACAAGCGTAACCTTCTGTTGAGGATCTAGCTCCTTCAACTCGGCTGCCATCTCAACTCCGACAGCGCCTGAGAATACCCACAGTTAGCCATAACTCTTCCAACAAAAGACAGAGACATAGCTTACCTCCTCCAATGACAACAACACCATCATCCGCACTCCGAATAGCCTCCTTATGACTCAACACTTCCTTCAAGAACTCTTCCCTCTTCAACGACTGCGGAACCGTCGGAAATACACGACGGAGACCCGTGCCCGCAATGAAGAAGTCATACTTCTCTTGTCTCGTTTCCTTAGTCTCGAGGTCAAGGATCTGTGCGACCTTATTCTGGAAATCCACGGTATTCACGCTCCCGCGAACGATCTGTAGATTTGGAGACTTCAATGCGGGAATGTCACAGAACCGTGTCCATGTCTTCGCAGCAAACTTATCGCATGCCAATGCTTTTGGGGAACCAATTAGGTGATCTAACGGAACATATCACGAATATCAGTCACCAGTACTCAGGCATCGAAAGGGGGGGAGGGGGATACTCACAAAAACCATCTCTTTCATCTACAACGGTGATCTGAATTGGGATTTGGTACGGAGGGGGCTTAGCGCCCTCTGTGAAGTTGAAGCGAGCAAGACGACCCTTGGAAAGGTCAAGCAGTGCCAGGGCCGCGCTCAGTCCGCCGTACGAGCCACCGGCAATCAAGACGCGGAACTGGCGCAGAAGAGGGGTAAGGGCTTCGTTGGAGGGCATTATAACAACGGTCTACGGGGATATTAATGAATCAAGCAATATATCTGGAGAGAGGAGATGGCGGCGACCAGGGAAACAATGATGATATTCAGTAAAGGGCGGAGAAAGCATGGGAAACGGGGGTTCTTTCTTTTAAAGCCAGCGGTAATGACCGGACGTGTGCTGCGCCTGCATTGGCGAAATGGATCCGAAGCCAAGGATCAAGAACTCCGGAACGGTGGAGCTAATGGAGGTTTCTATATTAAACGACTACAAATGGATTTATTGTCCCGGGAGGTTAGGAATAGCAGAGTAGTAGTATGTTATTTCGTATGCGCTGCTGTGCATGTTGGCATATTGGCGGAAATATAATGGTTATTTTTCTAGATTTGACCTTCATGAGGGGGAGAGTTATCGATAATGGGGTATTGCTTAAGTTGGGAAGTATATGCATTGCCGATGTCTAATCAGATTGTCTCGCCATTCCGGATACTGCCATCACCCGCGCCAAGTAAAGTTTCTCGTATCTTATCAGATCTCGGCTCAGAAAGGGCACGTGAATCCATGGCGGGTTTGATTGCATAAGAGAAACTCAGTGAGAAGAGTGGAGTTGGATTATTTTTTATTATTATTTCCCCTTAAGAAACAAACGCAGGATATCCAAGCCAAAGGGGCATTTGACTGAAAACGGAAGCTCCGCAATGTTCGTGGACGACCCGCCCCGTTCCAGACACAGTTACAGTTATCTGATCCGAAATCCACCCCCTCCATCGCAACCGGCTTTTCTATTTCTTTGTTTCGCCGAGAGTCTCACCTAAAGTCTAAAGTTATCTGATCTTGGGAATCTTGGGATAATGCTTCTAGGGTCTACGCTACCCAGTGTACTTCCTCGATGCCACAAAGGTGGAGCCCCAAGGAATTCGAGTTCTGAAACTGAAGGAGTAGAAAGTTTCTCCTAGCCTTCGAGCAATATGCACCGACTAGCATGAGCCTTGCCTCATGGGCTGTTCATGTATAGAGGAAGAGTTGATGCATACTCAAAGGTGCATTACTACTGTGGTTGCCCTTAAAGCCCTTTTATATTCGTTGTAAATGGTCTTCCCCCTCGATCGCTATCCTTGTAATTTGCACACCCCGTGCTCGACATATGCGAAATGGGATGATCATCTCTGTGCACGTGGGATTGTCTCCATGAGTATGTTGCATTACGAGACGCAAACTAGTCCCTGCAGATGACCAACAACGTGCCCCCATGACCATGAATTATATCCCACGGTCCGTCAAGAAAACTGAGGCCACTAAGAATATCAACATGAAAAACAAGGCCAAACCTGGCGATATCGGCTTCTACCAAATTAAAAGGTTGCGTTGCGTTGAATATTTGTTCTTGATCTACCTACCCTACGGAGTATACCAAGAACAAGAACCCACTTCTCGCTATGTCGAAGCTCAAGAAGCTCTCTGCGTCGCTCCGGATACGAACGGATTGCGCCATTTACGACGCATTCCGATCTACAAGCAAAACTAGTGTGTGGGACACAGTTCAATATGTTGAAGAGAAAATTTCTTCGTCGAGGTGGGACTGGTGCTGTAAGGGGACTAGTGTGATGTACTGAAATTTGTATCGTTCACGAAATACATTACCTTGGCCGATGTTACCATACACTCGATACATACCATACGTTATTGCTTGATAGTATTGTTTTGCATACCTTCTTGATACGATATTCTCTTTTCTGTAAAAGATGATCATCAGCATCTTACAGACTATGCATAGAGACTAGAGCTAGGTGCATACTCTAGAGCATCGAAGGAGTGCCGCACCGTTGCAGGTGTGTCGGTCCACGTTTCCGAGAGTGTGGAAGCAAAAGGGTTCATGCAGATTCAATGTCCCTGCAGCTATCGCGATGTCCTCGAAGTCTAGACCCTTGGGATAGTTGAAAGAACTATATATGTCTTTATAATTGTCTCTGCGAGCTGCTAAGTCTTTTCATCTGCAAGGAAGCTTTGTTGGGCTCTCTTTTCTTTCCAGGTAAGAATGAGGTTTGCCCTAACCTCCAAAGCTCCCAGGTGCCTCTTTCAAAGCCATACACAATAGTGTATGAGCAGCAGGCTACCCTAGACAAAGTCAACTCGGATAGTTTCGGGTGTGACACTTCCTTGGGGCAGATGAGGGAACGCTGCTTCCGGAAACATTCCCGCGACGCCGTGTTTCTCACAGAAGCATTATGTCCAGTTCCACGTATACTGCAGAGAGGGAATTTGACCACATTTCAAGGATCAGCAGACATCTTAGAACCAGCTACATATAGATTAAAATCATAACCAACTATAGGGCGAGGGTGAAAGTTGTAACATATATGCCCTCCTATACTACAAGATGAGTTCGACATCTTCCATGCATTGTTACTTAGAAATGGGATGGAGCTACATAGAAAGAAGATGCAAGTTACTAGGCAAACAACATACCATCCATTTTCCTTATACTGTCGAGATGACTCCTGTTAGCTCCTCAACTTCGCCAATCTGTTGGTCGTTTACCGTAGCACATCATCCTGACAGAGGCAGAGGTTTCCTTATAAGCTGTAACAGTGTTAGATTCCATACATCCGTTGCACCCTGTTTAGAAGACATAACTGCTGAATTTACCAATGTTCATATTCATGCGTCCCCTCAATCTGCCTCCTGAGAAATGCCCTATTTGCAACCATGCTCAAGCGTTACATCACAGCCCGGTATAGGCTCATCTATATCTAGCCATTGAATCACGCCCATAGACAGTCTCTATGATAATTCTACTATGTTCAGTCTGGCCTTAACGTTCCCAAAAACTAAAATAGGAGATTAGTTACCCAGCAGCATCAGTATCTACACATCGTGCATTGCATGATCTTGTATAACCTCTAAAGATACGGCACGTCGTCGGGGAGCCTATGTAGTTAAAATCCACGAAGTTGGACTACAACTATGTGTCTGGCTTTAGTTTGGGTGTCTGTGCTAGTGAACTGCTGGGGAGAAGTTTGTTCACGGTTATACCCCTGGGCTGGACGACTCAGACAAACTGGGGCATAGTTCCTCCCGCGGTCTGGGCTGTGATGTTGAGGGCCTACCCAGATATTTTTGTACATTTCTGTACATACATCATTCGTTCCTTAGTTAGGGTCATAAATCGGTATCATGGATATCTGTAGTAAGGATACCTTGTAATTTTGCTTGCTGTGGTCAGAGTAAATGACATTAAATCTTTACTGGCTTTTGTTTCTAATACTCGGACAAAGTGGAGCATATCGTAATAAGCTTGGCGGAGATTTTTTTTTTTTTTGTCTCCCCTCTCTCTCTCTCCCTTTTCCTGTTCGCGGACCACTTCTTTGTACTGCGTACTATAAGCGAACCGAAAAAAGCTAAGATCTCCGCAGCTCAATTAAAATTATCTGATCCGTGATACCCAGACTTTATTGTGACTCTGTGAGGCATAAAAATCCAAGGCACGATCTTTTCTCACACTTATGTAAGAGACTAAACGAATAGCCGAGACCGGAGTCAAAATTTTCTCCTGCATGAAGAAAATGAAGCCCAAGTGGGGGTGGCCAGCGTCATGTATCGCGTAAGAAAATATCCTGCCCGGTGCCCTAATGAAACTTTCTTGGCGCAATTCCATCAGATTAGATGATTGTCTAATCTGATGCACTTAAATTGTTATCATTGGCACACCCGTCGCGAATGTCCCCGCCCCCTACCCCCACTATCAGCGCATACTATTTCTTCCTCATCTTGCTTTTCCTTTTTCTTTTTCCTTTTTTTTTTTTTTTTCCCACCCGATCTTCTCCCCTAATTTAAATCCTGGAAAGTCAATTTATGGACCACCACTCTCGGAGGTTCGAGCGGGGCTTGTAATTGTTTGATTGGACAATTCCTCCTTACTTCCTCCGATTCATTTTTGTTTCCTGTTTCAGGCTTTTGCTACGGATGATTTCCGATCGTTGGTGTTGTTGGGTGTGTCTGGTCTCTTGAATATGGATGTTATAGTCTATAGACGAAAAATCAATTGCTCCTAGGGTATTCATCTAGCTATGTACAGCTGTATATTCATTCAATGGGCAAAAAAGCGCGGCGTAAGTGCGTTGTTCAATTCGCTTTCGCACGCTGCTCCAGAACCTGTGCCGCAGTCTTCCGCAAATCCACCTTCCGAACTTTTCCACTGCCCGTAATTGGGATTGTTCGATCCACACCCTCTTCGCCAAACACGAACACATACTGCGGAGCCTTATGCCGGCCCAATTTCTCGCGTGTCCAGGCCCGCAGCTCCTCATCCGATGGTCGCTTGTCCTCGTAACCCGGGGCCAGAGCGATGAAAGCCCCAACCACCTCACCGTACTTGTGATCAGGAATGCCGATCACCGATGCAACCTCGATGGCTGTGTGGCTTGCTAATCGCTCCTCGATTTCTAACGGGTAGATGTTTTCTCCGCCTGTTTTGTAGAAGACGTAACATGGTCAGTCATAACCGCCACTGTATTGTAGGGGGTGTGTTTTGCGGAACGTAGCTCACGTACCGCGTATGATGATGTCTTTGAACCGTCCGGTAATGGTACAGCGCCCTTGTGCATCGAATATGGCCTCGTCTCCTGTCTTCAGCCACGTGGTGCCGTCGGCATCGATCGTAAGCGTTTCGGCCGTCTTGTCGGGGTTATTCCAGTATCCTTTGGTTAATTGGTAGCCTGCGATGCATAGTTCTCCTCGTTGACCGAGCGGGACGATGCGGCCTTCGGCGTCGATGATCTTCGCTTTCGCATGCGGCATCACCTTGCCCACTGTTCTTAATCGGGTTTCGATGGTGTCTGTCGTAACTGCGTTGAAACATGTTGGTGAGGCTTCCGTCAGACCTATGAATACAGACGTATTTATTAGTTCAATTTTTTATTTATATATGTAGGGGTAGTATGGTTCCAACACCCACCGTAGCTGCTAGTATACTGTGTCATATTCAATTCTTCGAACAGCCTTTTCATCAACGGGCGAGGAACAGGGGCACCAGCAATGATTCCAGTGCGTAGATTGCGTGTGTCAAAGTTTGACGGCTTGGGGAGGCTTAGGATGGCTTCAAACATAGTCGGGACACCATGGAGGGCAGTACATTTTTCATCGGAGATCGCGTGGAGAACTGACTTCGGGTCGAACGTTTCGCTGGGGAAGACAATCTTGGCTCCGTGTGTGACAACAGCTAACATTCCAAGGACGAGTCCGAAGCAATGGAACAGGGGTGGAGGGCAGCAAAGTATATCGAAGGAGGTGAGGTCCATTCGGTCTCCGATAAAGCGGGAGTTGTTGACCAGATTGCTGGAAGAACACAATAGCATTAGTACCATACAAATCATGACTACGTATATGTAGGGATCGACGCTGCATAGAACATGACATGTGAGGGGCACACATACTGATGGGTCAACATGGCAGCTTTAGGGTTTCCGGTTGAACCACTGGTGAACTGTAGGTTGCAGACATCGTCGGTTCCCAATTGTGCCTGTCGATCTAGCAAGGCATTTCTAGAAACTGATGATCCTCTTTCGATGACGCTGTTGTATGTTGGGAAATCAGAGTGTTCACCCCGCAAAATGACGATCTCTTCCAATGCAGCTGATGATCCTTTCCGCTTGGGATGAGGGCCCATCTTTGACAGGACCTCCTCTAAATTGTGGCGACCAATGCGAGGCGTCATAAACAATAATCGGCAATCTAGATATCAAGATAAACTCTCAGTATGGAAGTTAAATATTAGTGGATGAAAGCGCAGCTACCTGTATGTTCCAGAGCGTAGTAGAGCTCCGACGGCGTGTAAGTATTGTTAAGCACCACTAGAATAGCCCCGACCCGTGCCGCCGCAAAGAAAACAGAGATGTACTGTTCACAATTGCCAGCCATAATGCCTATACGATCACCCTTGTGGATACCCATAGCCAATAGGCCTCGGGCCAATCTATCGGCCTCATCGTTCAGGTCAGAATATGTCCATCGCGTTCCTGTCCAAGGGAACACTAGGCACTCATGTTCTCCATATTGAAGGCTCTGTAATGCAAGTAACTCTCCGAGAGTGATGTCTAGCAGGGGAGGTTGTGTAGGGCCGTAAACAATGGAAAGCTGTTCAGTCGACCTTGGCGGCTGAATATGTGACAAAGTCTGTTGCAGACGCCGTGTAGCTGCCATCTTGAGGGTGTTTCTGGTGTCGAAGGACCGGACCACAGACTAAAGGTTTCTACGAGAGAACTAGGTCGGGGAATATGCCGGTTCATAAATACTATGTTATAGGCGCGAATTCTAGGCGTCAATTTACCTCGGATCTAGTTGTCTTTGTCTGGATCCTTCTGGGCGTTCCATCAAACGCCTCTTTTCATCTCTCGGCACTCAGTACTCAAAGTAGCAACGGAGCATGTACTAACTTAGTCTATAGCTCGCTCCATTCCTCATAGTTACCCACCCGGGGCCCATTCCAATCAGCAGCGTTGTTCCAAGAGCTAGATCTTACGTTTTTCAACCGGGATTTCACCTAAAGTATTACCACATCGCTTGGAGAGCTGGAAGGAGAAAAATATTCCTGGTCTCAGCCTTAGCGTTCCTGCCTCCGCCACCAAGCGGACCAGTCCGACAGACTGGTGGAAAATCGGCTGTGGCCAATCCATGTGGTTCAACATATCACATTTTCAATTTATCGGTGGGGATAAGATCAGATAACGGCTGTGGACTGAGCTCGGAATTTTTTATTATAGGTTCCGAACCCTTCACGAAGAAGCACAACTCTGTATACATGACTCAGTCTTCATTATTAAATTTTTCTCACTTGGAATTTCAAAAGAATAATTGAGCATCTGACTCATTTTGCAACGTGGCTAAATTGCAAGACAAGGTGGAGGGGACTGTCTTATCAGATTAGATAAATGTATATTGCTAAAAGTGGCCGTTGGTTATTAAGCAAAAAAAGAGAGAAAAAAATTACTTCAGGTTACTAATGCTTGGCAAAGCCCTCCAAAATGTCTCGGCATAGACGGCGTACATAGTCTGCATATTCATCGGAACAGATATATTTGATAGTTCCGTCTCATGAAAGTCCGGGAGTCTGCCAAGTTAGCCAAGCAAGCACAAGACCTTGGTACGCTCGGTTATTGGCTTCTTTGCCGGCTTTTCTCTCGTCCCTCGTCAATATGAAAGTTAAATAAACGAACGACGGAGAGAAATAGTCACGAAGGCTAAGCTAGGCATCAAGGGACACTTGATTGAGGGTCAAACTAGTCAAGAGATGCCATGAATTTTATGACGGATATACCCGCTGTTGCCTATATTGCTCGAAGAAAGCAATATCGGATACTTCCAGGGTCAGCTTGGGTTCGGCATTAGTTACTCTAAGTTGCAGGGATCGGCCATGTCTCTGTCTTATGGAGGGGGTGGTTCCTGGCGGGGTCGAGCATCCCGTTTTGAACCGGTTAGTCTATTATCATCAATTGCCATCCTGGAACGCATAGCTCGAAAGGGCCTGAGGGAAGGTATATGGGACATGAACCATCCTTGATGGATACCTTGGAACACCAACACCATGAGATAAAAGTACTTAGTTTTTGATTGTGAGGGTCTACATTACCAGTCAATCGTTGATGCTGAAGACTCTGCTGTATGGTAGGGCGACGTCACATATAAAGGCTGATACCTTACCAATGAACTGGATCATTACGTGAAGCATCTATTTACTACTCCTGCCATAGCATGCTGTTGAGAATATTCAGAAACATACGATAACTAAGGTTCAGAAATATCAGAGCCTTGTCAGTTGCCGCCCAACTCCTGGGCGCGTCGGTTGATTTATAGCCCAGGAAAAGCTTCAGCTGCATAACTGACTCAAGCCTAGAGGAATGGCAAACCCTAGAGTATCACATGTAGGATCCTAAAGGACGATCGATAGATCTAAGCGCACATATTGCTCAGGATTAGACTTTAACTCAAGACCCTGACCGCAGTCGCCAAATGAGGTATGATAGAATACGATTCGATGAAAGTATTTTCGTTTTTTAGTACGGTCATTAATACAGTATGGCTGATACAATACTAGCTAAAACGGTATGAATCTAATCAGATGATCTAATCAGATAACTTGGCCGATGACCGGAGAAAAGTGACTGGTGTGCCCCCACTTTGCGACCGACGGTAACAGAATCGGGGGAGTGATTGGCGCGTCATCCGCGCAGTGTGGTGTCACCCAAACCATTTTGCAAATCCTGCACATCATAATCAATACGATTGTAATTACCGCGGTAGCCTCGTTGAGTAACCCCCACTTTGTCATGTTCTGCCCAATAAGCTGCATTGGTGACCACTTGGATTCCCACGGATGACGATGTACGTTGGTTCCTGAGTTTGCTGCAGAATGTGGCTTTTTAGCTGCAGTTGCAGGAATATCTTGATCGATAATCCTTCAAGCTCCCCTGACTAGCTGTGGTTTTTCCTTCATTTGTACACGCGCAGGTGCAAACTCTTGCTGAAGAAGCAAGACAAGTTTCACTGAGTTCGCAGGTGAGTAGCCGCACTTGACCCCGCACCACTGAAGCAATGGCAGGCAAAATCACGAGCGATGAGGGGTACGGAAGCTCCGCGGACTCAGTCTGCGAAAAGACCCTTTCTTTGAGCAGCAGCACCTCGTCCATATCCATGAATCAAATACTGCCCGTTACCAAGGTTCCAGCCTTGGACACGATCGATCCATACGTTGTCAACAGATCAACCGACCTGGCGGTAGCCCGAAGTCCCCCAGTCGAGCTATTTTACAGTTCGGAAATTCAGAACCTCGCCGATGACATCGTCAAGGGCTATGCGCGTTTCATTTCTAGCTTCACTGGACTCGAGGATGTTGCCTTCTTCGTATCCCGCCACTCGCCCTTCGTGTCGGGCACACAACAAGCATGCGGCGTCATTTGCGCCTCCGTGTTTGGCTCCGATGATGCTGAGCAGCAGACGAGCCAAGAACATTGCAAAGTGCGCGAAGCAGATGCGTGCTACTACAACAAGGATGAAGTCCAGTTTTCGTTGACCCTAGGATTGAGTGTCGGACCTGAAAATGGCGAGCTACAACCTAGCGTCCAAGAAAATGTCGGTCTTCTCGAAGGATACTTTGTATACTTTACCTAGGTAACTGACTCGCCTGTAGGTATTTGGCTTGCATGTTAGATCTACTCCGAATGATGGTGTTCTACAAATCCATTTTACCTATCCGACGCAACTCATTCCGGATATGGCAATTTCTCAATTGTCGAGAACGCTCGCCTCACACTTAGCCGACTCGTCTACATTCCTTAGTCTCGAGATATCTTCTCCTGAGCTTTCGATCATTAATTTCCCTCCACTTATGGTACCCCCATCCAGGAATACTGAACCGAATGAGGCCATTGCAGCCGAGAGCTCTATGCCATCCCTTCTCCACGCTGCTTTCGAGGGCTGGGCCCGCAGAAAGCCTAATACCATAGCACTTGATTTCGTACATTCTTTATCATCTGCGGAAATACCCGCAGAGCACAGCATTTTAACTTATGCCGCTCTTAATACTGCAGCCTCGAACTTGGCTACACATATCAGAACTCTTTTGTCCGGTCACGATGACTCGGCCAACCATGGGCGCATAATCCCTGTATATATGTCGACGTCCCCTGAACTTTATATTTCCTATCTCGGTGTCCTGAAGGCTGGCTGTGCGTTTTCACCGATCCCTCAGGATGCCCCCGCACAGCGAGTACAAGAGATTCTCCAGGACATTGGCTCTCCCATTATCCTAGGCAGTACACCAGAGCCTTCTTCTGTGCCGTGGCGTACGGAGGCCACAGACTCTGCAATAACCACCCATACATGGGTTGACGTCACAGAAGTGTCCAAGTGGAAAGAGCTGCGAGGGGACCAGGCCCCCTCAACAGCTATATCGGAGCCTCTTGAGCAACTGGATATTAATGAAAGCCAAACTGCTTATCTTCTGTTCACAAGTGGCTCTACTGGAAAGCCTAAGGGCGTTCAAGTAAGCCATCTGGCGGGTACTTGCTCCATCGAATCCCATGCTACAGCTATCCCGCTCCCTGGCGACTTCGTCGGGGACTTCCGTTGGTTCCAGTTCGCGTCCCCCACATTCGATCCATCGCTCATGGAAATCTTTGTAACATTGAGCAGTGGCGCTACTCTTTGTTCTGCTTATCGCAGTTTGACATTGACAGATTTGGAAGCGACCATCAATGAAGCAAGAGCAACTGTGATGATGGCCACTCCCAGCTTGGCTGCACTTCTGCGGCCTTCACGTCTGACAACTCTCCAGTCTCTCTGGACCATGGGTGAAAAGTTGAACCGAACAGTCATTGAAAATTTTGCTTCCAAATCGGAAACCAATGAGCAAGACGACACTACAGGGCCTTCGACTATGTTGGTTAATGCATATGGTCCAACCGAAGGTGCAATTAACTGCACCTTCCTTGCCCCAGTCGACCGTTTCACTCGTGGTTCAATCATTGGTAAAGCGCTGCCCACAAGTGCAATGTTTATTTTGGATCCGAATACGCATGTACCCAAGCCGGTACCGTCCGGGCTCGCTGGAGAGCTAGCGCTTGGAGGACCGCAAGTCAGCAAAGGCTATTTGAACCGTCCGAAAGAAACTGCAAAGTCTTTTGTACATAGCCCCGACTTCGGTTATGTTTACCGCACTGGTGACATGGCACGCATTGTTTGGGACGAAACAGGCTCCCAGGTTATCGAGTTCCTTGGTCGTATTACCTCTGATCAGGTAAAGCTCAGTGGTCGCCGCGTGGAACTTGGTGAGATAGAGTCTGTCCTTTCCACTGTGAGCGGTATCACCGAGGTTGTGGCCGTGGTGTCAAAGAGGGACATGAATGTGCAGGGCAGCGAACAGATCTTTGCATGCTTGGTAGCAGATACTGCGACCAAAGTAGAAAAACACGAAATTGTGCGAACCGCACAAGAGTCAACACAGCTGCATCTAGCATCGTACATGTGCCCATCGGCATACGCATTTTTTGCTTCTCTACCTAGATCTAGCTCTGGGAAGGTCGACCGCAAAGCCATATCTGCCAAACTCCAGCAGAGTAATGTGGAACTATTCACTACCCAGAAACCGAAGCCTGAAACGTCCGTTGATGCGCAAGATAGCTGGGAGACTTCAGATGAACACACACAACAAATACAACAACTTGTGGTTAGCCTTATTGCGGAAACATCCGATGAAGATGTCACCGCAATCAAGCCCGGGGCAGATCTTTACTCACTGGGTGTTGACAGTCTCGGTGCTATGCGACTCCTGCAGAAGTTGCGAGACAATTCCATTGAAGGCTTGTCTGTAGGGGATGTGCTGCGAGCTGAAACACCCAAGGGGCTGGTGTCAATCATTGCGAAACCTTACTCAACGTCGAATAGTGTCGACTCGAACGGCGCTTCTCTAGCTAACAACTCCGCTGAGCAGTTAGGCCAAAGGCTTACATCATTCAGTACCAGAAATCACTCTGTATGTGCGGAGAGGCTCGGTCTAAACCCAGACCAGATCCAGAAAGTCTTACCAACAACGGCCACGCAATCTGGTATGTTGACCAGTTTTCTGCGCAGCTCGGCTGATAAGTCATTCCATACTCGCTCGTACATCTATCATTCCGTCCTTCCCCTTGAGGCTACAGTCGACCTTGATCGTGTACAGAACGCGTGGGACATCGTTACCGCAAATTATGACTCCTTCCGGACTGTCTTCTGCTGGCTCGACGACGACATGGCTCCATTCGCACAATGTATCCTAGCTGCCGATGCAGTTCCCCAGCCAAATTGGAATGTGTACAACGCCTCTGAAGGCAATTCAGAGAAGGAAACCCTAAGTCAAGCTCTACGAGACGCAGAAGAGACAATTGGCTTGAGCACGCCTCCATGGAAGTTGTCTCTAATCACAACCCCTCAAAAGACACTCATAATCTTGAGCATGTTTCACGGAATCTTTGATGGTGGCTCATTGCAACTACTTCTTGAGGACGTGTCTTCGGTTTACGGTAACAAGGCCATGGCTAACAGAACATCATTGGAACATATTGTACAACATCACTTTGGCGCTGACCATACAGCAACTTCTGACTTCTGGGACAAACACTTGGAGCACTACTCGCCGATTTCCTTTCCTTCTGTCACGCCTTATCGGGCTCCTTCAGTAAAGGTGGCCGATTGCGTAGAAATCTCCGCACACATCAGCTACGACAGGTTGAAAAAGCAGTCTAAAACTATCGGCGCAACCCCACTCTCAGTGCTGCAGGCAGCTTGGGGCTCTGTACTCTTGGCCTACACTGGAACCCCAGACCAAGATGTTGTGATGGGCAGCGTAGTGTCTGGGCGATTGGATCCCGATTCCGAAATATGTATCGGCCCAACATTCACCACAGTTCCCGTACGACTCGCTATGAACCTAATCCCACAGGATGCCACTGGTACTCGGACAAACAGATCTGTTGCCCGCTACCTGTCATCCTTTAATGCCAAAACATTATCTCACCTACAACCGCGCCTGGGGTCCCTGGTCACAGGAGATGGTCGATTGCCATATGACACTCTCCTGGCATATCAGGACTTCAGTGCTGGATCGAGTACCAGTGGACTCTGGAGTTCGATAGACCATCCACCAATGGGAAATGACTTTGCGGTAATGATTGAAGTCTGGCCTGGAGCCAATTCATCTTTGACATTCCGTGCCAGTTTCAATCATGCTCTGCTTGACTCTGGATCAGCTGAGGTCATGCTGAGGCAAATGGCTGATATCGTAGCATTCATACTTGAAACGCCAGAAGGAAACTTTCTCGATGCTCCATCCCAGACCCAGGCTGAGCTGAAGTCAACTTTCAATCCAACATCAAATGTGGTTCCAGAGGTGGCAGAGGGCGCACTAATCCACTCTCGATTCGAAGAGCATGCAGAGTCGCACCCAGAGGATACAGCATTAATATTCAAGGGCGATTTGGATGACGACAGCAACCCGCGTAATATCTCCTGGACCTATGGAGAGCTCAACGCCATAGCCGATGGCCTTGCTGAGAATCTACTTCAATTGACCGGTTCACTAACAAATACTCCTGTTCCCATATGTATTGAGAAAAGCCCAGCCCTGTATGTGGCGATTCTGGGAATTCTCAAAGCAGGTGGTGCCTGGTGTCCTATTGACACCCTTTCTCCTGCTCAGCGTCGCCATGACTTGATTGCTCGGACAGGCGCCAGGGTTCTTCTAGTCTCTAGTACTGACGGTGATCAACCCGAAGGCTCCATTCCAGCAGGGGTCGATACTATCGATGTCAGCCGATTCACTGCAAACTCTTCCAAGTGGAACGGCGTGGGAAGACCCAGTACTAAGCAAAGAACAAGCCCAGATGATATGGCGTATCTCATTTGGACCAGTGGCACAACAGGTGCACCCAAGGGTGTTCCTATCAAACATTCTGCCGCTGTCTCTTGTATGAAATCTCTCGCCAAGGATATTCCCACAGATGTACAAGGTGGTGTCGTTCGCTGCATGCAGTTCTCACAGTATACCTTTGATGTGTCAATTCAAGATATCTTCTATACCTGGAGCCTGGGAGGAGTTCTCATCTCCGCTACGAGAGAGATAATGTTGGGCTCGTTCTCTAAACTCGCGAACATCACCAAGGCTACTCATGCACATCTCACTCCGGCGTTTTCAGCAGGTGTTCCTAGGAAGAGCTGTGAAACGCTTGAGGTAATTACCATGATCGGCGAGAAGCTGACCCAGCCGGTCGCTGATGACTGGGGCACTGATATGCGCGCCTTTAACACGTACGGTCCTGCCGAAGTAACCATTGTTTCCACAATCAGGGAGTTCGGAAATGAGCACAAGAACATCAAAAGCGCAAACATTGGCTGGCCCATGGATACTGTGTCTGTTTTCGTGACAAAGAATCAGCGAATGGTAATGAAGAACGCAGTTGGTGAGTTAGCATTGGGTGGGCCCCAGCTTTCTCCTGGCTATTTGAATCAAGAGGATGTCACAAAAGCGAAGTACGTTTGGAATGAGGAGGCCTCGCAGACACTGTATTACACCGGTGACTTGGTGCGCATGCTTGCCGATGGCTCTCTTGAGTATCTCAACCGTGTCGATGACCTAGTCAAGCTCGGTGGTATTAGAGTTGAGCTCAGCGAAATCAGTTTCTCCCTTGACGGCTGTCATCCTTCTGTTGAGAATATTGAGACGCTCATCCTCAGTCGTTCCGACAGACCCACCAAGGTGGTGGTTGCGTTCCTTTCTGCACCTGCGGCTGCATCTGCCGATGATGACCAGCTGTTGATACTCGACAGTATGGCACTTGAGGTAGCTCGTTCTGCCAGTGATAAAGCCCACTCGGTTCTTCCCGATCATATGATCCCGTCTGTGTACTTGGTTGTGAAAAACATTCCAAGAACACCGTCCGCCAAGACTGACCGTCGGGCTCTGCAAGCCGCATATGAAGCTATTGACATCGACAGCTGGGAAGGCCAACTAAACCCTGAAAATGCGGATTCTGCCAAACAGCCAGAAAATGAAGCAGACGCCGCCACAGCTTCAAAGATAATCGATATGATCGCATCACTGGCCAGCATCTCGTCCTCAATCATTACCAAAGTCAGTAGACTTGGAAGTCTGGGTATCGATTCAATTCGCGCCATCCGCCTTGCGTCCAGGCTCAAAGAAGCTGGCTACCAACTGTCTGTTGTCGAAGTACTGAACTGTGTCACCGTACAAGATTTGGTGAAGTTGGCCTCTTCCTCTAGCAAAGCTGCCAATGCCGCTTCGGATGCATTTGACCTGGAGAAGTTTAACGTGACATGGCATGTCTTGGCCGCTAAAAGAATACAAGAGGAGTTCTTCACGGTACGCGCTACTACAATTCAGGAAAGCTTGCTCAGTGAGACAATGGGCACATACGACATGTACTGGAGTAATCATTTCTTCTCGCTTAACCCCTCAGTGTCGCTTGACAGACTAAAGCAGGCTTGGCTTGCAGTTTGCCAAAAGACGGAGGCACTAAGAACTGGTTTTATTCCCGTGGCTGAGGTGGCTAGCACTTGTCATGATAATTTCGACTTTTCTATCCTGCAGCTAATCTATAACTTGCCGTCCTTGGATTGGGAAGAGCACAAGTGTAATGAAGATGACTGGGTGGCGCTGCGTGACCATCGAATCGAGACGATTATGACAAAGCATCAAAGCAATTATTTCAGCTACCCACCGTGGGCTGTTACTGTTTTCGACAAGGGTAATGAAAGAGTCATGGTTCTTACGATACACCATTCCATCCACGATGGCCCTTCGCTCAGTTTAATCATGGATGATGTGCAATATGCTTACATGTACAAGCCACCCTCGAGGCATCAGCTTAGCAATGCGCTTTCCATCGTTCTTCCAAATGAAATGAAGAGCGCAGAGACCCGCAAGTTTTGGCAATCCGAGTTAGAGAGGTTTTCAGAGCTGGACACCCCAGTATGGCCTGACCTCACTGGCAAAAAGGTAGAGCCTGGTGTTGAACAAGAGTTCAAGCTCATCTCAGAGGAAATTCCATTGACGGAAAAGGTTGCGGCCCTTCAATCGGCTGCAGCACAGCTCGGAGTGTCGTCTATTGCCTCAATCGTACGAGCAGCATGGGGCTATGTCTCACTTTGCTATCTCGGAATCCCAGCAACTGTCTTCGCTGAAACTCTCTCCGATCGTGTGTTGCACCCAGATCTTGAAGATGGAATTGGCCCATTGATCTCCGTTGTTCCCATACCTTTCCACCCACAGGGAAGTGCGCGCGAATTTCTCGCAGAGCAACATCGGATCTCAGTACAGTCTTGGAAGCATCGTCATATTCACGCCCGTGACGTTCGAAGGATGCTGAACCGGCCAAGAGGAGATGCATTATACCCAGCTGTTTTCAACTTCCATGTGGCAGATGAATCCAAGGGTCCCGCTCAGTCTAAAATCTGGCAGGAGCTAGAAGATCAAATTGGTTTGCACGTGGAGCATCCTATGGCCTTCAATGTCTTTCAACATGTAGACGGTGCTCTTGTCTTGGAAGCGTCTTCGGATAGCCGTGTGATGAGCCGAGAGCAGCTGTCACTTTTTGTTCGCCAGGTCGACGGTCTGGTCACTGCTATGTTGGCGTTTCCCGACAAACAATTAGCAGACCTTGTGCACCACCTTCCAACATCCTTGAAATCTATCTCCAATAGACCTGTTCCTGAGTCTGTTCGGGATTCAGTCCACACTAGCCCAACCTATTGGTTGGAGAAGAATGCCCGCGAGCATCCGGAGTGGACAGCTGTTGAAGTCGCAAGTGACATAGCCCCAGAGGGAATTGTGAAGGAAGCGTGGACCTACGAGACGCTCAACTCAAAGGCGAACCGTGTGGCAGCCTACATTGCCTCCCAAGGGCACAAGAACAGAATGATCGGCGTTTGTTGTGGACGAAACCTTCCTTCATACCCAATAATCGTTGGTATTTTCAAGTCTGGAAATGGCTATCTTCCAATAGATGAAGGCCTTCCAGATGAACGTAAAGCATTCTTGACCGAGGATGCTGATTGCCCCATTGTCTTCACCGAGACTCAATTCTCGCAGTCATTCTCCCGAGTACCTGAAGGATGTCGTGTCATTTGCGTTGATGACTCTGGTTTCCAAGAATTGGTTGAAACAATGCCGGCTGAGGACCGGGATTACCAGTCTCATCCAGACGATGTCGCCTATCTTCTTTTTACATCCGGTTCGACTGGTAAGCCCAAAGGCGTCATGGTCACAAGGGGCAATCTTTCATCGTTTATCGAGTCATTCAGAGAATTCTGCATCAAAGCAGCTCCTGGTACATTGACTCTGGGCGGCACTGGCAGGTATCTCGCACAAGCGAGTAGAGCCTTTGATCCTCATCTTCTGGAAATGTTCTTCCCGTGGCGCCAAGGAATGACAACGGCGACTGCACCTAGAGCTATGATCTTGAATGACATCAAAACAACACTTTCAAAGTGGGAGATAACGCATGCAAGCTTCGTGCCGTCGATGGTGGATCAATCAGATACACATCCAAAGGACTGCCCCAAGCTACAACATATGACCGTCGGTGGCGAGAAAATATCCAAGAAAGTATTGGATACTTGGGCCGATTCTCACATTGCGCTTGTAAATGCATATGGTCCGACCGAGGTGACAATTGGTTGTACTTTCGCTCACGTTCGGAAGCACACAAATATGCGGAACATTGGACCACCGTTGACTGCCTGTGCCTGTCATGTCATGATCCCCGGTACAGACAATTATGCTCTCCGAGGTCAAACTGGAGAGCTTGTCTTTAGCGGCGATATTGTTGGAATAGGGTACCTCAACAGGCCTGATGCCACTGGATTTGTGACGGGACCTAATGGCGAGAAAATGTACCGAACTGGTGATATAGGCCGTCTGATGCCAGACGATTCGGTGGAGTATCTTGGACGTGGTGACGATCAAACCAAGATCCGGGGGCAAAGGTTGGAGCTCGGAGAGGTGTCTGAAGTGCTGCGTTCATCCTCGGCCGTCCCCATCACTGTGGTCACGACTGTTGTCAAACATCCAGGCCTCGCCAGAGCGCAGCTTATCTCTTTCATCACAAGGTCAGATGCTCGTCATCACCAGTCAGACGAGAGTGTAGCCTTTGTCCAGTCTGATTTCGGAACCTTGGGCAAGGAACTCCAGGATATCCTCAAAAAGAAGCTGCCAGCATATATGGTTCCTGAGCTTATCCTCCCCATAACGTATATCCCGAAGGCACCGATGTCAGGGAAAGCAAATCTCAAAGAACTACATGCTCTATTCACGAGCTTACCGCTCGCGACTGTTCTCCGGGGAAACAATGCGATCAATAAAGATGGCAGTGCGGTCAGTCGACCTCTGACTGCTGATGAGGAGGCTGTGGTGGAGGAGGTCTGTACTGTTATATCTACAGACCCTTCCAACATTGGTCCAATGACAAATATCTTTGAGATTGGCCTGGACAGTCTGAGTGCAATTGGTCTCTCTATCAAACTCAGAAAGATCGGATACCAAGCCACAGTGGCTCTTGTCATGAGCAATCCAGTTATTGAACAGCTTGCACGTCTGCCAAGAAATGCATCGTCGTTGAATGGACAAGATCCGTTGTCGAATACACGCCAGAGGCTTCTTGACATAGAATCACAATACAGAGAAAGCTCCCCTGCTGGAATCGACCTGTCTCAAGTTGTTTCTGTGCGTCCTTGTTTGCCCCTTCAAGAGGGCTTAGTAGCCCGCTCCATCAATAGCGATGGTGACCAGCTCTATGTCAACCATGTTATTCTTCAACTTGGAAAGGTCGACATTGCTCAGCTGAAGTCAGCATGGCAAACAGTGGTCAATGATAATGAGATCCTGAGAACTGCTTTTGCTCCAATGGATAGGGAAATGGTCCAGGTAGTCTTCTCTCCTGACTCAAATCAGCTTCGCTGGACCGAAGGAGAATATGGCACCCTTGAGGAATCGATCGAGAGGTCCAAATTGCAACAGGAGGGAGTCACTCGAGATATCATTTCAAACATCTCCAGTACACCTCCTGTACGATTCCATATTGCAAAGCGCTCTGAAACCAAGGAACCGCTCGCTCTCTTCATCTCCATCCACCATGCTCTCTATGATGGGGAGTCTTTCTCAATGTTGATGGATGATGTCACTGCTCAATATGCAGAGCAACCAGTTCCAGAGAGAGGCTTACCGTGCACGTTCATTGAACATGTTTATGGTCAAGACTTAGAAAAGGCAAAGAAACACTGGTCTGAGTATCTGGCCGGTTGCCACCCAACAGTCTTCCGCGAAGATCCTAGTGTCATGGAACTTCCAACTTCTGCACACAAGGAACTTGGTAACAAACTGTCAGCCTTGGAGCGTCGATCAGCTAGCCTCCAAACAACGGTTCCCTCCTTGATACAGGCTATATTTGCACTTCTGTTGGCCGATACAGTAGGCGCCTCGGATATAACGTACGGACTTGTGCTCTCTGGTCGCGCTGTTTCTGTGCCTGGAGCAGATTCAGTCCTTCTTCCCTGTATTACTACAATTCCTAGTCGTCTTGATACGAACGGGTTGATTACAGTTACAGATGTAATCGAAACTGTCCAAAGGTCGACTGTTAGATCGCTTGATTACCAGCATACTTCCTTGAGACACATACAACGCTGGATAAACTCCCAAAACCCTCTCTTTGATTGCCTGTTCTCCTACATCAGGGCTACTGAGCCAGAAAGATACAGTCTCTGGAAGGAGCTTGACAGCCACATGCCTGCTGAATATCCACTTGCAGTTGAAGTCGAGGCAAACCATGCTACTGACACGATCAATCTAAATTGCCTCTTTTCCCCAGCGTTCGGCTCTCTGTATAATGGAGAGGAGTTCCTCGAAAAAATGGATGCTGTACTCGCAAGTGTCGTGTCAGGCGAAAGTGTCTCTTTGGATAGTTTCAACCTTCTCCGAGTGGAAGATTCTGTCTCACGTTCATCTGCTATCCAATGGGACGATACCACATGGTCCAATACAGAAACTGAGATTCGATGGCTCGTTGCTTCTTTCTGTGGCTTGATTCTGGCAGATGTCACCAAGGGAGCTTCATTTTTGAGTTTGGGGATTGACTCTGTTACAGCCATCCAATTCGCACGCAAGCTACGTGAATCAGGCCTTAATGCTTCTTCATCTGACGTCATGCGCTTCTCATGCGTAGGTGCGTTAGCTAAACACGTCGAGCAATCTTCTCTTCCTCAGCCCACAACGAACGGAGAACATGTCGGCGGGACAGCGAATATTCCTCTCGATGTCTATCAAAAGCATGTCCGTCTCCTAAGTTATAAAGATTCCGTCGAGGCTATGTTTGAATGTACACCTCTACAGGCTGGCATGATCACACAAACCCTAGCCTCTTCCGGGCAGGTCTACGTTAATCCTCATCCTATCCGCCTTAACAACTCCGTGGATATTGGTAGATTACGTGATGCAGTCCAAAAAATAATCAAGAGAAATGATATCCTGCGTACTTCATTCCATCTGATAGGGGAGCTTGGCTCTTCATGGATCGGTGCAGTGCACGCACATCCCCCTCTTGAATGGCAAGAGCTGAGTTTGCCATCTGGCTGTGACGTCCTCGCCAAGGTCAATGCACTCTTCTCCTTTGAGGAGGAGTCTTCTTTTGAGGTTCCACCAATCCGCTCTGTTCTGGTCAACCAGCCTGAGGGAATGCTTCTGATCATCGTCATGCACCATTCTCTATACGATGGTGCTTCCTTGCCATTCTTCTTTGAGGACCTCGCCATTACGTACAATGGTGAGTCTCCATCAGAGAGACCCCAGTTCTCAGAAACTGTCAAATATGTAACGAACGGACAAGATGAGGCCTGCGACTTTTGGACCCGTAAGCTGTCCGGGTATGAAGCTGTGGAGCTCCCTCAGCTGCAGTCCCCTGAATCTTTGGACTGCATGTTCCTCTCAGAAAACCATGTTGATCTTAACTTGCCGCTAATAATTGACGCTTGCAAGAAGATGGAAGTCACTGTACAAAGCGTGGCTATCCTAGCATACGCCAAGGCCCTCGCACGTCTTGTTGGAAAGCGCGACATTGCATTTGGACAAGTTCTTGCAGGTCGGTCAGTGCCAGGAACCGAACGTACTTTTGGGCCGCTGTTCAACACTGTAGCTCAAAGAGTAACCTTTGAGCCGAAATTCCTGAGCAATAAGGCTATGGCATTGCGGCTGCAACAACTCACTACTGAAGCACAAGAATATCAGCACGCGCCTCTGAGAGTTGTACAAAACTCGTTGAGAAAGGCTGATACACTGAAAGCTACTTCTCTCTTCGATACGCTCTTCGTCTTCCAGAAGAGCGCAGACTTTGCAGGTAGCATCCTTGAGGAGCAACAGATTTGGAAGCCGTACGAAACAGATGACTATGCTGCTCAAGCCGAGTATAAGCTGAACGTGGAAGTTGACCATGGCCAAGACAGAATTGCAGTCAGCGCCAACTGCAACGGGCAATATATGTCGCAAATGGCCCTCGATAGCTTCATCAATGATTTCACTGCCGCCTTCAAAGATATTATCCAGCACCCAACAAGATGCGTCACGGTCGTACCTGAACGTCTCGGAGAGCTACCGCTCAGATTGTTCTTGGAAACGCCTGAAGAAAACCTGCCTGACGACTCGATTGCGCTTCCGCACGAAGCCATCGTTAAATCAGTACTAGCAGATGTTTCTGGTGTGCCAGTCGACAGTATTAACCCCAGGACTAGCATCTTCAGTATTGGATTGGACTCCTTGACAGCAATTCGCATTGCTTCTATTTGTCGATCGAAGGGGCTGAAGACGGGTGTAGCCGATATTCTCCAAGGCAACACTCTACGTGGAATCAGTCAACGTATCCGGCCTATAGGAGAACAGGCAGTCAAGCCTCAAGGCGCCCTTATCAAGGACTACGATCAAGTTGAGAAAATGGTTTTGGGACAACTAAGGCTGAATAAGGAGTCGATTGAAACAATTCTTCCATGTCTCGGCGGTCAGTACTACCACCTCGTGAGCTGGTTGAAGTCTGGACGGAAACTTTTCGAGCCGGCCTGGCCATACTTCACTGCGGAACGCATCAATGCCGAGTTGCTTGAAGAAGCATGGTATCAACTTCGCCAAAGGCATCCAGTGCTACGGACTTGCTTCGCAGCTATTTCCCCATCCGAGGCCATCCAGGTCGTCATGAAGCAGGCGGTGCGTGACGGCGAAACTTTCAAGGTCATTGAGTCCTCCGGTTCCATAACAGAGCTTGCAAAGGCACAGGCAAAGACGGAGGCTTTAGAGCCTTCTTCGCTCTTTGTTCCTCCTGTAAGACTACGCCTTTTGAAGGCCAGCGACAGAGACGGAATCCTTGTCCTAGTCAACCACGCTGCATACGATGCATGGACAATGCCACTGTTCGTTTCAGAGCTTGGAAAACTCTACCGCGGTCAGCCCTTGGACTCGAACCCTGATTTCCCTTCCTTTGTCGACTATTCAGTCCGCTCTCTCCAAGAGGTTGACGAGAAAGCATATTGGACATCAGCCCTCGGCTCAGGCATGCGCACCGTCATCAACTCTAAGCAGAAAGCCGGTCAGTTCTCAGAACAACTATTCGTCGGAGCTTGGGAAAAAGTCAAGAGCGTATCCCAACTAGAAAACACATGCCGCTCCGTCGGCCTGAGCCTCCAAGCCGTGGTCCTTCTGGCTGTTGCTCGCATCCTCGCACGCGCAACGGGATCAACAAGTCCAACCATGGGTTTATACCAAACCGGTCGCTCCGCCTCGTTCCCCAACATTGAAAGGCTCTCCGGGCCTTGTCTGAATGTAAACCCATTCAGCATCTCCGACGTCATTTCTGACGACTCAGAGCTCAACCTCCTGGACAAAGTCCGCACGGTTCAATCCTCCCTTGCAGAGCGCGTCTCGTTCGAGCAAAGCTCGCTGCAGGACGTCCTCCGCTGGGTTGATGCCCAAAAATCTGGATCGCCGTTGTTCAATACCTGGGTCAACCTCCTCTGGATGCAAAGTTCCATTCCATCAGCCAATGATGCCACACCAGATGCGGACCTCAACGACAATGCTGAGATCTTCTTGCCTCTTCGTATCGGTGTCCCCACGGACTTCATTCCCGATGAGCCTCTGTCTGGTCTGGAGTCAACCTCCGTGTCTGCCTTGGATACTTCTCTTCTGCCAGATGAGAACGTCTACATTGATATCGGTCCTGACCCGAAGACTGATACCATCGGATTCGGTGTTCGTGTCGAAGGTGGTGCTCTTTCTGAGGAGGAGGTCAATAAACTTGTGTCGGATATTGGGGCTGAGATTGAAGGAATCGTTGCGTCCTTGCAGTGATACAAGGCAACAAAGCAACACCAAAATAACTGAGAGAGACAAAAAAAAGTATGAATAAGTAAATACAGAGGAAGAAACGAAAAAAAAGGACAGTCAATGAGGCAGGATTCCTCTTTCTGAATATTTTGCATTTTTGGGGTACAATTATAGACATTTTTTGTTACATGGGCATTTTTGAATATTGATTTTTGTTGATTTTATACTTGTCGATAGTTCAGTTATATATGCCCAATTACTTTCATTGAAACTTGTGATCCTTTCAGGTATAAAGACATGAAGTAGGTATATATTAGTTCGCTGTTCATATATTCGTTCCAGCATATCCAGATTCTATGCATGGTATGTGGCTAAATTGCAATCATAAAAAGTGAATATACATACATACATACATACAAGTCATCCTCCTTTATTCAATTCTATACGTAAATTTAGTTTCTCCTTATCTCCGAACGAGGGGCATCCTTCATCGCCTCCTGCACCAACCACATAGTGACATCTTGGGCATCGGTGCCGACTCGCCAACTACCCAATACCACGCCCTTGTCCATGAGGATCTCGTGTGCTCTTTCCCAGCGTCTCCGCCAGAGTTCCTCGCGCTTGTTGGGCAATGGAGCGGGCGGCGCTGATCCGGCAACTGATTGCTGGTCGCTGTCAAGACTGTTCGTGCTTGATCTGGCTGGTGAGGGGTTGGTGGTTGTAGATCGGAGAAGGTTGGAAGGAGATGGGAGACGCTCTGAGGCGTACTGTAGAGCGGCTGTTGCTGCGGCTGTGGGGTATGATTGCGGTTGTCTTTGGGATGGGGGACGGCTTGTGCTTGAACTCGAGGTTGTCGTTGAGGATGTTGCCCCTGTATTGCTTCGGCGGGGTGGGGGTGGTGGAGGGGGTTGTTTGGATCGCGCAAGCTCTTGAGGTTCAGATGGAGTTGCTTCTGTTTTGGAGCGGATTGGAAGTGAGTTTGGTGGGGCTGGGGCTTCTGAAGGGCGGCGCGGCGGTATTGGTGGTACTGGCTTCCGGTTGATGGCACCCTGCATTTGGGATGAACTGTCTTTTCCTGGCTGATCTGACATTGCGGAAACGGTCCTTAGAGATGATGGCTTGGATGGTTTCGCTGGTGGTAAGCGTCCGTTGTATGGCTTGGTCGTGTCAGACTGGGTATCCTTCAGATCTTCATCGTCACGGAGGTCGATCAGATCGGCATTGTCTAGGCTTATGGCATCAGCAGATCGATGGTCTGGTGCTCGAGGGCGGCGAGGAGGTAATGCAGGCCGACTAGTTGCTTCATCGCTGGTATCGATGAGCTGAGGAGTGCTGCGAGTGCGAGATGGATGGGGCTCCAGATGGTCGATGGACTTCTCAAAGAACTGCTTCTGATCGGATGTGGTGACGTCGCGGATAAAGATGCCTAAGATCCTTCCAGGGTTGGCCAGGGCAATGTCGGTGTAAACTTCGAGGTCTGCCTCGCCGCTATCGCCGACTAGAATGAACCTGCGTGTCGGGAAGTCCCGAAGTAGCTGCTCAAGAGAGCCCTTCTTTCTTTCTGCAGTAGGCTCAAATATGCCCTGAAGCATACCACTATATTGTTTGAGGTGAAAGGAACCAGGAGGCAATCCTGCCAATTTAAAGTAGCGCTCCAACAACGGGTAAAGCTGCCATGGTGAATTGGAGACGTAGTGTATTTGCACCCCCATTTTAGCCAGCTTAGTATACCAATCTGAGACGCCATCGACAGTTAGATCGGCCAGTTCGCGGATGAAAGTGTTCCGGAATATTTCTTTGGCTCCATTTGCGATAGCTGAATGTTTCACCGTGTCGTCAATATCGCTGATGAGACTGACACCGCTCGGTTCGATGACCTCGACCTGTTTCATAGCAGAGAGGTCCTCTGATGCCAGCACACGGATATGAGTCGGGATGAAAGGCAAGGCCGCGCGTAATGTAAAGTGGCCCGACTCGTCGGTCAATACGCTTCTCGACTGGCTCTTCCCATCATTGAAGAAGAACACTGTGACAGGCTGCTGGTTCATGGGATTAGACAAGAAAGGGCGGAGTCTCTCCATAAGATGAGAATTCGCAATGGACAGCTCATCCATGCTCATTTGAGAAGGTTCGAGTGTTGACGATGTCGTCGTTCTTTGTAGAGGTCTTCCAGGAGTAGCTTCGCCGTCTCGTTCCGACGCACTGGATTTCCAAGCAGCATCCGCCCTTCCTTCTGCATTTCTGATGATCGATTGAGCCTCCGCGTCCACAAGCTCATCATCTCTTTTACCCGACCCCTTTCCTATGAAAGCATTATCGGAATCAGGGCCTTCGGTATCTGTCGAATAATTACTCGGCGCCGGTACACCGCTTAGTTTCCTCGCGAGCGCAATCAGCAAGCGCTGCTTTCGATTCATCGGCCCGCGATGTGGTGAGTACACCCAGCCTCGCACATCAACCGCGACGATTGCATTCTCATCCTCCAGTATCTCTCTTTCAAGTTTCTCCAACTCTGTCTCCTCGGCCACACCGCGGTATTCGTCGAGCGTCGAAGTCGATCCCCGACGCTGTCTGTTGTAGTCTTTGACAAGTCGCCTTGCGTAGCTCGGGAAAATTACCATTTCCTCATCTTCGGACCGTGCGATTTCAATATCTGGAAATGCTCCCGGTGTGTTCTTTAAGTACTCTTCATCATATTCACGGGATGGGTTTATTTGCGCCGCCCATTGCGCGGCGTACGTCTGGCGCAGTTCATTCGCAGCCCTTAGGTACTGATAGACTCTCTGACGACGTCCACCACTAGCACCGCCTCCCGAGCCCCATGAGGATGTCGACGATAGAAACTGTGACATTGGCACTCCTACTGTCGCACTCGCCGCCGTCCCACCACCAGTGTCCGATCTTTTTGACCGTCTTCTTCTTCCGACAAGGAAATCTAACACTCCCCGTCTACCAGTCTGCCGTTTCCGGAGAAGCCTGGCTTGCCGTCGAACAATCACTCGGTATAGGCCTGCCTGGGCTCTATGGCGAAGGGCAGGGATCGTCTCGTGGCGGAAACCCCAAAGATGAGATTGGGCACGACGGCTCGTAGTAGGCCCGAAGAGTACACGAAGGAATTGAAAGATCTTTCCTTGTCGAGCGGTAAAACGAGGGAGGGGTAACGATCGTAAGGGCAGTTGGCGCCTAGCGGGGAAGCTCGGCGGAGCGCGCCAGCGACTTCGAGGAAATAGTTTCGGCGCCACGGTCCTGAATTAGGGTGTGCGATGCTGGTATGTTAATATATTTCGGGAGAACTGCGGGGTTTCCAGTTGGTGTTCAGTCGAAGGAGGTCGCGTAAGGCTGAACTTATGTGCTGTCAAGGCAAGAAGTTGAAGTCATCCCGGCCCACAAGGCGTTTTAGCGTAGTGATGTCAGTGTAGGTTACCACTTCGCTAGTGGCCGAGTCGTCAACAGACGGAGAACAAGATATAACTATATATAGGTACTCCTATCTCAGCACAGCATACGAGCAAAAAGGCTATGAGGGTTAGAAAGGGGGAAAACATTCGGTTAAGCTAGAGTTTCAAAACCAGCGGAAAGGGTGTGGAGACACGCTCAAATGCTATTATGATAATTACATCGTACCTTGCCTTAGTCAAAGCTTCTCAGGCTGCTAAATTTTACTATATGCAATCGATGTTATTGTGTTCTTCCAGATTATATCACTAGTTTAGATCTATGTTCGTGCGCGCTATATATATATATATATATATATACATAAAAAAAATTAATAGCTATAGTCGGAACGTCTTTTGACTTTAAGCTATTGCCCATCCGAGAGATCCCAAGAATAGCACTGATACATAACTGGGTAAGTGGCATCGAAAGGCAGTATCGCTTGATCGAAGTATGATTACAAAGATTCGCTGTCTTCAGCGTAACTGACTGGCTTCGCTCGACGGCTTCGACGGACCCCAGTGCTCTTAGATCGCGTGAGCTTGGGAGTTTCGGGCGAACCATCATCATCTGAAGCAGAAAGCGACGTGCTGACTGGCGTAGAAGCTTTGCGTTTCCTACTAGACATTTTCTTCACGCTAGAGGTACGCTGAATGCGCTGAGAGGTTTTGGACGCGGGCGTCGAGGTAGGTGTAGTCAAGGCGGTACTGGCCACCTCACCATCTTGTTCCAATGATTCCTCTACGCCACTATCGGCCTTCTTCATCTGCCGAGATCGTCGGGGGCTCTGGACGGCTTTAGTGCGAATGACCTTCTTAGGCCGAAGCCATTCCTCCATTGTGGGAGGCCAATAAACTCTTCTCTCCGGACCTCCCATGCCAACCACTTCCTCAGGGACAGTGGGGGCAGGGGGAACATGTCCCTCAAGGTCAATAAACCCCCCGTTCTTTTTGGTAGACTTCCGAGGCGGCTTGAACGGTTTGTTCTCGTCCGTACGAACATGTGGGATCATGTCGTTGAACAGCTCGTGACCGGGGAGCTTGAATGTTCTCATCAGTTCAAACACCGCCTGCTCTTTATCTTTTGCTTCGATCATCAAATCCATTGTGGGGTCGCATGGAGGCAAGGTGGATACGCGGTCGCTATGCTTCCGCCGCTGACGATTCGTGATGGCAGCAGGTGTCGGCTCCGAATAGTGCATCTTCTGAGTGATACCCTTCCTAGTCCAAGTAGCCTTAATCCTATCAAAGAGCTTCGTGATGTCCTGAGTCCCTTCACGGACTTGACTTGAGTCGAAAATGATGTTGTGGTGGTGGAAGTCCAACACGAGCGGTATATTCAACTCTTCGCATATAGGCAACAGATCATGTACCGACCAGCTAACATCATCGTTTTCTAAAACAAGTCGGTTCTTAATATCTTGCGATAGGGGTTGGTAATTCTCCCGGAACCGGTTCAACGTGGCCTCCTTATCACCAAACACACCGCCCATGTGGAGAATCATGACCGCATCCCTATCTTGTTGGGGAGGCAGCTGGAGCAGCTGCAGCATTTCGGAGTGATACTCCAGATCACGTATCGAACTCTCTACGACCTCATTCTTAGGAGACCCTAGTTGAGTGAACTGGCCGGGATGCACGCTCACCCTATGGCCAAGCTCGGCAATGACCCGCCCTGCGTCTGCGAGAGCTTCGGATGCAAAAGGAGCTAATCTATATCCATACTCCTTGTGGCTAGCAAACGGGAACATCTCACTACTCAGTCGCATGAACTTGATTCCATAGCGGTCATTCCAGCGCAGGATCTTTATTAGATCCCGTGCATTGGCGAGTCCCAATGCTTCAACGAAGGCTTGACCCCGTGCAATATCAGGTTTCTGGCTCCGATCCGGGCGGTTCTTCGTCGGATGGGCAGGCTGAGAGGGGTCTAAAAGCGGGTGGCGGTTCTCCAAAATCGATGCGATGCGGCAAGTTCGGGAGCAGAAAACAGGAGGGTTTGAGTATCGTAGATATGTATTCAGACATGCCTACTAGCCATAAGAAATGAACTCAAATTGGGGGGAGACAAGATTGAAAAGTCGACCAGTGGTTATCACTCACATATCCTAATCTGCCCTTCCAAGGGAGGGGCAGATAACTACTGTTGACAGGCGGGGGCCTCGATAGAGCCTCTTGGAGCTCCTCGGCCTGAACAGGTATATCCTCATCCGATTCGGGATCTGGCGGAGCATCTTGCGGTAAATCCGATGTACGCGCCTGGGCCAGCACTGCATTTCCCTCACTCGGCGAGTTCACGCTGTCCCCATTCTCATATTTCACGTCTACAGGCATGTTCGTGGCTTGCGATGTACCCACTATGCCACGCGGACCTCCTACTCGGCGCCGGGAATGCAAGGGCGCAGTGACTGGTGTCGTTGCAAGCTTCTGTAATCTCCGAGGGGAAGAATGTAACAGACGGTCAACGCGGGAATTGTATTGAGAGCGACAGGAGGTATGGACTAGAGCAAGGAAAGAGATTGAGCTTGCCACTAGAACCGGATGAGTTATCCACCAAGCAGGAGAGTGGCGAACCCGGCGGGAGCGCGCACCAAATTCCTCGACGTCATGGAAACGCGCGGCATGATGACAGGAAAGCGCACGACCAAAAGTCCTCTGCTGGTGGTGGAAAGGCCGCAAAAACATCCAGCAATGCGCTATTTATTAGATAGGGAAAAGGAGTGAAGTGTGAGGTCTATCGCGCGGCGTTAGTACCATGATCCTCCAGAAAGAAAGCAAGGACCTAATGGTGAGGATATGGCGGATGGCAGAATATAGAGAGCAGGAAGATGCTTCAAGCGGAGAGAAGACACACGCCATGGGGCGGACGCTAAGGAGCTTTAGGAAGGTCCTCGGCGGATTTCTTATGGGGAGGACTTCCGATGATCAAATGCCACCCTCACAACTACTCATCTCCTACACTACAATATTAATGGCATTCATTGCCTCTCATTATATACAATTCCAACCCTACTAGCCCTCATTGACTATTGATGCATGAGTAGGAGTCGAAATCTTCAGTATACTACTGTACACTTGCAAATTTACCAATGTATCTGCGGCAATGCCCGCCATTAAACCGTTACGTATCATGCGTGATTTAAGGTGCAAGAAGACATCCAGGTTTCAGTGTGTCGGAATTAGTACGCGAAAGATTAAAAGTGTACCGAAGAATGGTCTGCCCTTGTTGAAGCATTTTCATGAGACAATAACATTCCAGACGGCGTTGCGCATACCTACGTTAACCACTTAGAACTAATGGCAGAAGTACAGGAACATGCCAGAGCTCCAGATATTGAACATGCCTAACATCTGGTTGGATCACACTGCTTGCGCGTTCCTGAGCTTCTCTACTTCGGGCCAGGCTGAGCGTTCTTGCGGATTTTGTTTACTGCCACCCCTTGCCACAAAAAAGAAAGCATCTTGTCCGCTATAAGGAGTGCCAGTTATCGCCATCTGGGGAGATACATCTTCATCTCTCTAGACTCTCTGGCTCTCAGGGTCTGATTATAAGCGGCGCTGTGTCCTGAAAGGGTAGGTACATGCTGCCTTGGCTTGAATATGAAGTCTAACAAGTTACATCTAGTGTTTACGGTTCTACAAGTGGTGGCATATAGCTCAGGAATATACCAGTCTTTTACCGGAACTCCCACAATGAAGGGCCTTGCTTTTATGTGCGGCCTGCTGGCTACATCTGTGTCTGGGCACATGCAGATGTCGAAACCATATCCGATCCGGAGCCCGTTGAACAAGGACGCAGATGGCGAGAAGGACTATTCATACACGAACCCGCTGTCTACCAGTGGCTCTGATTACCCTTGCAAAGGATACGCTAACGACCCTTTCAACTCTGTCGCCACATACAGTCCAGGCCAGGAGTACGAGATAGAACTGCAAGGTAGTGCAACACATGGTGGTGGTTCCTGTCAGATCGGTCTCTCCTACGACAAAGGAGAGACCTTCCATGTCATTCACTCCATTCTAGGAGGATGTCCCATTGAAAAGAAATACAAGTTCACAGTTCCCAGCGATGCGCCAAATGGGGAGGCTTTGTTATCCTGGACATGGTTCAACAAGGTCGGTAACCGCGAGATGTACATGAACTGTGCGCAAGTCACAATTGGCGGCGGTGCTGCGAAGCGTGCACAAACAAATGCTCTCTCTCGTCGTGACAGCTTCGACAGTCTCCCAGAGATCTTCCAGGCCAACAACAATGGGCCAGGCAAATGCACCACCACAGAGGGTGAGGAAGTGAACTTCCCACTACCTGGCCCCTCCAAAGAGGGAAGCCTCTCCGGCAAGGGCTATACATGCAAGAGTTCCGCTCCTTTCCTGGGTGATTCCAGTTCGCCCAGTGCCAGTGGTACTAGCAGTGGTACTAGTGGTACTAGCTCTGTTGCCCACGGCCCTATGAGTTTCGCTCACAAGTTTGGCTCTTCTGCATCAGCTACACCCTCCAGTAGGGTGCCTTCGGCCTTTGGTACTCCATCTTCCGCACATGGTGCTTTTGCCACACCGTCCTCCTCGCAACCAGCGCGCCCCGAGTCGCACCCTCTCAAGCACCACGAGGTGAGTCAGGAACACTGCAAAGACGGTACCATTATTTGCAGCGAGGATGGTCGGACCTGGTCTGTGTGCAGCTATGGTCGCCCCGTCTTCATGGGTTCTGTTGCCGCCGGGATGCGCTGCCGTCACGGCGCCATGCACCGCGCGTGGTCAACATGAATTTGAACATCTATTTGTACTGGCTAAGTGCATATCCCTCGATCAGGCTCGCCCGGCGCGAGTATACACCATCTTCATATCCATCGTCAGGGTGGTTCTTCTTTGTTTCCATTTTTAGTTTGTGGATCCAGGGCTTATATTACTATGCAATTGTTCTGTCTTCTATTCTAATTAGCCAGTGTCCTGTGATCTTGTACTTTTCTTGTGATATGCTCAAATCGAATCTAATTCCATTTTATCTCCACAATGGGATTACGATCCGTTGCTTCTCTTCGGTAGACATATCTCCCATTCCTACTATGTCTTCGTTCGTGATTTTAAAGCAGTGGCCTACTTCCTAAGCCTATTCAGGATGTCCAAAAACCCTGAAATTGTGGTTTTATATCCATGCATCACAAGAAAATCAGTAGTCCATCATTCAAAGAAAATCACATTGTTGGCTATCGACACATAAAATACCAGCTCAAACTGCGGGGCCAAAGCTACGCAGCATCAAAAATGAGTCCAGCTCATTTCTATCCTGCACGCATAGGTCCCCTCTCGGTTCATGTACATAACCAATCCCACCAGATCCTTTAGGTGGTATATCCAACTTTTATGCCCCCATGCCCACCAAGCCTCGCATCCACCAATCACCTATCTTGACCACTAGTAAAGGGCTGTTATAGCGGGTGGCGTGTTTATTTATAGTATCTGGCCGCCTTATGCACCATTTGATTACTGCCTAGTATCCAGCAACACTCTCCGCTAATCAAAAATTACAGTGTTAGGGCTAAGAATCCTGGTCACAATAGAAGAGGAAGCTCAGCATGGACGAAGAATTCACCGGGCTGTGCGATAAATCAGAATTTGACATTTTCTTGAAAAAGATACGTGCAATATTGTTCGATATCAGTTAGAGAATTTATATTAGTGGTGGGTTCTGACCTCAGTTCTTGGCCAGTTTTGTGTGTGGAAATATCTTACTGTTCGATTATACTATATGTTGATTGGTTTGAGAAATGAGAAGTATATATTTCGGGATATCTCATATCGCGCATACCTCTACTAGTAGAGGAACGCAACGGATGGATTAAATCAATGATGGTCTGGAACTGACTCTCTTTATAGTAAAACACACATTTTTTTTATTTATTTTGTTTATTATTATTTTTTCTAAACCAATCTCGGTCTAGAGGTTCTATTTGACAAAAGACTTGGTGGCGCAATCCCGCGCGTTGCCATGGCTGAAAGCGTAAACAATATGAAAGCCAAGCAACGTAAATTTAACGAGCATAGAATCCTATGATACTACTCCGATTGTGCGTATATTAATATTGCAACTGTTTCGACGGAATTCATATGGAAGTACAATCGATGCCCCTAAATTAGGTAGAAAATTGATTTCATTAAATACTGAGTCAAGCTATACAGGAAAGTAGCACTTCACATAAATCCAGAAAGACCATGGTATCTTATTTATAATCATTATTCATAGACGTTATTACCTTCCTAGCCAAATTAGATGATAAAGCCATTGCCCAGTTTCTCCCTAGCGGATATAGACCTGCGGCATATGTGATATGGGTTTCACCGACCCGAAATTTTCTTTGTTTCGGTTTGTTATATTGTTTTTGTTTTGGACACTGTGTGTTTGTGTACTATGGAATAATTCCATGGCATTCATATTTCAGTGGTGGTATGGAATGTAGTTGTCTTAGTAGTTGCCCGTATAGGCGGAGTTTCCGTAGCCATAGCCATTCTGTGGCGCACCCGGGGTGGCCTGAGTGGTATCTTTGTTTCGAGAGAAGAAACTACCAAAACCACTGGGCTTCTCCTGGGTAGGTCCTAGTTCGACATCCTGAGGAGTAGGATGGGTTGGGAGCATATCGTCGGCGCTGGCGGCATCTGGGTTGTTCTTCTTGCGACGCCAGAAAGCACGAGGACGGGAGCCATACGTATAATCATTGGCCGGGGAAGGACCGAAACGCTTCTCACGCTTGTGGTGACGGGCGTAGAGAACTTGGAAGAGAATGGAAATTAGGAAGAAAAAGCTGGTGGGGAATGTCAGCGCATGACTTTTGATTGACACCTTGACTTGCGCAGATCAAGGGGTGTGGGATAGAATCTTACTCACATTCCGATGATCGCGACGGCGAAGGTGACTTTTTGGAGTTCACAGGCGAACTCGTATTTCACTTTAGATGGCGATTCTGCGTTGCTTTCGCCTGATCCCAAAGGAGTATCGACTCGGCCGCTGCATTGCTGTGTGCCATTGCGAGTCATGATCGCAATAGCGACCATGGCTCCGACAAAGCAGACATCGAGAACAACAGCCACAGCGGCGAAAAATGCGACCCCTCCCAAGCAGCAGGTGAAGAGGATGCCTAGTAGTCCGTAAAGGGCCGCCGCACCTGACAGACCCTCGGTAGCTTTTATCCACTGCGGGATGTTCTGGTCATGACGGCTGAGGACTGCTAAAAAGTAAGAGAAAATCCCTAGAATTACAGCGCTGTCAAGGAATTGAAGGACGCGAATAGCTAAATTGAAGAAGCGGAGAACAACGCCGCCGAACCCCATCCTGAAAGTGGATGGCTGTAACGCAGCCTTCTCAAAAGAATAAAGAATATATCGAAACTGGCACTCAGAACGAGGCCGGAGGGCTATAGTACGAAGTCTGAAGGGGCTAGAGAGCCGTCAGGTAAAGCTAAGGGCTAAATTTCAAAAGAAGTTTCACAACAAAGAGGTATTATAAGGCTGAAGAGTGGAAAAGGTTTGCACTTGTACGCAGTCCCAGGCAGCATTGTTGAATGAAAAGGTTGGGTCCCAGGGGTCATGGTGTCGCAGCAAGCAGATCAGTGGAGGCATTTCCTTGGATGCTTGCAAGGCTTGTGGAACTCGAGGAATCCTTCAATCGCTTTCACAAGAGGTTCCATCCAGTGTCCACACCATCAATATGTCGATCCACGGACAAGGACGGAGCTCACGAGACATTTGATTGGGAAGAAAAGAGGAGAGGCGGGGACAAAGCTGATAATCCCCGTCACAAGCCACATCCACAGCCTAGGCCCCAAACGTCATCATTGATGGAGGGCTTGTTATCATTGGTTCCCTGCAGCCGTGACTAAGCCTTGCCCAGACATCCCCTGATTCGGCACTGGACCCTGGACCCTAAATCACATGTCTGTCACCAGGTCTCGTGTCCAGAATTAGTGATCGCATTAGGGAAGTTCCCATTCCGGCGGTCCACAGTCATGGTACTTTTGTGACTAAGCTACTAGCCACAGTTACTCATTGGTAAACCGCCACAAGACATCATCTACACAGCCACTCCTCTCTTCTGCTCAACCAAAGTTCAAGACGTCACTACTATTACTTAAAAATTTCTATGTTTAGCACAAGCTTAAAGCAAGATTGGGCCGTACAACAGTGGTCATCGTGGCAGCAGTTGAGGCTAGACTCGGCAGATGGGAGCCAAAGTTCTCAATATCTGGAAACAACGAGCTCTATTCTCCAATAAGATTCTAGGTTTACCGTATCCATATCCCTGGACGATTAGGCTAATCGCACTATTATGCTTGCACATCGATTAGGATCTTACAGTGATCCTCGCGGTCGTTGACCAGGGTCTGGAATCCCTTTTCCACCGTCTCATTCAACCTTATTTTCGACGTAACCATCTTTTCTGGTTTCAATTGACCTGTAAGACGGAACGCAGTCAGACAATGTGAACAGCAAACTCAAGAGGGCTTTCAGGGACGGCTTACCATATCCAAGAGCCTTTATAACGGCTTCGAAGGAGCCTTCGTCGTACAATGCTGACCCGGTATAATTGACCTCGTTGTACATTAAGTCGTTCACGGGAATTGCCGGTCTCTTCTCCCACACAGCAACGTTAATGATTGTACCATGTGTGCGGCACGCACTGATGGCGCCATTCAAGGCCTTTTCCACACCCGCGGCATCAAAGATGACATCGGCGCCCACACCGTCCGTCACTTCCATGACCCTCTGCGTCACATCCTCCTGGCCCGGATCAAAGGCATGCGTAGCACCGTATTCAATCGCAAACCTCCTGCGCTTCTCATAAAGCTCTGATACCATGATATTCTTGGCGCCTTGCAAGTTCAACACCTGTACAATGCCGATCCCAACTGGCCCACCGCCTACCACCATGACATTATTGCCCATCTTGAATGGTGATAAATTAACAGCATGCCAGGCAACCGCCAGTGGCTCAATCAAGGCTGCCACTTCAAGAGATACGTTATCAGGGATCGGGTAGAAGTGTTCTGCCGGTGCAACATGGTACTTTGCCAACCCGCCACCGTACCCTGCAGGACGCGTAAGTATCATCACCAGCTATTTAGTGCTTTAGCAGATACCGCATACCGGAAAGTCCAATAAACCCTATGTTCTCACAGCAGTACTCATAGCCACGTTTGCATGCTGTGCATTGCCGGTCGAAGATGGTGGGACGTACGACGACCCGCTGTCCCGGAGACACATGTGTTACCCCCTCTCCGACTTCTTGGACGATACCGCTGAATTCATGACCAAGTGTCACTGGCCACGAGCGTCCGGTAATATTATGGGGTTCTTGAGGTATCAATACGGGACCCCCAGTATACTCGTGTATGTCTTGCTCGAATCAGTTTGTTTTTCGACATTTGGTGATATAGAAGTAAGTTAAGCCTACCACTGCCACAGAGTCCGACGAAAGCTGGTTGAATCTACTATTTCCACTTCGAATGAGTATATTATTGTCCATATCGTAGGTACAGTGCAAAGTCACCTTTACTTGCCCTTTGCCACAAACGGGCTCATCTATTGTCTCAACCCGGATGTCGCGGGGTCCATGGAAGCGAACCGCTTCCATTAGGGGCGTGGTCTTCAGTGTCGCTCGAACAGCACCCGTGTCAAGAGTGGTGTTCAGCTTTTTTTTCGAGAATTTATTCTAAGCTTAAATGGTATCCCACAAATGCAAGGAACTGGTATAAATTTTGATTCATTTGAAAGACAGTATAGTTGCACCATCGCTGTATGCTGCGACAAGGCCCTCAAAAGATATGCCGGCCTTTAGGGAGTTTATATTTAAGTAGTATGCTATCGAGGCTAATTGATGTAGCAGGAGACGCTATGGTGACGTGGTCCACAAGCGATACAGCTCCATAAAAGCAAGCAATTCTGAAAGCTGATTGGCCGGGGCACTGTAACTGTTCATCTGATAATCATTACACCATCTATGATGTTAAACACGTTCTCCTGAGATAAAGCTCTAGGATCCCCGATCCTCTGATTCGTCGAGACATCTCTAAATAAGCTGGATAGGCGTGGAATAGAACTGTATCGGCCTTGAAAGCCAATATCTTGATACCAACACGTGAGCCCAAAATAGTCATCCCTAACTCGGGGAAGTAATCAGTGGCGTCATCTCACCCTCCAGATATCTTGGCTACTGAGTGCCACTGGCGGGATGGATCATGTAGCTATTCCTGTTGAAAGTGTTAGCCTGCGTGTCATTGAGGTAAAGTAAAATTAGGTTACACTTACGGAGGCCACTAAGGCGAGCCGGGAGAAGAAAGCCGCCAATGAGTCTGGGGTTACATCACCCGGTAGGGAACTTAACAAAAGGATCCGGCCACTCATAATGTTCATACTATAGAATTTTCGATGCTTCAAGTTTCTTCTTCGCGCTGTATGTTAACAAAAGCGCGGAGGATGGATTCTAACCCTTCGTTGCGCCGCGCTAATAACATTACGTCGGAAACATTAATTGTCGAACGTCCGGCATGCCTAATGAGGAAGTTCCGAACACGTTAGCGACCTGCCATATTGAATCATACCCAAGGATGCTCCTCCGCCAATGTCGCACAGTAAGAAAAAGGAGAATAATAATAGTAGCAAGACAGGCAACCCATCCATAGGATACTTTGAGCCGCAAATCGACCACTTACTTAGCAAAGGATTCTAAATCCTGGCTGACTGTCTCTGTTTATTGAAGCTGATCAGTTTACACGCCACCCTGGAATGAACTAACTGTGACGACAGCTCTGTAACTATTCCCTCTGGGCAGGTGCGACATACCTATCTGGGTCCAGACCATCTCCGTCAAGGCTCCGATGAATTGGGGCGTGGCATTCACACCAAGTTTGATGGTTTCGTCGTCAACTATCTTTCCAATGGCTAGCCAAAGAGCGGATTTCAGGCGCTGTGAAGAGTAACTGTAAGATCTGCTTCAAACGAAATGATCCATATCACCACGTACCTCTTCAAGGCCAACTTCTTCGTTTGGATCCATGTTTGCCAGACAGCTGGGAGTAGCAGGTACTTCAAACGTCCCCAAGATTAATACCCAAGAAGATAACCTTTGTCGATACCGATGGAAGCGATGTAGTCATCTATACTTATTCGCGTGCGTGAACAGACGCGTTTATGGACGAAAGAATAGCGGATGCCGCCTGTGATTGGCTACGGCTAACACGGGCGGACAAAAGATGTCCCGAAAGACAGTAGCCACTAGACCATAATGGAACACTTCCCATTACGGAATTCTTCGCATCGAATGGAGACTAAGAGAAAAGAACTTGCGGTATTCAGCAGACAATCCACTTTCAAATCCCTCATACTTCTACAAGAAAAGGGGTTTGCAGGCTCCCACTCAATTGCCTGTCTCCAAGCCAAGTCACATTGAGCTCACAAACTGGATAAAAACCCCTCAACTTCTCTTTCTACGACCTCCGCGAAATCTCACATCTTTTTCTATAATTCTTTCTCAACACAATCATTGAGAACAATAACCACTGCAACAGAATTAAAAATGTCTTCCCCCGACGCCGCGGTCGCCACAGAGGCCTTGAAGGACTTCTTCGGCCAAATATATACGTTCTTCGAAACGATTATCGTCCGCTTCTTCAGGAACTTTTATAACTCTTTCGCGACTGTGAGCGTCAACCGCTGGACGAAGGTCACACTCTCAGTGATCGGTTACGTTATAATTCGTCCGTACATCGAACTCTTCTTTAAGAAAATGAGTGAACGCGATCGCAGAAAGATGAAGGAGAAGGAAAAGGCCAAGAAGGAGGCACAAGAAGGCAAGAAGGCTAAGGTTTCGGCCAATACACTGCGAGGTGGTGCTACCGGAGGCGGAAAGGTGCTTGGAGAGGTCGAGAACACCGATGATGAAATTGAGGAGGGAGAGGACTTTGCGACTGCCAGTGGAGTGCCGGAGTGGACGAAGAATGCGAAGAAGAGGCAGAAGAAGTACATGAAGAGCCTGAAGGAGGCAGAGGCAAACGCGAATAAATTGTCCCAGGATCAGATTATGGAGTTGTTGGATTGGAGTGATTCAGAGCATGAGGACAAGAAGGACGCATGATTTGGAGGCGTGGATATTTACATCTTTTAGTTCTGTGTGGGCATATGAATAGTATACTTAACCGATTTTATATAAATATATAATTAATCTTTTTCCTGATATGCTTATTTGAGCATTGACATTTTGATGATCATGTTGGGTTTGATGCATGCTGCTGTGAGTTTGCCTTAGATGATGAAGTACAATCTATCTCAATCAAACATACACTAGATGTGTAGTATCATTATACATGATCTGTCTACTTCTCAGGCTTAATAATGACCAGTACATTGCACATCAATTTCATTGTTATTGGGCAACGTTTAATCCGTTCCATCCGAAATATATTCACATTGGCCCTCTAGACATAGGCAGGTGCCCCTTAACAACGGACAATTCTAGTGCAATCGCCTCAATGCTTCTATCATAACCTTCACCTCGTGGACATTCATCATGCCCACTGAATTGACAATTTCCTCTTGCAGATCAGGCTCACAATTTAAGAACTGTTCGATCAACTCGCCATCCACAAAACGGTATGGTTCCTTTGCTTCTCGGACCATACTCCGGAATCCCCGGAATTCGTTAAATGGCATCTCGCCCAGGGACTGGACCTTGCCCGCCATTGTCGCTTGCAGACGCATTAGGAAGTCCTGATGTGCTGGATTAATTATGGCAAACAGGTAAATGGAGCCCTCCACCTGGTTGTGCAATCTCAGTTAGTGGTGTGTTACAAAGAGGGACAATGGGAGTGAAATCACATACAGTGCCTAGGAAGGCTCGCGGAGTGACCGTGACGCTTGCCAGTTGTTGAATGTTAACTGGTCGAATACGGTTGACCATTTCGCCTAGGGAGATTTCACTGGTTACTTCTAACCGGCGTCTATCGTCCTCTTCCACTCCAGCGAGGTTCCGACGGAGGACGATCAAGTTTCCTTCCGCATCGCTTTCTAAGAAAGTGTCCTCGTCGATGCAGGCGACTCCTGTGGCCCAAACAGTCTGGAAGTGGCGAGCCACTTCCGTTAATGAATCCGGAAGGCCGTTCTCACCTTCCTTAAATTCCACAAGACATAAACTCTTCATGAGATCTGAGATTACAATCACGTTGCCTACCACGGTCACATCCACCGGCGCGGTCGAGGTTCTGAAACTGGCAAGCTTTTCCAATTTCATTGTGCCGAAATTGTTGTTTACCACCTTATAAATAACAACCTGAAAGGCTTCGTCAGACGGGTACTCACAACAATCAACTCAACTATCACTTACCGTCTTGACGAGTGCGGCTACAATCTTGTCTCCTAGCATAGCTAGAGCACGACATGCCCCCTTAACAGGTAATTCGGCGACCTTTGTCAGTTTTCGGCCATTGTCAATCTCAAACATGAGTATCCGACCTCGAATCGACTCTTCTCCTTCATCGTCAAGATACGCGGTTCCAACGACGAACCGATCCTTCGTCATTTCACGTCCATTCTCGTCCTTGCCCGCCGGAAATTCTGCGCGAATGACGCTTTCCACTAACTCTTCTGGTCTCAATTCAAATGAGTCTAGCTGTCGAAACAGAACTTCATCGGCGAGCATAAATCGGCTTGTGACAATTTCCGCCCCGTCTGAAAGTTTACGCTCTATTGTTCCGATACCGAACGCCTTTTCCGAAGGTGAATAAGCGACTCTGCGTACGGTTGCACCGATTTGAAGCGTCTGGATCTGTGTGGTCCTCTCCCGATCAACCAGGGCGATCTTGAGCTCATGGAGTGTAGCTACTGCAATAGAGCCAGGATAGGCCTCCGAGTTAAAATGACAGACGCGGGAAGCTCCCTCTGAATTTACTGCAGAGTATATAATGCGGCCTTCAGAGCCATAAATCAGGCTCGGATTCTCGCATGTCGCAAAGACATTGTAAAGCCCGTCGCCCCTCGGCAGTTTCTTGAACGTTGGTTGCTCAGACCCAAGAATTAGTCTGTTCATTTGGCTCAAGGAGTAGTCATCCGTCTTGAACGAGTAAGTGATAACACTACCATCTGCCATTGAGATGAAAAGGGTAGGAGGGCTATCCGCGAGCACATCCGCAACGAGAACAGACCGCGGGAAAGCTTCTCCGGCTGGGCCTAGCGACGTAGTATACACTTCAGTTAAGTCTCGAAGCCTGAGAACTGATACCTTGGCGAGTTGAGGGAATCCAACAACACAAACTTCAGTTGGTGATGCAGGAACTGTAACGCCAGAGACTTGGCTATCGGCACCGAATTTCTTCTCCGTTATCACCTGAACCTCATTCCCGATATCTAACACAGTCATAAGCTCGCCACCAATGACAAGCACCAATGAATCATCGTTGGCAGAAGCGGCGGTGATGACCAGTCCATTCGGCGGTGACCACTGGTACACAACCATACCACCTTCCAGATCTGCGATAAGCACCCGTTGCTCGGTAACTTGCAATATTCGGCTCCTGGACAAGTTGGCTGCGAGAAGCGTGTTTTCCGAAAGACTCAGTCCATGGAAGTGATCCAATTCTTCTACTTCACCATCGGGGCTGAACTGGAATACACGCGTTTCATCAATAAAGGTAACAAGGAGTGTATCCAGTGCATCGCCCCCAGCGTGGACCTGCAACCCCCATAGATCTGTGATGTGTTCCATGTCACCCAAAACGCCAAGCTCTTCCATTCCGACACCGCTGCGCACACTTCGCAGAGTCCCGTCGTCGAAAGCGCCTGAGCCTGTGACAATTCGAGCTTGCCCTGATGAGAATTCATGGGTTTGGCTCTCACTTGTGCGGTTCCCGAGGTCCATTATGGTAAAATCCAATATAGGGGCAATATTGGACAGGGCCTGGATTATCTCAAATGAGCCATTACCGATTCGAAGTACTTGAGAATCCCCTTGATGAGATCCCACAAACACAATCCCACCGCCAAGATATACCAAAGCAGAAGCTCGTGATGTGTTTCCCAAATGATCTAATTTCCAGCCCTGAACCTGGTTATCTGAGTCTAAAACAAGCATTAAGAAGAATAGCCTTCCATAATCATCGGCTAACAGCCATCGCTGGCTATCCACCCCTTCCCAAGCCACAAATATGGTTGCTTCATCTAGAGGCCGAGATATTATCTCATTGTTATCGTCATCAACATATTTAATAGACGTTTCGCCAAGAATGAGAAGGCCACCTAGAATTGTCAATTTGGGAGTGCAATAGTAGGGGGGATACTATATCGCATGGCAGGGAGAAACTAACCTAGTGGAGCAGGCACAGGTATAAGGTGGGAAGCCCCAAGATCCAGCTCTTGTGCAAAGTCGGCTATATGCGTTAATGTAGCATCTGCACTAGTGCTCGCCGTAGCAGAGGTATAATTCAACTCTCTAACCATCAATCTAACCTTCTTCTGGTTATCTTCGTAAAGTAATGCCAGGCGCGGCAGTCCAGACTGCACATGTAGGAACGCAGAGGAGCGTACAAAGAGCTCATCAATCCTCGCAGTTGTCAGCTCTCCGAGCTCGCCCACTTTTGGTGCATCCGGCCCAGTAGGAACAGCTGCAGCCCTTCCTCTTTTCCGGCTAGGTAATTGTACAATTGGTACCACAGCAACCAAGCCCTCATATACCTCTAGCGTCATGAACCGACCACTCGGGTCTATCAAACATCTGTTACCAGTTTGCGATTCTCGCGACGACGGGTCAGCAATGTCGACATAGTTCCTTTCCGTTCGTATCCGATTTTGTGTACTGTCCCATGATAGAGTGCAGTAGGTGTAGCGATCTGTGCCAACGAAAAGGTGATCGGTGGGTGAATGGGCGGGGGCAGGAAGCCGAGCCAGCATCGACACTTTGGCGTAGAGAGTACACGACGCAGCGAGATTCAACCCATCGGGGGTAAGCGTATAGAATTCCAGCCGATTGGCCTTCCTATGGAAAAACCAGGCGTATTAGTAACATGTATGTTGTAGCCAGAAACCGACCGGTGGATTGTGGTCACCAACGCAACAACCAAAGACTCCTCCTCTGGGTTCAGAAACTGCAGCTTGAGCGCATGACGCACGCTGCTCGCCTTGTGTATTGGCACGACATAAGCCATCCTGACTGTCTAATGCTCTATGAGCTCGCAATCGACGATCCGGGATGAGCTTTTTGCAGTGGAGACCACTGCGGGGAGATGATAGCACGATCACCCGTCAGATCCAACAACGGAAGTAATACAGGTTGACTCCAGATGTAATATCGTATATTTATTGTTTGAAAGAGATCCGCATCTCTGACTGCGAGACTCCAAACTGGGAGGAGTTGATAATGAAGAAGCCGAAAAGAGACTGGTATGTAGGGCCAGTTCGGGACTTGACGTAAAAGTCGCAATGACGATGTTGCGGTTTCCAAGACATTTAACTCCGGGCTATGGCCGAACACCACCTGCAGTCTTGCAGTTCTCAACTTTCACATCTCTACACTTTATTCTACTACTTATTCAAATAGTTATTTGTACAATACATATGTGCTTTCTAGGCAGTTGTTGTTCCCTAATGGTGATATTTGCACCACATAATATTTTCAATCCCAAAGAAATAAATGTATTTATTACCAAGTTCCGGACATCACACGTGATCCAATGTAGTGTTGATTTCCGTACATAATTCTCGAAACATTTTCGAACCGTCAAGTCTATCATCCCTCCCTTGGCGAGCTGTAATTCGTCATGGTCAAATAGCCATGGCTCCCACTGCATAAAGGCCAAAAAGAACTGCTAGGCATACATGAATCACGCCGAAAGATAAAAAAAAAAAGTATAGAAAGGAATAACAGGCGGAGTATATATGCAAAGATCATCTAGGCATGAGAAGGGGAAAAGAAGTCATGTTCACTTAAAGAAACAGCCACGGAACAATCATGACCAGACATCCTCCTGGTAGCTTCCACTGCTGCGCATATGCTTGACCATTTCCTCACCCTTCTCGGCGGGAAGACCACGCTGTTGGGCAATTATCTGACCAAGCACCAGATTGACCTCACGTGCCATGTTGGCGGCATCTCCACAAACGTAGAATGTGGCTTTCTGCTTCAGAAGGTCGCTGACCAGCTCAGCTTGTTCACGCAACCGATGTTGGACATAAACCTTTTGAGAAGTCTCGCGGGAAAATGCAGTGATGATCTTCAATGAATCACCAAGTTGTTCCTCATAAATCTGTAGTAAAACCGGTTAGAACTAATGGTCCATAGGGATCCAACGGGGGCAGTATAGAAAGGAGGAAAACCATACCTTGAACTCGTCCTGATACAAGAAATCCTCATTGCGATTACGGCACCCAAAGAACAAAACGGTTGTGCCGACTTTCTCGCCTTTAGCCGCCAAGGCGGCACGTTCTTGGATAAAGCCACGGAAAGGTGCGACACCGGTACCAGGTCCAACCATGATAATGGGTCTCGAGGGATCAGATGGCAGTTTGAAATTCGAGTGGCGGACGTGAACAGGAACGTGAATGCCATCGTACTTATTGCGCGGACCAGTGATGGCGTACGTCAAGCCGTGAGGGTCAGGAGAAGGTTCACCATTCTGCTTCTGCTTGAGCGCAAGGAGGTAATTCGTGGTCACACCCTTGACAAGGTGGGAGGCACCAGGCAAACGGACGGATTCCACAACGGCAGTAATACTGATCTTATCCTTCTGGACGAGGGAAGATGACGAGATAGAATAATAACGAGGCTGGAGCTTATTGAGGCCTTCAATGAGCAACGAGAATGGAACGGCAGAAAAAGGTTTGGAAGTGATGCTCTGAAGAGCCTGGGCAATATTGAAACATTGGTTGGTGATCTTTTCGTGGAAGTAGTCCTTATCATTGCCCAAACGCTGAATTTCTGTCTTGGTCGCCTCATCGGGGGCAAAAGCAGCCAGACTCGAGACAAACTGCCGGGAAACAGGGGCACAGACTTCCATATAGTAACGAACAGCGGCATCATAGGTGGTAGGGGTCGGGATAGGAACCTTAGCCGTCACATCAATGCCCTTGATGTTGATAACCGAATGACGCTTCTCTTCAAGGCCAAAAACCTGTAGGAACCGATCCACCTCGGCACCAGCGTTTGTCGGCCAAACAGCAATGTGATCACCGGTTTGATAGGTGAGGTTGCTTCCGGCGATGCTAATTTCCATGTGCAAACAGTTACGATCCTTTACAGTGAATAACTCACGAGACTCGACAATAGGTGCAATGAACGGGTTGTGGGCCGAGAATGGGCCTTTGGGTTGACCTTCGAGATGACCCTTGGTCGGCTCGCCGAGATAGACTGTCTCGTCTTCAGCGCTCTTAGACTCATCTTCTGTGACATTGAACACCGGCTCATAAACAGCCTCACGCTCCTGAAGATCCATCGCCTCAGAAAGCGCAGTCCACATAGGTTCCTTCCAAGCCAAGAAGTCTTCTTCCATCGTGCCAGCGCCGTCATCACCTTCACCAGCAGAACCGATACGTTGGGCACCAAGCTTTTGCAGAGCGACGTCAACATTGCGAACCATGGCGTTGTAGTGCTCATAGGTATTGTTACCAAGACCGAAAGCGACATACTTGAGAGCGGACAGCGGCTTCTCTTCAGCGGACGCGCCACTTTCAAAAGCAACATCTTCACCGGTGATGAATTGGTAAAACTCGACAGCATTATCCGTAGGCTCGCCCTCACCATAAGTCGCCAGAACAAAGAAGGCGATCTTGTCTTCGGGGAATTTGTCCAAGTTTTCGTAGTCGTAATCTTCGAAATCAGCAACCATAGTCTTGAGACCGAATCTCTGAGATCCTTCCTTGGCCAATCTCGAGGCGTAGTCTTCCGCAGTTCCAGTCTGGGAACCGTAGAAAATGACGCAATTCTTGCCAGTTTCTTCCATTTTCTCCAAGATATCTCTAGTCTTTCCTGCCTTGGCGGCGCCATTCATCGCTGGACCGGAGGAGGCATAAGGATCTTTGGCGACAGCCCAGTAAGTGCCCTTGGTGAAGTAGGCAACGCTACCCACCAAAAGCGCCACCAGGACAACCAAATCAAGAGTGTCGAGTTGCGCCATGTTGGCTTCGCTATTGGAGAGGGTGAGGTTCCAACCAGGTGTCCGAGTAAGGTGGGACGGGGAAGGAAGGGAAGGCAGGCAAAATGGGGCGAAGAAGAATAAGAATCACCCCCTGATCTTCACCGATGGTGGTCTCAACCACCACAAATCAATTTTAAAGTTGGAAGACGCCGACGCTGGCAGCGTGTTCCAACAGAGGGGCAAAAAAACTAGAACACACAAAAGAAGGAAAGAGGTAGAAGAATGGAACACAGTACACAAGTAGAAAAGAAGAAGGTCGGGGAAGAGAGCTGTGGTCTGATCGAAGGAACTAAAGATGCCGAATCCACAACTAAGCGGACCGCATAATTTCGGGGCCGGACACCGGAGCGGTTGAGTTAAAGAGTGGTAGTATATGGGTGGAGAGGGTGGAAAGTTAAAGTGGTAGGCGGAGTGAGTATCTGAGGCAATCGTGGCCTCTTTCTCAGGTCCTGCTCTTTTTTTGGCCTTAGACCCTCGGATGGCCCCGGCGCTGGTTTCGGAATTGAATGGCAGGAAGGGATACGAACCCCAACACAAGAGAGTGTCTTATGATTGCGGTGTGAAGGCGAGCGCCGAGGTGAATTGAGTACGAAATGAAATTCGTCCACAAATTAAGTCCTTGCCAAAGAATTGAAGGTATTCGCACTATAGGAACCAATGGTCCCGTATTGACCAGAGTATCTTAAGTGAAATAATCGCAGCAGTAGATCCTTTCTCTCAACAATAACCTTGCAGTAATATCTTAAAAGGAAACCGACTACGACTATCAAAGTGGCAGAACCAAGGCTTATATATACACCATCCTCATTGTGGGGAGGCAAGAAAGCCCGACAGTTAGGCCGAGCGTAAGTTAGGTTCGGAAGGAAACTTCGGTGCTCACTTGACGTGAAAGCATTCATGGAGGTGAGCGGAGTCTGGGGGCAACTTTGGATGACTTTTGGTTTCCATATGAGGAAACTCCCGACTAAGGCTGCCGAGCACCCTTTGTTAGTAGCCGAGTTCCGCCTTTCCTGCACGTGTAGTAGTAAAGAAGTCATTCGAGGGATGCACAATACTACAATCATTGTGGATAGACACCGCTTCTACGTTATCTAATACTATTACCTATCCTAGCATGTACATCCAGCACATAACACATTATAGAGTTAATAGGTTCAGAGTGATCAATTACATTGCTATCTTATCATGATGAATGTCTACATATCAATTGGCACGTGACACATTGGAAGGACTCGGAGTATGTTGAGTTTTGCTGCCGATCATCTATGAAACAGCAATATTCCAGCCCCAATCACTAGGTCCGTTCTCTATACGCTAACGCCATGAAAATCACTTCTTCAGTTGGCTTCGGTGGACATTTCAAGAGTTCCGCGTATAGGCGGATATGCATCCATGCTGATACTCCGATCTTTATGAATGGCAAATCGGATGTCTGGAAAAGGGCGGAAGTGATTCCGCGCCGTGCGGTTCGAAGTGCGAGCTCTCTACTCCGTACTCTGTACTACTAGTAGTATTAGTAGTACCAGAGTATTGGAGGTTTGTGCTTGCGCTCATAGCAAGAGGATCAACCACCTTTGTTATAGCTGCGACTTCCTCCTCGCCTTCGCTGTCAAATTCAACGATCCATCTAGCTCGTCGTCTGTTACGTTCAACCGTCATGACATGTACCTGCGCCATGGTCTCATCTCTTAGACTCGAATGACCTCAGCTTGATTCTACTGGATTATATCCTGGATTGCTACAAGGTTGTGTGCAACCTGTCCTTTTCCACTACTAGTACTTTATTATTACCCACTACGAATATAGGGCCGGCAAAACTGGGCAATTGAGGCACGCCAGGAAGTCCATGACAACTCCTCTCTTTTACACCCTCAAATGCCCTGTTCTTATCATAGTAACATTATCATTATTCATAGGCGATGAAATCTCATTCAGATAATAACAGTATTCGTTCAATGTATATAACAATGAACATCAACCCTTTTGTCAACAATCTACAACATGGTTGCCTCGAATAGCTTGACTACCTGGCGGCGTTGTAAGTTACACGAAGTCCATCAGTTCATATTCTTTTCAGTGGATTCCATGTAATTCGTGGAAGAGCATGAGCTTGAGAAGAATTAAGTATGTACTCCATCCGACCTTTCTCAGACCCCACAGGCGTTAATTGCGGAACACTTTATATTGAAGACACTCCGCCAACCATTGTATTTTCTTGGTTCTCTGCGGGGAAAATCTGAACTGTATTGGAACGCATAAGTAGGTTGTTATTGCTTAAGTATATGTAGAAGAAATGTATATACTGATATATATATCATGACGAAAACTTACCTTGGTGACTGGCCCGCCCGTCCCGAAGGAGATTACGGTACGGGAAGCAATTTTATGTGCAAATAAGGCTGCAGATAGATATATATCGGCTTTAACTTTTTTCTTGTTTTTTTTTTTTTTTTTTTGTGTGTGAGAGTGTCTATAGTTATTTTGGAATAAAAAGCTTTGAAACCTAATCTACAATTACCGTGGACAAGTACCATGGGTTTTTTTTCCCTCCCTTCCTTCTTGTGGTGCCCATAGAAGACCCGTGCTTTCGGTCGCGAACAAACAACTGCCCATTAGGACAAAGCTCATCGGTCAGAGATCATCATCCTTGGACATCACCACCATCTCACTTTATTCTCCGCCATCTTCGGGCTGCTGAGCAACAATGTGCTGCTCTAAATTGCCCTTGGATTCTTTCGCTCCAGTAAATGTGAGCCTCATTAAGCAATGAATCCAGGTTTAAAAAAAGACGCAGTACAACAGTATGTGTCCCTGATGACTCTCCAACTGTTTGAATACCAGCTTTTCTTCCGGGAATCCCTGCATCAAGATCTATCCTATAACTACATGATAGTTTGACGATCGATAAACTAATCTGAATTCTATGCATGTCTAGTGGCTTCACATCCATCGATCAAAGCTGGCCCCGTCCAACCAACAACAATGCCCCTCATCCCTGACGAGTCAGGTCTTGCGTCGCACCATACCTTCGCATCCCCACCGGAACGGTTAGTGACTAGAAGTACTCCATCTTCCACCGTTCATAGTCGAGAAACGTCCGCCGTTAGAGGAAGACCAGCCGACCCCTCCACGCTCGCCCCTTCGACCCTTCAACCTCAAAATACCCGCCGTGGCCATTCTCATTCCAAAAGCCCTGAGACTGCTTCCGGACGCCCCGGCGCTAGCTACGATGCTACTCTGGAGAGGCGTCCTTCTAACTCATACGGACACCATCGCCAGACTTCGATTGTTCATGGGATCCAGCACTCTCGCAACCCCAGCTTCGCCGCCTCCTCCACCTCCAATAGTCCTCTGAGCCCGGAGATGATCGCGTCCCTCGGGCGTGGCGCTAGCGTTGAGCAGGATAATTCTCCGCTAGGCCGACTAGAGCAGCTTGATATGCATACACTTCACCAGAACCAGGGGACCAACGGGACGGCTCATACCCTTCAGGGCATGTTGAGCACCATCGAAGATCGGGATACAGATGAAGCCCCGGAGGGTGGACCGGCGAACCCAGCACATAGAAGGATGAACTCGAGTGGGAAACCACGCTCACATAGTCGGTCGCATTCAAAGAATCATCATACAGAATCAAAGACTGTGGGGGAATATGCCTTACATCATCTTTTCAACTCTGTAAGCGCATTTCGGCCCAGCTCGAGTATACTTGGAATGACAGCTGACTGTGGGATAAGTTCGTTGGCCAGGCGGATAACAAGATAAACCAAGCAATTATGAAACTAGGGGAATCTGACGTACCTGTGGAAATGGTATGTGGACCGGGAGCAGATCCTGGCTTTGATCAGTTGATCTCCGCTCTTGGCCATATCGCACGGCAAAAGCCGAAGCCATTGATTGATACAATCATGTTCTGGCGTAAAGCCAAAGGTGATGCTGCGATCATGGCCAAACAAGTACCTAATCAAGTAAGGTCCGAACTCCCCTGGGAATAGGCACCCGTTGGCTAATCAAATATAATCTTGCCAGTCCAAGGAGAACGGCTTACTTATACGGCGGAATACAGAACCACCCCAAGTGGCTGCTGAGACGGCTGCTCAGCCAGATCACCCTCCTCCTAACCCTATCTTCTCCAGGAGCGACGATGTCATTTTGGCTGAGCGCCGTGCAACGGTATCGGTGTATCTCGTTTGCCGAGTGCTGATTGAGATTTTCAATCAGAGTAGTCTCGCTTCTATCACCGTCGACATGGCTGAGCGCTTGGAAGAAATTGTGTTTGGCCAACTCAAGACGGTTGATCCAGACCAAGTTGCAGCCTCTCCACTTCGCATAGCTAACTGGCGGATATATTCGCAACTGCTCGGAATTATGAGTGAAACAAACTTCACAAGTGTCACAACCCGTTTTATAACGGAACTGGAACGGTACCAAAAGGAAGAAACACTTCGGGGACCTTCAAAGGATGGCGATGCCAGAGCAGAGCTTTTGATATTAGGGATGAGACATCTTCGAATTAGGACCTATCCAGACGCATGGCCCAAGTCGTGTGACTTCATGCGGTCACTGGCACGGTTGTTTGTTAATGCGCATGGACAGCGGGTCAAGCAGGCTTACTGTTATATTTTCGAAAAGCTGCTTCTCCCAGTGGCAGCGAATCCCAACTGCGATTTATCCCTGCCTAGGTGGAAGGAATTCTTGGATTTGGTTCAATCGCGCCTGTCACAAATGCTGACCAAACCTCGCCACTGGACTGCTGCTTTCCCTCTCCACGTTTTACTCTTGTGTGTTTCCTCTAAAGAGAACTTTTCTTCCCAATGGTTGTCTGTCATTTTAGGGCTGCCGGCAAGGCTAAAGGACCGTCCTACCAGGGGCCCAGCTCTCCATGCCATGTGCCGCTTACTTTGGACGTACTTTTTCCGCTACTCAGAGTCTCCAACAGCTACTCTCCGAAAAGTGGATGAAGTAGCTAGAATTGCACTACCCGTGGGCAAGAGAACATACTTGAGCACCGAGCCGGCGGTCACCGAGCCGTTGATCCAGCTGGTGCGTATGATCGGATTCAAACATCCGGAGGTTTGTTTCCGTAACATCATATTCCCTATGATAAATTCGGACCTCTTCCTATCCGGCAAAGAATTGAAGATCGAGCAGATGGAGCCGGAGAAGATGGTCATTGGCATTAGATCATTCCTTGCTATAGTTACCGACCTTGAGAATTGTGACCAGCTATGCCCTCCGTTCCCAACGGGGTCGATACCGAACCCCTTCACTGACATCTCAGCATCGACCAACCTG